ACCTAGACTGCTTCCTGTGTGTCTTCACATTCGGCATTTCAGTAAAAGGTGGCAAATTGGCGACAACTGACGTTGTAACTGAGAATGCCAAAGCACTGATACATCCAACACCATAAATGTCATGAAATCTCCATCATAGCATATTCTACCCTTTAAAACATTGTAATTGTCATTGTTCATTGTTTTATGAATAATCAATATTTCCCTAGTTCAGTATTCATATTGTCTCACATAATATATAGCATTATAGCTGCATGAATTGGATATAAGTAATTAAGCTCTGAAAATGCATGCATTCAGAATAAATATGACCTTCACATATATTAAATTAGCACTCCTTTCAATCACCATTTTCATCTCATTTTCCCCAGAAACTTGTATTTCTGTTGAAATTGAAAGGGGTTTCCTTCAATGTTTTTCATCAACTTCAGAAAATTCAAACTCAACTGCTGGAGTAATACTATCTCAAAACAGTTCTTCATACGCAACCCTTTTGAAATCTTCCATAAGGAACCTCAGATTCGTGGACAGTTCAGTTCCAAAACCAAACCTCATTGTTACTCCACAAAACCTAGTTCACATCCAAGCAGCAATCACTTGTTCAATGAAACAAGGGTTGCAAGTGAGAGTAAGATGTGGTGGGCATGACTATGAGGGTCTTTCTTATGTCTCTGATGTTCCATTCTTAATCATTGATCTCATGAACCTCAGGTCCATAAGCATTGACATCAATGATGAAAGTGCATGGGTGCAATCAGGTGCTACTTGGAGAACTCTATTTTGCAATTGCAAATGCAAGTAAGGTGCATGGTTTCCCAGCTGGGAGTTGTCCCACAGTTGGTGTAGGAGGCCACATGAGTGGAGGTGGATTTGGAACAATATTTAGAAAATATGGTCTTGCAGCTGATAGCGTAATTGATGCTGAAATGGTAGATGTTAATGGTAATATACTAAATAGAACTTTGATGGGTGAGGATCTCTTTTGGGCCATAAGAGGAGGGGGAGGTTCAAGCTTTGGTGTTATTACTGCATGGAAAGTCAAGCTTGTACATGTTCCTTCAACAGTGACAATTTTCAATGTTCCAATGACACTGGATCAAGGTGCCGGTACCCTTTTTCAAAAATGGCAAACTATTGCTAACAAGCTTCCTGGTGAACTTTTTCTTCACTCAGTTATGGAACTTTCCAATTCATCTTATAATAATAGTGGGAAAACTGTTATGGTTTCTTTCACAGGGTTATATCTAGGGACTGCTGAGAACCTTCTTCCTTTGATGCGTAACAATTTGGCTGAGTTGGATTTGCATCTCAATAACTGCACTGAGATGAGTTGGATTCAATCTGTTCTTTACTTTGCAGGCTATTCAATCAATGAACCATTGGATGTCTTGCTTCAGAGAAACCAAACATTTAGAAGCTTCAAAGCAAAATCAGATTATGTCACTGAACCCATTCCTATGGCAGGTTTGGAAGGGTTGTGGAACATGTTACTTGAAGAGAACACACCAGTGTTGATTCTTACACCATATGGAGGGAGAATGAGTGAGATTTCAGGATCAGAAACTCCATTTCCACATAGAAATGGGAGCATATATGGTATCCAATATTTGGTTTATTGGGATTCAAATGAAGAAACACTAGAGCATATAGATCGGATGAAAAAGTTATATGCATACATGGCACCATATGTTTCGAAGGGTCCAAGAGCTGCATATTTGAATTATAGGGACCTTGACTTGGGAGTGAATCGAGGCAACACTAGCTATGAAGAAGCAAAATATTGGGGTTTGAAATATTTCAAGTTTAATTTTGAAAAACTGGCTCGTGTAAAAGCTGAAGTTGATCCTATCAATTTCTTCTGGCATGAGCAGAGTATTCCACCATTGTTTGATTAGGTTGTCTATGAACCACAAATTACCAAAATTTACTAACTTTCTGGGAAGAGTTACATAATAATTTGCATTAGAAAAGATAATTTGTGTATTCATTTCGGAGATACACTAGACTTCAATAAGCCATGTATTAGTTATATATTCTTTTTATTGATTACTGAGCTATGTATCGTTATTAACTAGAGAAAATAGTGTTAATGAACCAAACCAAACCGTTTTAAAACGTAAAATTAAAAATTAAAAATTAAAAATTTTTAAAATTGCTTAAATTAGTTTGATTCGATTTATTTTTCGGTTCTTGTAGTTAAAATCAAATTGAATTATAACTCTCACGTATATGAATAAATTGGGTTCAATTTCGTTTTACATAGTTATATTTGGATACATTCTTGATTACAGAGGACTTAAGTACAGAACAATACGTGATTTGAAACCTACATGGTTAAATAGTTTAAATTTGTACTATATTTTATTTTAAAAAATAAAAAAGTATTTTTAAAAGGAAATTAAACATGTTCTAATTTTTCTTCTCTTTTTTTTGCAATTTAAAATTATTATTATTATTTTTATGGCATTCAAACAAAGTAAAATTCTCTGAGCACTGTACATAATTGAATAACTAAGAAATAGAAAGATTATGCAATAATTCATTATATTTAGAGTTGAAAAATGAGTTGACTCAATTGAGTCAATCTCAACCGTTCAATTAAATATAAAAGTTGAATTTAAAATTTTGAATCTAATTAATTTTGAGGTTTTTTTAGTTTAATTTAATTAGGACTAATACGAGTTAAGTCTGAAAAACTTTTTAAAAATTAAAATTTTATTCATTTTATACATTAATTTTAATAACTTGAATTATATTTAGAAAATTTCAGTTTAATGGAGTTGTCGGCAAAGTATCTGCTTGAGAATACATTAGCTTACGCGTTTGTAAGTAAGGCGTTTAGAATATTCCATTCCCACATACTCACTTTTTTTCGTTTGTGCGGAATTGTTAAAGTTTCCATCGTTGAACGCTGACTCACGCATTTGATTACTAGTTCTGTTTTTTATAGAAAAAAATCAAATATTTTATTTATGTCTCTTTTTAAAATTATTTATATTATTAATTAATTAAAATACATTTCTTTTAAATATTATTTTTATATTAATTATTATAAAAGTAATGATTCATGTTGATAAAATAATTTAAATCTTAATAAATATAACTGCATTAAATATTTAATTTTTTTCTATAATAATCATATTTGGTTGCTCTTACGTATTAAATGTTATAATTTTAAACATTTATAAACAAAAATACGTAAATAAGGGATTATGAAGATATATTAGAGATAAAAATAGACAAATACTTTTGACTAATATGCAAAAGTTACAATGATAGTTAAACGAAATTTTCAAAAAATATTATAAATTATTAACAATTTACTTTATCAAAATAAAATTATTTCATTTAAACATATTTGTAGTTAATAAAATAAATTTCTGTCAACTAAAAAGTGATGCCAATTACAGTATTAAGCCTGTAGCCAAATAATATAATAAAGAAAAGAAATATATACAATTAGTTTATTTTTTAATGGATGACTAGTTTTCAAATTCATACGAATAAAAGCGGAGAGAAAAAAAAAATCAAAATTTTCTTTAATTTGATTTATAATAATTAGTCAAAATTTTATTTCTTTAACTTCTACAACCATTTTAATATTATAGTTTAAGAAAATTTATAAGATTTTTTCAGTCACATCGATGTTCAATTTTTCTCCCTCTCTCCCTCTCAACATTCAAAATAAATATTAAGACATTGAAATTCGTTTCGTACAAGTTTACCCGTTGATTAAGGAAAAACGAAGGAGAGAAATCACTGATTGATATATCTTCTTATTCTTTTAAGACATTTATAAAAGTCAATAATAAACGGAGTACTATATTATCTTAACAATTTTTTTATAAATGTCTGTTAAAAAGAATTAATAAATTATTTATTAATTTTTTAATATATATGTTAAGAAAAAGTAAATATATATTATTAAATATTTTTAAATTACTATAAAAATGTGTATTGTTTTAACAATTTTGAGATAATAAATATTTTTATTTTCTAAAAGAATTATTTTCAAATTTTTATTATATACCACACATTAAAATAACCATTTATTAAAAATGTTATTAAATATATACACATCTATTGTGGTTTTTAATGCATTCCTACTTTAATTAATACCAATAAGGCATTTATTTTATTTTATTATATATGATTAAGACAGGTGTTAAAAAATTATAATTAGTTTTTAATAAAAATATCTATTATTTTAAAATCGTTAAAATACTTAATATATATTTTCATAATAATTCAAAACATCCAATAGAATATATGTAATGTTTTTTTATCGTGCGTCTTTAAGAGAAGATTAAAAAACTATTTTTTTTATCGGTCAAAACTCCTTACACTTTGTACGAGAAAAAACAACTCTTGTTTATTTTCTCGCTAACAGCAAAAAGTCAACGAATATAAGCCATGCAACATTAGTATTCAACTACCCAAAGAATTATGTAACGAATTATAAATTTGTGATTTAATTATAAGGATACTTATAAGACAAAATATCTAGTTCCTAGTAAATGACTGCTCCTTTTTTTTAACCCATTAAGGATAAGTCAAAAGGGACTTTATACAGATACGCATATCGTAAATGCATTAACGCTTATTATTAGTAACTCCCTAATCTGAACTATTTGATATGCTCAATATCCAATTCATTTAATTTGGTTCCCTATGTATCCAAATTAAAGAGAGTTATTATTTTATAAATTTTAATAACAATTTTCTGAATATAAATTTTTATCATATTTAATACTAAAAAAACCATTAAAGGTTTCCTTACGTGTTGCATGTGAAAGGATGGGTAAGAACAAGTCATCACTCTAGGAAAGGTAAAAACAGCTGAAATTTATTCCATGAAGGTTCCAAAACTGCTTACGAAAATTCTCACGTTGTGGTCCAATGTTAGGCTCAAAAGTAGACCAAAACAACACCGTCCAAATCCCAAAGGCTTCATCTTCGTGTATAAAAACACGCTCATCCCACCCCAATTTTCCAACACACACAACCGACAATGGCAAAACCATATTGTTTGTTGTATCTTTCTGCAACTTTTCTTCTTCTAAGTATCTGCGCTTCATTGGCTGCATCAGCAGCAGCACCCGCACCAGCCCCTTCAACAAACTACAACACTTTCCTTCAATGCCTCACACAACACACAAACTCTTCAACTCAACTCTCTCAAATTCTCTTCTCTCAAAGCAGCCCTTCCTTCTCCACTGTCCTTCAAAACTACATCCGCAACGCGCGTTTCAACACCAGCTCGACGCGGAAGCCATTGATCATAGTCACACCCCAGCAAGAATCGCATGTGCAAGGTGCTGTGATATGCGCCAAAAGCCTCAACATTCAACTCAAAATCAGAAGTGGTGGGCATGATTATGAGGGTATTTCTTATGTCTCGGGAGAACCCTTTATTATCATTGACTTGTTCAATCTTCGTAGCATCTCAGTGGACATAAAAAACGAGGTTGCTGTGGTTCAAGCTGGTGCCACACTTGGTGAGGTTTATTATAGGATATGGGAGAAGAGTAAAGTTCATGGCTTTCCTGCAGGGGTGTGTCCCACTGTTGGTGTAGGTGGACACTTCAGTGGAGGAGGGTATGGCAACATGTTGAGAAAATATGGGTTATCTGTTGATAATGTTATTGATGCTAAAATTGTTGATGTTAAGGGTAGGATTTTAGATAGAAAATCTATGGGTGAAGATCTCTTTTGGGCTATTAGGGGTGGTGGAGGAGCTAGTTTTGGAGTAATAGTATCATACACTATTAAGTTGGTTTCTGTACCACCAATTGTTACTGTTTTTCGAGTTGAAAAGAGTTTGGAAGAGAATGCCACTGATCTTGTTGTTCAGTGGCAACAAGTGGCGCCAAATACTGATGAGAGGCTTTTCATGAGGCTGCTATTGCAGCCTGTGAGTTCTAAGGTTGTGAAGGGAAGCAAGACCATTAGAGCCTCGGTTGTGGCTTTTTTTCTTGGAGGGGCTGATGAGGTTGTTTCAATTTTGGAGAAGGAGTTTCCATTACTTGGTTTGAAGAAGGAGAATTGCACTGAGGTGAGTTGGATTGATTCTGTTCTTTGGTGGAATGATGATGAGAGTCTTAAGAGTGGTGCCAAACCTGAGACACTCTTGGATAGGGATCTAAATGATGCTGGTTTTTTGAAAAGGAAATCTGATTATGTTCAGAAACCTATTTCCAAAGATGGGTTGGAGTGGATTTGGAAGAGGATGATTGAGTTGGGAAAAGTAGGATTTGTTTTCAACCCTTATGGTGGAAAAATGTCTCAGATCCCCTCTAATGCAACCGCATTTCCTCATCGGGAAGGGAACCTTTTCAAAATTCAGTTTTCTGTGAACTGGGATGATCCCTCACCTGCTGCAGAACAGAATTTTACCAATCAAGCTAAAAGATTGTATAGTTATATGACCCCTTTTGTGTCCAAGAATCCAAGAAGTGCTTTCTTGAACTATAGAGACCTTGATATTGGGATCAACACCTTTGGTAAGAAAAGCTTTCAAGAAGGACAAGTTTATGGGGTCAAGTACTTCAATGACAATTTTGGGAGGCTTGTGAAGATTAAAACTGCCGTTGATCCAGAAAACTTTTTCAGGAATGAACAGAGCGTTCCTGTGCTTCCCAGCAAGGGATAGAGAATCAAACAGTGAAGCATATTGCTTAGTCAATTATTACATTTTTTGTTCCTATAATTCTATGTGAATGGTTTTATTATTTTAGCAAAAGATTTGATTATTCAGCACTGAATTCTAAGAATATTATTATTTGTATCACTAGAAGGTATCATCTTTACATTTGGAGTATATATTTGGAGCTTATATATGTATAAAAGGTAAAATATAAAAATAAAAATATATAATGTAAACTTTTAATAATTCAAATGGTAGAATTGAAACTCAAGAGTGTCAAGATATTAGATATATAATTAGAAATTCTGTTAAATACCATGTAAAATTCTCTTTGAAATCTTATGGTTAAAATAATGTAAAACGTGACAAACCGCGTACTAGTTGGCATGATTGAAATTCCTTTTGATCTTTCATTTGAATCAGATGAAATGATATATATGTTAGGGTTGAAGTGGGTATTGGTTTAATGATCTGAAATAGACTTGTGTGATTGGTGGGGTTCTGCCACACATTTTGTGGCACTCATTTCGTCTTCCTTTTTTGTCTTTGAATTTTCTCGTCACGTTGTCCCCTGATTTTTTAATGCTTGATGTTCAGAAATGGATTTTTGGCTGCTACGATTTTATTATTTAATTTTAAAAATTCACATGTTTTTATGAACTAAATAAACATACGAAAATGCCAAGCGATTTCTGAGGATCCAGTCAATGGAATTATCTGACTCGACCAAACTTTGTTATCGACAATTGATTAAACGTAAGCATGTGATGCGAGATGCTTTGCAGCATCTGATTTCCTTTACTTCAGTCTTGGTGTTATATTTAATTTTAAAAGTCTTTATTCTCACTTTTATATGTGTTTTGTTATTTTTATTTAAATATTATTATTATTTTAATTAACTAATTAAAAAATCTTTTATATAAAAATCATTTTTAAAATATCAAAATATTTCATGTTTATTTTGTTTTTCTTCTGTAGAATTTACCTGATAAAATTGTTGAACATGCTTTATTGTTCATTATACTCCTTTGGATGTGAGAGCATTCTCTTTTTAAGGGTGACAAATACTTTTAATCTATTATTGTTTTAACAATAATATACTTTTTAGAATAATATTTGTATTCTTTATATATATATATATATATATATATATATATCAAAACAGTATTATAATTTTAGTTTTAAAGTTAAAGTTTCATCTTAAAAGTATAAGCAACGTAATTTTCACTTTTAAGCCATTAATAACATGATATTAAATTTTAAAATATTTTAAATTAAAGGGACTATATAAATTTTTTTAAAAATGATACAATATACTTTAAATAAATTGGCAACAAAAATAATAAAAATGTACTTTATCAATAATTTTAATCTATAATTGCTTCTAATCGTCCATATGTAAACATACATTATAATAATGCAAAAAAGTTATATCATTAATTGATTGATCACATTAAAACTTGTTAAAAACTTATTTGATTAATTAAAATTTATTTTATTATTTACTAAAATAGTTATTATATAATAAAAAATAGCAGGAATTGATTGAAGATAATATTTTTATTATATAATTAATTAAGTATAGTAACATTTATCAAATATTTATTTGATTACTTGAAATTTATTTTTATTAAGTTGATTAGTTGTGCTAAAATACTAAATCAAATGATGGCACTAAAATTTATTTAATACTTGACTAATGTTTAATTAAAAATTATCACGGACCAGGATGAATAACTGGACAACTGGTTATATATTCATTAAAAAAAATAATATATTTGAATGAATTGATTGATTACAGACAAATTTATCAAATATTTAATTCATTACTTAAAGATTTGATTTATTTTAATAAATTTTGATTAGTATTTAATACAACAGTATGAACATGATACTAAGGTAAACCCATGAAAATACTTCTTATATCAAAAAAAAAAAATAGACATTATGTAACTTTATTGTACCGAAAAAAATTATACTATTAATTCTCACATTTTACTTTTTAGTAGATTATCTCGAAGAAAGAATTAATGTTTGTTCTAGTTTTTTTAGTAATAGTGTTATATATGTAATTTATTTAATTATTTATTTGTAGTTTTTTTAACCAAATACTTAATTATTTATTTTTATAAAAATAATTTATAGAAAGGAAAAATTTGATTTATATTTATCATTTAGGGACAACTAGTTATATATTCAATACCAAAAATAATATTATTTGATCGATGGGAATATTTCCAATTTATATAATTAATCGATTGAATAAAATAAAGCTTGTCAATATTCACTTTATTATTTGGACACTAGGATTTTAGAGGAATTCAACCAAGACAGTTGAAATCATAAGCTAAAGTTTAACTAAAATCGAAAGGCAACAAAGAATTCGAACACTAAAATGAGTCTAAAATTTATTACATGTTACTGGAGCTAATGAAATTGCCTACTGCTATGATTCAACTTGGAAGTCCATTACATACACTAAATCCACAACACATCTTCAACAACAGCAAGAATGAAAGTGATTGCGTGTATAAATGTGAAGCAAATCAATTGAAAAATTAAGGGTGTCCTTTACTTTAGCTCCCTTTCATCACGTGTCCTTTACTTTAGCTCATTCTCAGCTCTCATATTTCTTTGCCACTTTTATATCCCTCTTTACAACTCTTAACTTCATGGACTGAACCACACAAAAGTTTAAGAGCCATAATCTTTAATTTCTAACGCTATGGAAATAGCCCATTGCATAAATCACATTAGATTCAGATTCCATATATACTTCAGAGATCTGTATTTTATTAAAATCGCAATAGTTTTTGCTTAGTGCTTGTCAGATAACTAAACGTTTGCAAATTACAAGGTCCTAAAACGCTGCTCTGGCTATATTTTATATTCAGGATGGAAGACTCACTTTTATTATAATAATCATTTGCAATATTTACAAAATATAACAACAAAATAACAAGTTTTAAAATGAAATCTAATATTTAATATAGATATAATTGAACATTTGTTTACCTACTACTATAATATTGTTAATAATAATAATAGGTTAGTTCCGATCATTCCAATAGAGATGAGGGCCATATTAATTTAATATTCAAAATAGAACACTTTGCGCTAAGAATAAGAGAAAAGAACTCCTTATAAATATTTGAAAACAAGATTGGAAGGACTACACCGTAGAGATTAACATGTAGGACATTTCAACATCAACCAAGTCTACCCCAAAAAACATGTTGCTCAAATATTTGAGCAATGGAACATAAGAGATAACAAGTGAACTAATTGCCAAGATTGCTTACATATGGAGTGCTTATTATACTTTGCATGTATGTATATATCCGATATAGTAGGATACATTGCCAAAGGATCATTGGTTGCCCTTCAAGGTTAAGGCTTACAACTATGACCTAACTGGTAGAACTAACATTACGATCGAGCACCCTTCTTCCTTTGCTTCCATCGTTGATGCAAACGCTGACCCAAGATCTGAACTTGGGATTCATATTTGGGTTGGAAGATAAAAACCAAACGCTTGCTGATGAGAGCAAAAAGAAGGTGACAATAATGGTGCTTAAGTGAAGGAAACATGGTTTTCTTAGTGCCTTTTGTAGGTGATAAGGAAAGTGGATGAAAGGATCTTCCTCGCATATACCCCCTCACTCACTACTTTGTGCTTGCTTTTCTGCCTTTCACTTTTTCTATCAAAATTTGGGTGACATTTGCATTTCCTGACGGACAAAAAAATTAACATTTTGTTTTGATAATCATTATTATTTTAATTATTGAAATAAAAGAAATGATGATAAGAATAAAATTTCTATTCTTTGAAAAATAACATTAACATTAGATACTGCATTTATTATTATTTTTTAAATCCATTTAAGAAAATTTCCACAGTGGCATTTCTGTCCTCAACAAGTCAGTTCATTTCTTTTGGTAAAAAGGTTGTTTCCATTTATAGACTTAACTGTTTCTATGTGGTTAGGTTTTGGACTTATTAGTAAAGAGGTTCAAGTCAGCCCATTACATGGCCATGGACCTGATCCAGCAAGGCTACAGAACACAGCAAAGATCAATTAACCACAGTTATCAGTTGTGGCGTTTTTGTATCCACGCAAAAAAAATAAATAAATAAATAAATATATATATATATATATATATATATATATATTCACTAATATTAAAATAAGGATGCTTTATTTACTAAAATAAAATCCTTAATTTGTCAAAAATCAGCTAGCATTTATATCTAAAAGTAAAATGCTTACAGTTAAAAAATGAACTTATAGCGCTCCTCTCTTTAGTAATTATGTTATTAAAATAAATGGATATAATCCATTTTTGTGATGACATTAAAACAAATTAATTCTCATAATTTTAATAAAGAATTCAAATTTTAATACAATTATGATTACAATATTTAAATTTATATTTCAATTACATTTTGAGTTTAAAAATAATTTATCCAATTTTAAAATAAATATCCCCCGTAATAAAGATTAAAAACTGTAATGTTAATATTGTACTGCTATTATTTCCTTTTGATTGACCTTTATAACTGTAATTTTTTATTTTATTTTTGTTGTATAATAATAAAGAAATTCTTTTGAATTTTATCATTAATAATTAATTAATCTATTTTTTTTTATCAAAATGAGATAAATCCATTAATATAAATGATAAGAGATATAATAAAAAGTTAATCAATAATTTTTATGAATTTTTAAAAAATGCAAAAAATTATATCATAATTTTGGATGACTAATAATAATAGCAATAATGATGTGTCCAAAATGCACTTTATACTCAAGGTTTACCGTAAAACCTAATATCGAATCAATTTAAATATAAATTTATTTGAATGCTACAAGTTATAACTTTATTTAACGTGGTTTTAATAAATTTCTAAATATATGTCACATATCTTGGTTTGGGCTGGGCAGATTGCATTAATTGGGTAATGTAGTGGGCTCGGTCCAATTTAACAAGACATGTTGGGCTTCTGAGTTGGGAAAAATTCGAAGGTGAATTTTGGGGATAAGAAAATTTTCCCATTCAGCATAACTTAAACGTATATTGATATTAACCTAAAATTCATTAATGTAAATAAAATAGTATTAAGATTAGTCCCTTAAGACTTGGTTAGTGTTTATGATGATTCCGCGTTAAGCTAATTGCTAAGTTAACCTTATTATTTTGACCATTGAGCTTAAAGTTCTGACAATCGCAAGGGTAGAAAAGAAGGCATAAAATCAATTTCTTTCACATATTTCTACATACTCATCATTACTATAAACAAAGCTTATAAAATTTATAAAATAAATTTGTAAATGTGTTGGGTGATATTAAATACTAGTAGCAACCTCCATTGATAATATTCATTAAAGAGAGCAAAGTACCAAATTTAAAAAGGATTACATTATTTTTTGAAAAAAAAAAACCTAAATATGATATGCTTAAGTTGAAAGCAAAAAGGATCAAATTTAGTGTCAATATGATGCATATCCTAGAAGAACTCAAACATTTTAATTAATAATGAAACTCACCTTCGACCATGTTAAACAAACATTTAAATAATTTTCATTTATTAAATTGAACCAGGCATAATAATGCAAATTTTTTTAATATTGCCCAACATAATATTTTTTAAGATAATAATATATAAAATACTTTTCCACTTGCAATTTATTATTATAGAGATAACCACGTACATGATTCACCATAAATAAAATTGAGTGAGGTAAGAGCAATTGATCAGGGTGAGAATGAGATTTTCTTATATATATATATATATATATATATATTATAGGTAAATAAATTATAGATATATAGATTATGGTTCCTTCACTTTCTTGGTTATTAGTTCGAAATATTTAATGTAAATTATTTAATTATTTAACTGCCGGTCAATTTCGTCTTCCGTCCAAGAAAATTCTACGAAATTAAAGTTAGGCGCAAGTCACGTAGGAAAAAGGCTAGGTCAGATAAGACCACACGATGAATATAAACTTTTTTTATTAAATTTTATATATATTAATTGAACTTACTCTAATAAATAATTTAGTACATATCAAAATAATTATTTTAAAAAATTATTAAATAAACATTTACTTTATTATTACACATGAATAATTAAAATTAAAAAATTACGTAATCACTTAGGAATAATATATATGCGCGAATCTAGCATAGATGTTTCGAAATTGGAATAGTGCATCAGCGACGATGATTCTGCAATTTGCATTTCATGTCATAATTTGGACAACATGGACAGTATATGCACTTGCATCAGCGGAAACTCCGATCATAGCACAACCAGGTTGTAATTCAACATGTGGGGATATTGAGATCCCTTTCCCTTTCGGAATGAAAGATCCCAAATGCTATTTAGATAAATGGTTTGAAATAGAATGCAGATTCAGCTCTCGAGGTCTGAAACCTTACTTGAAGTCCTTCAATCTTGAAGTGGAATCCATTAATGAGGACGTAGCCGAAGTTGACATCATGAACCCAATTTACCATCGGAACTGCCAAAACAACAAAGCAAAGCCAACAGTGATAAACCTGAGAGAAAGCCCTTTCGTGTATTCCCAGGATAGGAACAAATTCTTGGCGGTTGGTTGCAACAACCTCGCTTTTCTGCAGTCGAATGGGACAGCTGTCGGTGGTTGTGTGTCAGTTTGCGACGACAACGAAGAAGTTGACGACAACTTCAACTTCGCAAGAGATGGATGTCACGGAAGGTACTGTTGCGAGACTTCTCTGCCTCATTATCTTGTGGAATATAACGCAACGCTACAAGATTTGAAGAACGAGAGTGTGAATGGTAAGTGTAGTTACGCGTTCATTGTAAGTAATGATTGGATTCAGGTTCAGAGCTATTATTATTATTGGTCTGATTTGATGGCTGAGAGATTTAACGAGCTCCAGAGTGTGGATTATGTTCGTGCTACGCTTGAGTGGGAGATTTTGAACGAGACGCTCGCGAATTCAACCCTGCAAATCCCTTCAGATGCAAGGTGTCATGAATCTAATGTTACGTCTTCCACGAACACGACCACAGGTTTGAGATGTCTCTGCCCCGTAGGCTCCTATGGCAATCCATACATTAACGGAGGCTGCATCGGTATGATCCTCTGCACTCAGTATATCAGATTTGCATTTTTATTCTGTCACTTCTTTTATTTTCCCATTCATTTTTTAATTATTACACATAAAATATATTTTTTTAATTTTAAACTCAAATTAAATTTAAATTTTTTTAATATAATCGATCAAACTCAATGCAAGTTAAGTTTAATCGAATTCACTAGAATGGATCAAATAACTTGTTTTGTCAGTTTTAATTCTATACATAAAAAAAGGAGCGTCAACATAAAATTTTCCATATTCAATTTCTTTGTCATCTAATATTTATAATTATTTATTGATTTAGTTTTTTTTTCTAAAACGTATTATATATAATCTTTTTATTATATATCTTTAAACGTACTTTAAAAATATATTATTTATATACAATTTTTTTTCTAATTACTATCTTAAATACTCTCTCATGCATTCTTTTAACTATATTATTTATTATTGACTAAAAGTTTAAAAAATTATGTAAATCTAATTCTTAATTTTATAAATTCACGTTCATTTTGTAATTTTTATTCAATATCTAAGAATGTTTTAGAGACAATTCCTGTTTAACTCTTGCCTTAAGAATGGTGTTTAAAAATTTTAAAATATTATCAATATATTTTTTATAATAATTCAATATAATCTTAGTTAAAAATTAATTACTTTATTGATATTTTAAAGTTATAGATGAAAAGAGTATCAAAATTTTTCCTCTAAAATATCTATTATCATTCTCTATTTAAGATTCTTTTATTCAAATCGTATTATTATTTATTTAATCAATAAAAGGGTATTTTATATGAAAATTATTTAACAAAAAAGTAACAAATAGATATTTGATTGGAATTAATGCAAGCAGCCTTATTTGATATGCATGATGAGGGCCAGGATTTGACTTAGAAAAGTAGTCGGCAAAATAATTTGGTGCCATTCGAGTTGTGTTTGGTTAGATAAATTCTAAGAAGATTTTAATTCACCTCAATCTTGGTTTAAAACTGTTTTCCTTAAATTAATTCACAGTTAATTCATCTCTCCGTATAGTTTATTTAAAATTAACACTCAATTTGCATACATGCTTTTAGTAGTATCTACCTTTTATGTCACAATTTAGTATTTACACAATTGTATTTTTTTACCTTTGTCTGATAATGAAGTTGAAAAAGGATTACACTTCCCTTTTGTCGAAATATAGTTTGATTTGGTTGAAAAAGTATATACATTTCTTTTAATACTCGTTTAGCTATATGTTTTGTTTATATATATATATAGTTAGATAGAGAGAAACATATAAGAATACAAATAATGTGATAAAGATAGATATATAAAAGAAAGTGTTAATAAAATACTATTATTCTTTTTATGCCTCAATATTTTATAATAAGAATGGTCATGGTGTATCTCTATTTAAAGAAAAACTGAAAGCTCAATATTAAATTAAATATATGTCATAAAATCTAATTAATTCCATCCAATTTCGTTCCCCTTTTTGCCTGAGAAAGATATACATGAGTGTTAACATATAATCTATCTTGGATCATGATGTTTCAGCCATGCCCGGGTACTTTGACAAGAGCAGTCGAGGGAAGAGGTGGGCAATAGTAGGTAAGCATAAAATCTATATAAACGCAGTTATGAAAATAATTAATATAGATTTATTGCTTTTGTAATTTCCCGGATCCTAAACTATATAGCTACGTGAATATCCATTTGGCTACTTATTAACTAAAGGTGCATACAAGCACATCAAGTTTTTTATTAACCATTTTATAATCCCCTATTTTATTGTGACAAATGTGTAGGTGTTTCCTCAAGTTTTGGTTCTATCATTGTCCTCCTTTGTCTATGGTTATTGTATAAAGCCGTAAGGAAGAGAGCGATACAGAAACGCAAACAAAAATTCTTCAAAAAGAATGGTGGTTTGTTGTTACAACAAAGAATGTCATCTGGTGAAGTTAATGTTGACAAAACAATCCTCTTCAGCTTAAAGGATTTAGAAAAAGCCACTGATCACTTTAATATCAATAGAATTCTTGGAAAGGGAGGCCAAGGTACTGTCTACAAAGGCATGTTAGTAGATGGTAGAATTGTAGCAGTGAAAAAGTTTAAGGTAGAAGGAAAGGTTGAAGAATTCATCAATGAGTTTGTCATTCTTTCACAAATTAACAACAGAAACGTTGTTAAGTTGTTGGGATGTTGTTTGGAGACAGAAATTCCCTTGCTTGTTTATGAATTCATTCCTAATGGTAACCTTTTCCAATATTTGCATGAACAAAATGAAGACTTACCAATGACATGGGACATGCGTTTGAGAATTGCCACTGAAATTGCTGGAGCTCTATTTTACTTACACTCAGTTGCATCTCAACCCATTTACCATAGAGACATCAAATCCACAAATATACTATTGGATGACAAGTACAAGGCAAAAATAGCAGATTTTGGAGCATCAAGAATAATTTCCATTGAAGCTACCCACCTTACAACTGTAGTTCAAGGTACATTTGGATACTTGGATCCTGAATATTTTCACACTAGTAAATTTACAGAAAAAAGTGATGTCTATAGCTTTGGAGTAGTTCTTGCGGAACTTTTAACTGGGAAGAAGCCAATATCCTCATTTAGAGGGGAATCTAAGGGTTTAGCTTCATATTTTGTTCAGTGTATGGAGGAGAATAATCTATTTGACATTATTGACAAAAGAGTGATGAAGGAAGCAGAGAAGGAGCATATCATTGCTGTTGCTAATCTTGCCAATAAATGCTTAGAATTGAATGGAAAAAAACGACCAACTATGAAAGAAGTGACATTAGAATTAGAAGGGATCAAGAGATTGAATAAGAAGTCCAATGCAGAGGAAAGCCATGAAGAAATTGAGCTTACTGAAATTAAAGATTATCAACCTTGGACTGGATATTCTACATCAACTCCATTTCCAACTGTAAGCAGCGAAACAATCTCCTCACACTCGGAGATTATACCCATTATTACTTTAGAATAATTCATGAATTTTCTTAATTTCTTGTCCATGCAAAATAGATACTTTTTTTTTGTGTAGAAAGGTATTTTCGGAGTCATTTATTATATTATACTATTTATTATATTTGTTATTTTTTCTTCTCTTGTTTTGGCATATATCTTTGCCATTTTTGAGTCGATCACTTTTTTGATAAAAGTAATACTATTCTTACTTCATAGTTTTTTTAAAAAATCATACAAAAGAAAAAACTAAAAGAAGAAAGATAAGTGTAAAATAAAACAAGTATCATTAAAAAAAAAAATACAAGAAGAATGTGCAGTATAGAAATATAACTATTCTCTTGATAAACTTAGTATTTCTAGCAACATCAGGGGACTTTTTTTAGTAGATCTAGTGCAATAAGCATTAGAAATTATGCATATAGTGTAATGTTTAAAAATGTTATGTAAAGAGAGTCAAATTTTATTTTATTTTTTGTATAGAAATATAGCTATTCTCATTTTTTTTGTTTACAGATAGTTTCATCCAACTCTTTTTGTACGTTTTTGGATCTTAATATATAACTCATATTAATAGAGAAAATGTTAGGGAATTCAATAAAAAGAAAGAAATACGTGTTGGGCATTAATAGTGCCGAAATAAGAAACAAAAAACTTTAAAATATAAATTCAGCATGTAGTTTCTCATCTTTGTTTTTTTATTAACATTAATGTGTAAGAAGTGAAAATTTTAATTTTTTTTAATTTCAAGAATTAGATTAGAAATTAGTAATTACAATGTTAGTGCAAGCTTTTTAGGTGGCATATAGTTTGAATCAAAGCAAATAAGTGTAATATAATTAAAAGAGTATCATCCAACATTTATTGAATTACACGACGAAGGAGTCCAAAACAGATTGATATGTTGCACAGTACATAAAATATGACAACAAAAGTCAACGAAGGGTCAAAGTATCCTTCTATTAAAGACACACAAAAAAAATGAGTTAAAAATAAAATAAAATTCGTGCATGTGCTATTGTATTAATTTCAGAAGACTATTGCAAAGTATTTTTTAAAAATTATTAGGATGTTGAAACAATATATGTAGATTCTAATTTCAATAAAAACTAAACAAATACTTCATTAAATATTGAGTCTCATAACAAAATTACATTCATTAATTTAAAAATATCTTAAAATTGTTTCATTACCTCAAGAGGAGAAGATTCTTTTCACCATCGTAAAATTTAGCATTATTTAGATATGAAGTTGGCAACTAGAATTTCGTAGACAAAGCAGGTCAAAACACAACAGAGGAAAAAATTATTGTCAGTTCTCAGAAGTCTATATACTATAAAGTCTACACACACGAAATTTCCTATCAGCAGCCACAAATTAAGTTTGGGAATTTGACTGTTTGTGTGCACCACAAATACCTTATTTTGTTGAGATAAATATATCTCCATTATTCAAGTGCTTCTTCTCAATTATGTCTCTCTATTTTGACCGAGCTCGTTGAAATGGTCAGTTGAAGTATTTAACTAGAAATATTCTTGTTATGTATGAATTGTTTTTATTCTATAAGTTTTATGTATATGTTAAATAATCACCTAATACACAAAATATTTTTCTGTAAGCTTATCTTATTTGAAATTTTCTGTATTCAAGTTTTAGTATCTTGATGGAATTTTCTTCATAATGCCGGAAGGGGAATTACGTAAACGTGTGAATTTACATAGGTCAACCCACGACAAGTCTTATTACTACCAGTAAAAGTTTGACATCCTACGGAATAAAACACCAATGTGATTCCTTAAAGACGCAGTTATGTCAACATTGTTATAACATTGGAGCATTAATATGCAAGTTAGAAATCTTGGGATGAGTCCTTTAGCGAAGCCCAGAATGCTTCTGAAATATGTATTTTGTATCATAATTTTGATGATAGGACCCATACACCCACTTGCATCAGCACAATATTCGAACACGACAGAACCTGATTGTGATTCGAGATGTGGAACGGTAACAATTCCTTATCCATTTGGTATAAAAGATCCCAAATGCTACGCAGACAAGTGGTTTGAAATAGAATGCAGAAGCACTTCTACGGGTCAAACACCGTACCTGAAATCACCAAACGTTGAAGTCACATCCATTGATCCAATGAATAGCAAGGTTTGGATCATGAATCCAGTTTTCCATTGGAATTGCCAAAACACCAAAGATTCAGAACCAGTCATAGACCTTAAAGGAACCCCTTTCGTGTATTCCAAGGATGATAACAAATTCACAGCCATTGGTTGCAATAAGATAGCGTTTTTGCAATCGAATGGGTCAGAAGTTAGCGGTTGTGTGTCCCTTTGTGACAGGTACGACGATGAAGAAGTTAACAATAACGTTGCTTTTGGAGTCGATGGTTGTGTTGGGAGGTTTTGCTGTGAGACTTCATTACCATCCTTTCTTTCAGAGTTTAACGTAACGCTTGAGAATGTAAGAGAGAAAAATGTGAGTGATGGGTGTAGCCATGCCCTGATTGGAACAGAGTATTGGTACAGAGTACCCTTTGGGTCAAGTTACGAGGATCGAAGTTTTCGTGACTTGGGTGTGAATTATGTTCCTGCGGTGCTTGATTGGGTGGTTCTGAACTCGTCTCTGAAACGCCCTACTGAAGGTGCCAACTGCACTAACGTTGCTTCTTCACAAAACAGACCTGAAGGTTGGAGATGCGAGTGTTACACAGGGTTTTATGGCAATCCCTACATTACTGGAAGCTGTATAGGTATGAATGTGAACCCTTCTGCAACTCATGCATATGTATTAGTATCATTCCATTACTAGATAGATCATCCTTTTCAATTGCTAGTGTTAATAACAACGTATTGTTCACGAATCAAAACCAAATTTTAGTCTCTGATTGATAAATTAACTAAAAGCTAAATTAGTTTCTTAATGTAGAATGTTATTTAGAATAGTTTTTCAAAAGTTATAAGATGAAAAAAAAAGCTATAAGTTGTTGAATATATTAATTTTAAACACTCCTAGAAGCATTAGTAGAAATTTTGTAATCTGAAAACATTGGATTTTCAAAATGCATGTGACAAACCTGTGTTGCTAATTGCTAGTAAATATCCTTAATATCGTCTTCCTCACCTCATATTGAGAAGAAAAAAAAGAAGAAGAGTTAGCAAATTTAAGGGATCAGATTTTCTCGACACAAAATCTTTATATTACAGTAAAATCTACTATTATTTTTGTAAAGTGTATTATTATATTTTGTATATTTCCATCTGATATCGTGAATGTGAGAAGATCATGACGCTATAGTATAAGTTGATAATTTAGGGACGCATGGTAAGAAATTTAAGTCAATTAATAATAGCATTGGCGCACCATTGATGAATTGTATTGCAACAAATATATTAACTTGGTTTCTTGAATTTTCAGCTATTGATGGTTCCTCTGATAGTAAAACTCGAGCGAAATGGGCTATAGTAGGTATGTACAACCCAAAAATCTCAATTGCCATTTAACTCGGAACCATATTACTTTTAATTCGAGTTATGCTGATTTTAATAATTAAAGATAATGCTCAAAATATCTTCAGTAATATTTGATTATCCATATTGGCACGCATCCATTTTTGTATTGGACTAATGACTAATTTCATAATGGCAAATATGTAGGAGTTTCGTCGAGTCTTGGATCCTTCATTATACTCCTTGGTATTTGGTGGTTGTACAAAGTTTTAAGAAAAAGAATGATACAGAAACGCAAGGAAAAATTCTTCAAACAAAACGGTGGTTTGTTGTTACAACAAAGAATGTCTTCTACTGAAGTTAGAGTCGAAAAAGTTAAACTGTTCAGCTTAAATGACTTAGAAAAAGCCACTGACCACTTCAATACAAACAGAATAATAGGAAAAGGAGGTCAAGGTACCGTTTACAAGGGAATGTTAGTAGATGGACAAATTATTGCAGTGAAAAAATTCAAAGTGGAAGGAAAGGTTGAAGAGTTTGTGAATGAGTTTGTCATTCTTTCACAAATTAACCATCGAAATGTGGTTAAGTTGTTAGGTTGTTGTTTGGAGGCAGAGATTCCCTTGCTTGTGTATGAATTCATTCCCAATGGTAACCTTTCTAAATATTTGCATGACCAAAGTGAAGACTTAGCACTTACATGGGATATGCGCTTGAGAATTGCCACTGAAATTGCTGGAGCTTTATTTTACTTACACTCAGTTGCATCTCAACCCATTTATCATAGGGACATAAAATCAACAAATATACTATTAGATGAAAAGTATAGAGCAAAAGTGGCAGACTTTGGAACCTCTAGAATAATTTCCACTGAGGCTACACACCTCACCACAGTAGTTCAAGGTACTTTTGGGTACTTAGATCCTGAATATTTTCATACTAGTCAATTCACAGAGAAAAGTGATGTCTACAGTTTTGGAGTAGTTCTCGTTGAACTTTTGACCGGAGAAAGGGCAATATCCTCGGTGAGATCACATGAGGCCAAGAGTTTGGTTTCATATTTCAATATTTCTATGGAGAAAAATTGTCTGTTTGACATTATTGACAAAAAAGTCATGAAGGAAGGGAAGAAAGAACATATCATTGCTGTTGCTAATCTTGCAAATAGATGCTTGGAATTGAATGGGAAAAAACGACCAACTATGAAAGAAGTGACATTTGAATTAGAAGGAATTCGGAAATTGGATAAGAAATCTAGTGTAGAGCAAAACCACGAAGAAATTGAGCTTGCTGGAGTTGAAGACTACCAAAATTGGACTGGATATTCTACATCAAATTCATTTCCAACACTAGGCAGTGTTTCAGACTCGGAGGTTATACCTATTGTTACATTAAAATGATATATTGGTGCCTCTTCTTAATTATGTTCTTCACATGAAGAACATAATCGTTTGATGATTAGAAATATTTATTGTTGATGAGAATAATTTATTACAACGAAGCATGACAGAGAACTTGTCCTGAAAGGATGCTAGACATCTCTTCGATTCTGATGGAACTAGCTTAGCAGTTTTATTTTTTTTTTGTTCTTTTTCTTTATTTAATGTATTGACTATTGAAATATGTACATTGTAATATTTCTGAGTTAAAATCTCAAAATATATCTATTTTTTATTTTGCTTCGTATCATTTCTTTTAGTTCTTACATTTTTAAAAATGATTAATTTTAATAATTTTTTTAAAATATAGGGACTAAAATAAAAAAAAAAATTTATAAAGACCAAAATAAAAAAACCAGTATATATTGAGAGAGATTAAAAATATGTTTAATATTTTTTTTACTGTACCACAACAACGGTTCATGACCATTGCTGAAAATTAAATAATAGTTCCATTTTGTATATCATTGTTAGGGAGAGAGATAGATGTAAAGGAATTTAAAATCAACTACACAAAGCGGGGAGAGAGATTGCCACGAAGGAAAAAGTAATAAAATGAGGGGGAAATAAAAGAGTAAAACGAACATAATGGACTAATCGTGTGAATTTTCAAATTTTGTGAAGATATTATTTATTTATTTATTATTCACTGTTATTATTATTATTATTATTATTATTATTATTATTATTATTATTATTATTATTATTATTATTATTATATACAAGATGCAAGAAAATAGTAAAGGAACTAAGGAAGGGAAGAAAATATCCAACACACGCAGCTATCCGAAAAATCAAAATAGTTTATTCTTAGAAAAGGAAAAGAAGGAAATTCGAGATAATAGTAAAGGAACAATAAAAATTAAATTAAACTAAGCACAAATTTTATCTAATTATTTCAACTTTGCGAAGATTTACTTTTTTTTTAAAACTTAAACATACTTATATCCCTTTATATGTCACAAAAGTTTCATTTCGTCTCCTATGTTTACAATTTATGATCAACAATCATTGTAAGGCAGATCCCATCTATTTATCCTTACGTATCACTTCTTCTTACTTTTTAGTCTTTTTAAATATTATGAACTTCAAATTTTATTTAATTCCTCAAAAGATTACAATTTTTAAAATAATATATAAAAAACTCATGATATTTAGAATTTTTTTAAAAAAGTGGTACTTAAATGACAAAAACAAATGAAAAATTATTAGACGGATAATAAAGAAAAAGAAAGAATTTTATTAGCACTAGTTTATAACTTAAAAAAAGAGATCAATTAAAAAATTAATAATTTTTTATTAATCAGAATTACATTTCAAGGACTTGATTATAGCATTAATTTTAACAAAGTTGGGAGGGAATATGACAAATGATTTGCTGAAGGCTTACTGTCTAGTTCACATTGTGTTTAAGTTTTTATTTATTAAATAAATTAGATCAAGACTTTTTTAAATTTATTTAATTATTTAGAACTTTAAATTGTTAACCTAACAGGTACTTCTATATTTAAAATTACAACAACAATAATAAATTTTAAATATTTTTTATTTTAATTAAATACTTATTATAGTGTTATATGATTTTAGCTCTATTCGGATGAACTTATAAAAAGAATTTTATAAAAAAATAGTATAAATAATAAATAAATTAAAAATAATTTGTCTCTCTTATAATTTTAAAAAACAAAAAAGTATAAAATATTTTTAACTTACAAGAGAAATATTATATATTTTTTATACTAATTTTTTTTTAATAAGAACTATAAAATTTTATTCAAATATAAAATTTCTAAATGTTGGTTTATTAAAAATGCATATGTATGATGAATAGGGTTTCTAAACTTGAGAAATAAGTCAACTCTGTTTAAAATATTAAGTTTGATTTGACTTATTTTCACTTTATTATCGACTACAATCGGATGCTTCTAAATAAGTTATAATAATCTTTTAGCAACATCTCTGAAACAATTTTCTCACCCCGTATGGGACAGCATCGACAAAAAAAACCGTAGCTTTTCTTATAGACGTGCTTGAACGGATGTGCATTGAGATCCATGTTATGATAGGGATGATTCACTTTTGGTTATTGTTGAAAATATGAAATGAATATGCTTTGAGCATTTCTCTTTGTCTATTTCTCTAATATGGGTGTCTATAGTTGAAAACGTAAATAAATCTATTCTATAACTTTATAACATGTTTTATAAACACTTTTGTGTCAATCCTCGTGTATTTTTATTTGCCTCTCAATGCTATAGTCTTTGTTGTACACCTGAACCAAGTTGTTTAATTCAGCATGTGACAAACCTTTAATTTATATTTAAATAGATTAAAAAATATTAATAACATACTATTAAATATATCAGCCGGTGAAAATTGTTCTAGCTTAATTTGTGATGAGGTTGAAATTTTAATTAATGAAACTGTTTTAAATACTAATTTTATAATTTTTAATAAATTTTTATAAATAATTGAAAAAATAAATAAATCAAGTGTTTTTCTTAAATACTTTCAGAGATGGTGGCTGCTCGCATGAAGCCATTGTGTTTGAGTCTCACATCTCTTACTCAATTGGACTTAGGGTTCGGTTAGGGTTTTCTACCTGTGCTACATCCATTCTCATTCACTGATACAACATCTAGATAGAGATTAAGATGCTCTGGTCCACCTTAAGCAAACCCTCATGGGAAGGAATCATTTGGTTGGCGTGTGCTTTTTATAATTTAATTATATTGATCTTGCATTATAGGTTTCAAAGTAAAAAATATCGTTATACTAGACCTGAGTTCTTGTTTAATAATCACATAAAATCAATGTCTTAACATGTGCCATTTTATTTTTCCATAGTAATAGCAAACAACTGGCAATGGCGAATTATTCAAATGTGTGAATTTAATGGGAGAAAGCGCCACTCGTCTTCCTCCCACTAGCTGGCACTAGTAAAGTTTGAGTAGCCATTAAAAAAAATGCCAATAAATATAGATATACAGGTCCTCTAACTTGGAAGCACAGCACACCCAAGCGCGAAGGCTCCAACAATCGCTCTTAGCCACAATGGTTCTGAAATTTGCATTTCACATAATCACGATGATGACATTATGGCCCATACATCTACAGGCATCTGCGCAGGATTCAAAGATAACAAAAGATGGGTGTGACCCCACATGTGGAGGTGTTGAAATCCCTTTTCCGTTTGGAATGAAGGATCCCTCCTGCTACGCAGACACGGGGTTTGAAATAGAATGCAGAAATACCAGTTCAAGAAATGAAACACCTTACCTCAAGTCCATAGATCTGGAGGTGACAGCCATTGATGTCTCTAAGAACCAGGTTACGATAAAGAATCCAATTTACCGTAGGAATTGCGGAATAAAAGATGTTTCGCCAGTCAAAAACCTGGGAGGAAGCCCTTTCGTGTATTCCCAGGATTACAACAAATTTATGGCCGTAGGTTGCAATAGCAGTGCTATTTTGCATTCAGATGGGTCAGAAGCCAGTGGTTGTGTGACAATCTGTGACAACAACAAAGACGATGTCTATGACATCGACCTTATAACCACTGAATGCCACGGCATGTACTGTTGCAAGAGTACCCTGCCCTCTCATCTCTCACAATTTAACGCAACAATTGAAGGTTTGGGTGGAAATAATGAGTGCGGTTACGCCTTTATTTATAGCGGTGACAATATTGAGAGGGGGCTGAAGCATTTAAACGAAGTTTCTGCGGTTCTTGAGTGGGAGATTCTGTACACTTCTCCCTTCATAATCGCTCCATATGTACGCTTTAACGCTGACTGTATTTACACAAATATAACCTCTGCGGAGAACACATACTCAGGTATGAGATGCAGTTGCAAATATGGCTTTCATGGCAATCCCTACCTTGATGGAGGCTGTAAAGGTACGCTACGTTGCCATTCTATTTTTTTTTTACGCTTATGCAAGCTTTTGTTATTCCAATAACTACAAATTTACTTTTTCAATTTAGTCCTACAAAATTTATCTGATTTTTTAATAATTTATTAACTTGCTTCATTGACGTATAATATCATATTTTTTATATTTTAAATAAATTTTTAACTTAAAAATTAGAAATTTTGAAAGTAAAATTTAGGAATATATGATAATGTATATTTTACGTGGTTTAAATATGAGTTTCATTTTAATATATTGCTGTTATTGTAAATTTTTATATTATCAATTGATCAAACTATAAGATAATCATAATTTTAAATTTATAAAAATTTATTTATTTCTATTGATATATTAATTCATAGTCTAGTAATAATGTAAAGCTATTTATATTATCAGTGAATTTTAATTGAATTTATAAAATATTTATCATACTAAAGTACAAAAACTATTTAATATATTATTTCAATTAAAAATATTTACACTATTTAATATTTATTAATTTTATTATTTTTATATCTATTTTTAATAATTTTGTACGTTTAAAATTTGACATGCCTCTAATTCCTTATTTTTGTGAAATTTATATTTTAGTTTCTCAATTTTATTTATTTTTACTCCTTCATTTTTTTAAAAAAAATTCAACATATTTTTAGCAATAACATAGTTAAGAAAGAATCAAATTGTTATATGTCAATTTTTTTTATCCCATGTCATTTTTTGTTGTTCTACTTTATTATTAAGATTAAAATTTTATAAAATTATGAAAGCTTAAAAAATATTTAAATCATTGCAAATAGGATTAAAGGCATATTCAAAAAATTAAAATTCAATTATATTTGATAATCTATGTATTATTACAATCGATTATACAAAATAAAAAAGTAAAAAAATGTATTAAATGTTTCTTAATTAATACCAAATGCTTACTTGGAGGACATTGCAGAAGCTTAATCAGTTTCCACCAATCCCCGCTCAACTCTTGTATCCCAAGAACGTCAAATTATGCAAAAGAACTTTTATCAAACAATTACTTAATAAAGTAGACTCACTCTTTTATTTTATGGGGATTTTTTTAACTTTAATTTATTTAACTCAAACCATATTCATGAATATTATACGTTTTGACAAGTATATTTAACTTCATTCTTAACATTTCAGCTATGGATTTGTTCGCCCAGAGACAGACGAAAAGAGCATCTTTGTTCGTTATAGGTACGCATAAATGTAATTTCTTTTAAGTGAAATAATAATAATTTTTTATATATTGCATTAAAACTTATTCTCTTAAAATGTTGTAAGAATTCACATTTATTACTATCTTCTTCTCTTTGCTCAAAATTTAAATTTAAATTATTGTAAATAAAATATTTTTGGGACATTGGTCAACATTTTTCTTATTAATATATGGAATTTTTTTGGCAGTGCATCTTTGACTTTTATTTTTCTCCATCCCTCCCTTATTTTTTCAAATCTATTTCACTAAGAGAAATTCTAATAATACATTCTTCGATAAAAAAAAATTTAACACACTCTTAATTATAGATTAAAATTTATTAAAAATTACATGTAAGTTATACTCTTTTTCATTTTTAATTTGATATTTTTCTTCTATATTTTGGTAGTTATTAATAAATGTTAGCTCATACTTAAAAGTGTATTAAAAAAATATGTTGTTAGTCATTTTCTTCTAACAATGAGTTCTTTCTTGTGCTTAAGGCTTTAAGAAATTTGGCTCGACAAATGTTTCCATTCTTTATTTAGTGTGCTAGATTACTTATTATGTTTCTTGTGCATGGTTCAACCATTTGTCAACTACAATGTTTTCCAACTCAATGTATTTTTTCAATGTATGTTTAACGAAAATTATTAAATATGAATTTTTTTTTAATATTATAAACTCTCAATCACAACATTTTGAATTTGCATATGTATATACTCACATATTCTATAAGACTATGAGGTGTTCTCATTTCTATTTATTGTCTCAGCTTAACCAAGACTAGAAGGTAATTTAATGGAGCATAGACTTATTTTTATTTATTTATGTGCCAAACATGTAGGACTTTTTTCAAGTCTCGGATTCATTGTTTTACTCCTTGGTCTGTGGTGGCTATATAAAGTTGTGAAGAGAAAAATATTAAAGAAACAGAAAGAAAAGTTCTTCGAACAGAATGGAGGATTATTGTTACAACAAATATTATCTTCCGGTGAAGTTAATGCTGACAAAGTTAAACTTTTCAGCTTAAAGGACTTAGAGAAGGCCACTGACCAGTTTAGCATGAATAGAGTACTTGGCAAAGGAGGCCAAGGTACTGTTTACAAGGGCATGCTAATAGATGGAAAAATTGTTGCAGTGAAGAAGTTCAAGGTCCAAGGAAAAGTTGAACAATTCATCAACGAATTTGTCATTCTTTCACAAATTAACCATAGAAATGTGGTTAAGTTGTTAGGATGTTGTTTGGAAACTGAAATTCCTCTGCTTGTTTATGAATTCATTCCAAATGGTAACCTTTTTGAATACTTACATGATCAACAAAATGAGCCAATAACATGGGATACCCGTTTAAAAATTGCCATTGAAGTTGCCGGAGCTCTATTTTACTTGCACTCAGCTGCTTCTCAACCCATTTATCATAGAGACATAAAATCAACAAATATACTATTGGATGAAAGGTACAAAGCAAAAGTTGCTGACTTTGGTACATCAAGAATGGTTTCCATTGAAGCTACCCACCTCACTACAGCAGTTCAAGGTACTTTTGGGTATCTAGATCCTGAATATTTTCATACTAGTCAATTTACAGATAAAAGTGATGTTTATAGCTTTGGAGTAGTTCTTGTTGAACTTTTAACAAGACAAAAACCAATATCCTCCTTGGGATCTGAGGAAGCAAGAAGTTTGGCTTCATATTTCACTCTTTGTGTAGAGGAAAATCGTTTGTTTGATATTATTGATGAACGAGTTAGGAAGGAAGGGGAAAAAGAACATATCAATATAGTTGCCAATCTTGCTAGTAGATGCTTAGAGTTGAATGGGAGAAAACGACCAACAATGAAAGAAGTCATACTGGAAATAGAAGGTATTCGAAATTTAGAAAAGATGTCTAGTGCACAAGAAAATCATGAAGAATACGAGTTTGGTGAAATTGAAAACTCCCAATCACGGATTGCATCTTCTCCTACCTCAAATACAGGATCAACTCTAGAATGCCAAACATCAACCTCAGAGGTTATGCCTATTCTTATCGAATGATTGTTAAATTTTATTAATCCTAATATTTTATATTAGAGACATTTACTGCTGATCTCTCTTTTATTTTGTAAACACATTATGGATGCTCCACATCCGAACTAAACATATATACATTAACTAAAGGTGGGTGAACGATGTTGCAAGATCCATATCCAAATAATTGTACGGTATACAGACTTCACAATCACACGCAATAATTCCAGTTTATTTCGTGCGTTATAGTCGCCGACTCATCCTTTGAGTAATTAACATTAACTAAAGCAATGATATACCCATTTTCTATGACTTGATTATACCAATTTTTTAAATTAATTGGGAGGGAATGGCACTCGTGATTTGCTGAAGGCTTATTGTCCAGTTCACGTTAAATTTGAGTTTTTTTATTAAATAAATTATATTTTTTAAAATTTATTCAATTACAAAAAGACATTAAATTATTAAAAAATGTCCTAACAGGTAATTAAGTCCGTATATTTAAAAGTACAACAACAATAATAAATAAGAAGAGATTTTTATCATTTTATTAAATGCTTATTATGATCGATGTTTTGATATTTTATACATGTTGGTTTATTATAAATAGGTCATACCCTTACTTTAGATTTGAGAAAAAGGTCTAGGTTATTTAAAATATTTGGTTTGATTTCACTTATTTTCACTCTTATTACGGATTAAAATTAGATGTTTAATTAAAAATAGTTATAATAATCTTTTCCCTCCTATTACATGATTTTTTGTTCTAAGTTTTTGTATTTTTATTTAAATAAATAATTTTTCATTTAAATAAAAATACAAAAATACAGACACATAATAGTTATGTTTAAAAAAAAAAAGAGGGAATCTCAATCCCTAGATCGATCAAATATAATTTTAATCAAACGGTAAATTATGCCAACTGGCTTTTGGTGTAAAGAAAATGAATGGTGGTGCCCGTAGAATGGATGTGCATTGAAAGAGATGATTCACTGGAGAATATTGAATGTATATGTTTTGAGCATTTCCTTTTTGCTATAACTGTTCAAGCCTTAATGGTTGAAACTACTTTGAAAATGTGAATAATATGGGAATGGGTCTCTGTTTTCTCATTAGTTTCAAATTGTCTATCCTTCTGACATGGGTGGGTACAGTTGAAAACATAAAAGTATAACATACTCTATATAACCTTAAAAGATGTGCTTTAATTAAACAAGTTTGGATCAATACTCGTGCTGCCCGTGCTCTTTCATCGAACCCCTAAGCCACTTTGTTCATAAATCTTCATTTTATATTTGAATATATAATCTGCGTAGGACTTTCAAAGTTGTCTAACTAAATTATATATTAGCATGGTGTGTGAAAGGTGGCGTCTATATATGCTACTTTACCTCATTTACAGGTACCTTATCCTTCAATTATCATTTTATGAACTCTAGAATGAGATTTTGGGACAGTTATTTAATAAAATTATTATTATTATTTTATGTTTTCATTCCCGTACAATATAAAAGTTGTTTAATAATTTCTATAACTTGTACACACTAATAATCCAATAGCAAGTAAGTTCCCAAGAATTATCACTGTGTACATTTAAAAAAAAAGCTAACTTAATATTTTATTTTTCTACACTTTTATTAAGTTAGATAAATGTAAAAATCTAATTTTTAATTTTTCAAATAATGTATACTTATATAAAATAATTTTAATCCTTTTTTCTAGTTAGTTAACATATTTTAATTAATAATATCGAACAACTTAATTCAGTTAATTAGCTATAATTTTTTAACATTATTTACTATATTTGTAGCTAATTTTACCGACTCTGAACTGGTCAGCATAGATATCAAGGCCATTCAGATGAAGCGATTCTGCATGAATCTCAGATCTGTCGCTCAATTGGACAATCATTTGGTTGGCGTGCCCTTTAAACAAATATATCATATTTTATATTTATCGTGCATTATAGGTGCCAAATAAAAAATTGTCGTTGCTAGACCAGCTGCTGAGTCTGTTCTCTAGCAAGCAAACAACTTGTGGAAGGCTAATTATTCAAATGTGTGAACTTAAATGGGACCAAATAGCTACAGTTCTTCCTCCCACAAGCTGGCACTACTAAAGTTTGAGTTGCCATAAAAGAAAGAACAATGATGTATTCACGAAGTGCGTGTAGTGTGAACAGAATCAGAAGGAAAAGAGATAAGAAGTAAGGAAAACAAAAGAAAATGTAATTAATGATGGGATAAAAAATAAAAACTAAATATTTAAGAGATAATGGGTGAGAAAAAAAATAGTATTGTAAAAGAAGGTGATCAATGATATTTATGATGGTGTAAGAACGGAGAGCATAAATATGATCCTTCCTCTAACTTGGAAGCACAACACACCCAAGGGCGAAGGCTCTTCAAATCACTCCTTTAGCCACAATGGTTCTGAAATTCGCATTTCACATAACCATGATGATAACCTTATGGCCCATACATCTACAGGCATCTGCGCAGGATTCAACCATAACAAAAGATGGGTGTGACCCGACATGTGGAGGTGTTGAAATCCCTTACCCGTTTGGAATCAAATACCCCAAATGCTACGTAGACACGTGGTTTGAAATAGAATGCAGAAACACCAGTTCCGGAGATGAGAGACCTTACATCAAGTCTATAGATATGGAGGTGACAGCCATTGATGTCTCTAACAGCAGGGCTGTGATAAAGAATCCAATTTATAGTAAGAATTGCGGAAAAGAAAAAGGTTTGGCAGTCAAAAACCTGGGAGAAGGCGCTTTCGTGTATTCCCAGGATTACAACAAATTTATGGCCGCAGGTTGCAATAACATTGTTGTTTTGCATTCAGAAGGGTCAGAAGTGAGTGGTTGTGCATCCATCTGTGAAGACAACAAAGATGATGTTTTTGACATCTTCCTTGAAAGCGTTGAATGCCACGGCAAATACTGTTGCGAGAGTACCCTGCCTTCTTATCTTTCAGTGTTTAACGCAACAATTGAAGGTTTGGGTAAGAGCAATGAGTGCGGTTACGCATTGATTGTACAAGATTTTCACAAAGGGGATGCGTTTCTTTATAACTACAGTGAGAGTGAACTAAAGCATTTGAATGAAGTTCCTGCGGTTCTTGAGTGGGAGATTCCGTACATTTCCATCTCGGAACTCATTTTAGATACAGATATAAATGCTGATTGTTCGACCACTAATATTACCTCTACGCAGCACACATATTCAGGTATGAGATGTGAGTGCTTTTATGGCTACCATGGCAATCCCTACATTGTTGGAGGCTGTAAAGGTACGCCATGCTGCTTCCTGTTTGGCTGTCACCACTAAAAAAATTTATTTAATTTCTTCAAAAATTTACAATTTTGTAAAAATACTTTAGACAAACATTTTCATTTTATTGTATTTTTAAATTAATCAATAGACGTTTTGTCAGTTATATTTAACTTTATTCTTAACATTTCAGCTGTGGTTTCGTTCGCCCCTAGCGTAATGAAAGGTCACCCAAATTGGATTATAATAGGTATGCTTTAATATAATTTCTTTTAATTAAAAATATTATTCATTTTTTACACATTACATTCAAATTGTTCTCTTAAAAGGATTTACAAAATCGCGTATTATTTTTTGCTTCTCTTCTCTCAAATTTTAAACTTATATTATTGTAATAAAATATTCAGGTGGTAGGTTGAATCCATGAAATTTAAATCTTTTAGAACCTGTTAGATTTTAACAAACATTTTCTATTTTTAGAAATAGAAATGATTAAAAATATGTTTGATTTAACTATTTTCAATAATAAATTTCTTTATTTATTATATAAAATTTAAAATTAACCGTTAATATTTTATTAATAAATAAATTTTATAATAAAAAATTTACAATATATATCCTTACTAATGCTAATTATATTGCATTGTTTATTTAACATATTTAAATATATCATTATTCAGCTTAAGCTTCAAAAATAATATAAATATAACTATAATTTAGACCATTTGTGATGTATAAGATTTTTTAATATAAATTTATTAATCATGTATATATTCATTAATTTTAATAAAAATAGGTTTAAAATTTTCTTAAAATTGAATACTCTTCTTAATTTTATCTAATTAAATTATTAATATTTTAATAATACATAGGTATGCTTTTACACTCTAAAAATTATTATTAAAATATAAATGTATTAAAGTTTTTAAATAGCAACTACAAGTGTAATAATAAAAAATAAAAAGGGTATATATATTTTTAAAATTTATTTATTATTATATAAATAAAATATATAAAAATTATGAAAATAGTATAATATATATAAATATTTGTTTTAATATTTTAAAATAAAAAAATTATCAATTTAGAATGATAAGGATAAGAAACCTTATCACTATTAAGAAGATAAAGAAAAACAAATATAAAAAAGAAATAGCAAAAAAAAATAAAATTGCTCACAACACTTGGAAAGACAAAAACAAGAAAAATACACATTTAAGGAAAAAAGGAAATACTAATAAAGGTGTGAGTCAATGAGTATAATATATCTAAATAAAATTAGATAATATTTACAATAATCTTATCGCATTTTTTTTAAATTTTTAAATTTTTTTAAGAAAAAATTGGAAATATGTTTTTATTTATTTTTAAATTAAAATTAAATTTAAAAAATCTAACTAAACATATCTTTTTCTTCTATTTTTTCAATAGAAACATAAAATAAGCAAACCCAACCGGTTCCATGTTCCATTGTCAAATGTACGGTACACATTCTTCATCACATGAAAGTTAAACCCACGATAATAAAGAAACTTGTCCCTTCAATTAGGTAGGGAAAAATTGGAGGATCACCCCAACTCAAGTTTCATATACTCTTTAAAGCAAAGGAAATATTATCACATATAATAATAACATAAGATTCTCAAGAGTTCTCTTACTCAAACATTAAAATAATTTCATATAATAATAAAAAAAAATGTTAGAATGATTCGGTTGATAATACATATAATATTAGAATGATGGATCATATACTATGTACGAGTAAATTAGTATAAACTTATAATTCTTATATCAATAGTTCAACGGATATCAAACAAAATATATAGTTATGCATAACGATGACAATTTTTAAGTGAATTTGGAAATTTATTTGGGTATTGTTCCGTTTGGAATCTTAAAATTAGAATTTTATACTACGAGTATGAGAACAGTACAGGGTTAACACTTCTCCAGGTTATACCTTTTGTCATTGTTTAATTAAGTTCCTTGTCCATGGTTCGTTCAATTTAAAATACTTTGTCATCCAATTAAACAATATTTTTCTACACTCTATATTTTGCCAATGCATGTTTTAATCAGGATTATTAAATAAAATGGAACTATATTTGCATAAATCTCAACTGCAACTCTGCTAATTCGTGTTGCACTTTTTTCAGACTATTTATGTGCTATTTTTAGGTGTTGCAAGTAAATTTATGAAATATTATCGAATATTACTAAAATAAAAATCTAATTTTGAATATTAAATAGCATTAACAACACAAAAAAATTACACCTAAGATCCTATATTTTTTAAATATTGTGAGATGTTTAAATTTCTGTTTTAATAGGGCTTGAACTTATTTTAATGTATGTGTATGTATGTGCTAAATGTGTAGGGGTTTCTTTAAGCTTCGGATCCATCAGTTTATTCCTTGGTCTATGGAAATTATATAAAGTTGGGAGAAAAAAGATGATAAAGAAACGAAGAGAAAAGTTCTTCAAACAAAATGGAGGATTATTATTAAAACAAAGATTGTCTTCTGATGAAGTTACCGTCGACAAAGTCAAACTTTTCAAGTTAAAGGATATAGAGAAGGCCACTGACCAATTTAATATGAACAGGGTAATTGGCAAAGGAGGCCAAGGTACTGTTTATAAGGGCATGCTAATAGATGGAAAAATTGTTGCAGTGAAAAAGCTTAAAGTCAAAGGAAAAGTTGAAGAATTCATCAACGAATTTTCCATTCTTTCACAAATTAACCATAGAAATGTGGTTAAGTTGTTAGGATGTTGTTTGGAAACTAAAATTCCTTTGCTTGTTTATGAGTTCATTCCAAATGGTAACCTTTTCGAGTATTTACATGATCAACAAAATGAGCCAATGACATGGGATATGCGTTTAAGAATTGCCACTGAAGTTGCTGGAGCTCTATTTTACTTGCACTCAGCTGCTTCTCAACCCATATATCATAGAGACATCAAATCAACAAATATACTGTTGGATGAAAAGTACAGGGCAAAAGTTGCTGACTTTGGTACATCAAGAATGGTTTCTGTTGAAGCTACCCACCTCACTACAGCAGTTCAAGGTACTTTCGGATACTTAGATCCTGAATATTTTCGTACTAGTCAATTTACAGATAAAAGTGATGTTTATAGCTTTGGAGTAGTTCTTGTTGAACTTTTAACAAGGCAAAAGCCAATATCCTACTTGGGACCTGAGGAAGCTAGAGGTTTAGCTTCATATTTCACTCTTTGTATAGAAGAAAATCGTTTGTTTGATATTATTGATGAAAGAGTTAGGAAGGAAGGGAAGAAAGAACATATCCTTACAGTTGTCGCTGTAGCTAGTAGATGTTTAGAGGTTAATGGAAGAAAACGACCAACAATGAAAGAAGTCACATTGGAATTAGAAAGTGTTCGAAAATTAGAAAAGATGTCTAGTGCACAAGAAAATCAGGAAGAATACGAGTTTGGTGAAATTGAATACTCCCAAGCATGGATTGCATCTTCTCCTACCTCCAATACAGGATCAACTCTAGAATGCAAAACATCGACCTCAGAAGTTATGCCTATTTTTATCGAATGATTGTTAAATTTTCTTAATCCTAACCTTTTATAATAGTGACAGTTGCTTTAATCTCTCTCTTTTCTTTTGTGATCTTTTGAATGACACTAATGGTGACTATGTAAACACATCACTGATGCTTCACATCCAAACTAAACATCTATACACAATGCAATTCATTGGCTTAAAGGTGGGCGAATGATGTTACAAGATCCATATCCAAATAATTGCATCGTATGCAAACTTCACAATCGCACGCAATAATTCCAGGTTATTTCCTGCGTTAAACGCACCAGTTCATCCCTTAAATAATGAACATTAACTAACGGTGTGTTTGTTTTTAGAGAAATAAGAAAAATTGAAATTGTAAGGGATGTAATGTTGTATTTCTTTAGATTTAGACTCTGATTGAAAAAACTGGCCAAAAATAAGTTAATCGAAAGTTTATAATTTAAAATTTATAATTATTTTATTCAGTTAAAATTATTTGATAAAATTGTCTATATAACTGGCTAAAATATTAAGGATAAAAATGAAAATAATTATTGAAAGTTAGTTTTTTAATAGTTTATTGAAGTTATTTGAAATAGCTTTTAAAGTTAATTTTTAAACGATATAAGGTTCATTCATTTATTTTATTTGTCAAACAATTTGGTTAAATTTTTGAAAAAAAATAAAGCTCAAGTGTTTAAAAAATATAATATAAACATAAACATGTTAATAAAATATTAAAAGTATATAACAGTAAAAATATTTAAACTCTCTAATTAATATAATAATTTGCACAACTACAAGATAATTTAAATTTAAAATTTAAGATGATTAATCTATTATTTAGATTTCTAATCAATTAATTGAGTTTAATAAATTTAATATTTTTAAATACTCTTATTTATTTTGTTACTTTTTATAATCATAAAGATAAGATATAGATAAAAAGTTTTTCTATCATTGTATAATAATTAGGTAGTAATAATAATTAATTAGATAATTAGTAATTACTTTAACACAATTGAATAAAATTGAATTAAAAATAGGTAATTACAATAAGAACCAATAATCAAGCATTCATCTATATGAATCTATTCTATGATTTCTCTGTTTTTTATTTTTTCTTCAATTTTAAATTTTATTTTAATATTCTATAGTAGTAAATGTTTGCAATACAGTCTTCGTAGAAATAATAGTGTGAGAATTTAAACCGTTCTCTTTTGTTATGCATTCGTTATTCATTGAAAACTTTTTGAAAAGTTAAAATATGCAACAATATTTAATAATTAATTAACAAAATTTGTTATTTTTATAAATAATTATATATGTATAAATAATAAATTTATTCATTTTAATTTAAAAATGATATGTTTATGTATTATTCATGTGTATAACCTCATAAGTAAAAAAATATTATTTTAACAATTTAGAGCATTTAAAAAATATAATTAAATATTTACATGTTAATAAAATAATAAAAGTGTGTTTTTTAAGAACAGCAAAAATAATTAAATTCTCTAATAAATTAATATAATAGTTACATACTAAATCAATTAAAATTTAATATTATTTTTTAAATTTTTAAACTTTGACCCTCCACTAATTTTAAAACTAAATTTGTTATAATTATTTAGACCAAAGGCCATGAGAGAGAAGTTGAGAATTGCAAATTTTGAAAAGGAAAAATAATTAAAAACGATGGAGTTTACAATTCCTAACAGAGAAAGATTGTTTTCTCAATAAACTAAAGATGAGTAAATATTGTTGACAATTTTGAGTAAGAGTATTTCAAATAATAGATTAAGTATTATAGATTTTATAAATATAAATATTTATGAAAGTTTGTATAAAATAATAAGAAATTTTTTATAAATTTACACACATATATTCATAGAAAATTAAAAAAATTATATAAAGTAATAATAAAAAAAACATTACAAAGAAATAGTGAGTAATTAACATGCAATGTTTAACTAATTTTAATATTAAAACTTTATGTGATTAAAATTCAATTAAACTAAGCTTGTAAATAATTTTTTATAAAAAAATATTTATTTATAAATTAAAAAAATTTAATTTTCTCAAATTTTAAAATTTAATATACAAATTAATTTCACTTGTTATTGATCTATCAATATGATTTTCCTGTTAACCTCTTAACAAAATATTGACATGACTGGCCTATTATATAGTCAACAAAGTAGTTATTAACATGGTCCACGTATCTGTTATTATCCAGTGTTTCATCACTGTTCACCTTCTGTTAAATCAATCATAACCGTTGGATTTATTTTAAATATATTTAAACGGTGAGGATCATGTACTCGTCAGTGAAAAGTGGGACACCATATGAAACCGAAATTGCAAGATAATTAAAGGTCTAAATGAAACAAGTCGCCAGAAGTCTTCCTATCCTAACACAGTACACTCCAAATAATTTTCACTTAAAAATAAATAAAAATTATTAAATATTAAGATAATTCTTGTTAATATATTTTTTGTTTAACAAAAATTAAACTGTTAATAAAAAAATTTATAATCTATACTAATAAATAATATAACATATTCACCATCTGTATTTATTATTATATTTATTATTATAATACATCATATTGTTAATAAAAGTTTCAACTATCTATATTGATAGTATAATTTATATTTAAAAAAAGAAAAGTCAGTGCCGACAATTTATCTTTTAGTCATTGGTCAAGCTTGAGTTTCCATAAAAGACAGCGCCAAGAAATTGCTTATAGATAAATGAGTGCCGAGGAGAGAAAAAAAAACAGGGAGCATAAATAATCGTGCCTTTTTATTTATTTCTTTCTACCATATTTTCTATTTATCTTATTTTATTTAGGAGGAATAAATATGTAATATATTAAAATTAATAAAAAATACTTATATATTCTAAATTTTTATTATATTTTATAAATATCTATAATATTAAATTAATGTCATAAAATTTGTAAAATATTTTTTTTAAGATAAAACTTAAGCATAATGCTACAAGCATGATTAGTTATATTTTAATTAAAATTACAATTTTACATTAATTATATATGCTGACTTTTAATATTAAAGTATTGATATTTAGTATTAATTTTATTATATAATTTATTAAGGTAAAATTTAAATTTTGATTAAAAAATAACACAAATTAAACTTATAGCACTGCACTAAAATTTAATATTTAGAATCTTATTTCATATTTATCTTGCAAAATATAGGTTCCAAATAAAATTGTTGTTAATATTTTCTCTAGCTAGCAAACAAATGGGAATGGCGCATTATTCAAATTACTTGTGTGAATGAGCAACTGCCACGTCTTCCAGGTACAAATAAAGTTTGAGTTGACTGAGTGTGAAATCAAAGTGTTGTAAAAGAGAGTGCAGAATAATGGTACAAGAAGGGATCATAAATGTCTAACTGAGAAGCACACCACACCCTAACTAGCCTCTTCCAATCACTCCTTTAGCCACAATGGTTCTGCAATTTGCATTTCACATAATCATCATGACAACATTATGGCCCATGTATCTGCATGCATCTGCACAGCATTCACTCATAACAAAAGATGGGTGTAAACCCAAATGTGGAGGTGTTGAAATCCCTTACCCGTTTGGAATGAAAGATTCCAAATGCTACGTAGACACGTGGTTTGAAATAGAATGCAGAAACAGCACTTCCGGAGATGAGACACCTTATCTCAAGTCTCTAGATATGGAGGTGAAAGGCATTTATGTCTCTAAAGGCCAGGTTGTGGTAAAGAATCCAATTTACCGTAAGAATTGCGGAAAAAATGAAGTTTGGCCAGGCAAAAACCTGGGCAAAGGCCCTTTCGTGTATTCCCAGGATTACAACAAATTTATGGCCTTCGGTTGCAACAACATTGCTTTTCTGCATTCAAATGGGTCTGAAGTTAGTGGTTGTGTGTCTATCTGTGACAGCAAAAGATGATATCACCGACATGTACCTTGAAACCGAATGCAACGGCAAGTACTGTTGCGAGACTACTCTGCCCTCTCATCTATCAGAATTTAACGCAACAATTGAAGGTTTGGGTAAGAAGAACGAGTGCGGTTACGCATTCATAGTACAAGATTTTCAGAAATTGTATGGATTACGACATCATAGCATTGGGAGTGAGCTAGAACGTTTAAATGACTTTCCTGCGGTTCTTGAGTGGGAGATTCCGTACAATTCGACCCTCAAATTGAGAGCAGACGCAGATATAATAAATGGTCTCTGTTATGACACAAATGTTACCTCTTCTTCTCAGCGCACACACTCATCAGGTAAGAGATGTAGTTGCAGATATGACTTTGATGGCAATCCCTACATTGCTGGAGGCTGCACAGGTATGCTATGCTTCCTGTTCTTCATAAATTTACCTTTTTAATCCCCCTTTTCCTTTTTCCATAAACTTTAATATCAAGTTTTAAATTAAACTGTTTGATATTTTTAAATAAAATTTAAAAATACAAAGTGAATCAAAATATAATTTTTTTTATCACATTGTATGAAGCAAGTTAAACTTACCTATTAAGTAAATAACAAAATATTAATAAATTATTGATAAAATCATATAAAAATAGAATACAAATTTTAAGAGACTTATCTAAAATCATAAAAGTAAATAGCCAAATAAAAAATAATTAAAAAAAAAACTAAACTCTTATTTAAGTCTATTTTCAAATTAATTTTTTTTAAAAGATAATTAAGTATATAGTTTAAGTTCAAGTTTGTGTGAATAATTATTAACTCTCTAAGCTAATTCTTAATATTTCAGCTCCGCCCATCATCGACGGCATCGGATATGGAAAGATTTCAGTCAAAATAGGTATGCATAAGTATATTTTTAATTAAAAATTTTATTATTACTATTATTTATATATTGCATGAAAATTTATTCTCTTAAAATGATATGCAAATGACATGTATTATTATTTGCTTCTCTTCTCTCAAATTTAAATTATTGTAAATGAAATATTCATGACTGCACCCATTCTACATCATACCAATTAAAGAATAAACCGATGATAACAGTGAAAAACTTGGGAGGATCACTCCAACTCAAGTTTCACATACTCCTTAAAGTGAAGGGAATACACACTCAAGAAATAATCTAACTTAAACATTACAGTAATTACATATAACAGCAAAAACAATAAATGTTAGGCATATTTTGTAGATAAGTAATTAAAAATTAATATTTTTTTATTAAAAAATATTTATCACTTTAAGAATATAAATTATTATATTTTTAATAAAAATTTGTTATTTTCAAATATTTAAACTTTAGTAACGAGAATTAAAAATTGAATAATTAAAAATCTCTTTAACAATAAAAATAATCTAAAATTTTTCTAACGCATGATTAATGAAAATTATTAAAAATATAACAGAATTATGTTTGCATAAATTCTCAATTACAAATTTGTAAATTTGCGTCTATATGCTCACATCTTTTATAAGACTATGAGGTGTTCTGATTGATATTTAAAGTCATAACCAAGACTACAAGGTATTTTAATGGATGCATGAACTTGTTTTTATGTAAGTATGTGCTAAATGTGGAGGAGTTTTTTCAAGCGTCGGATCCATCATTTTTCTCCTTGGTCTATGGCAGCTATATAGAGTTGTGAGAAAAAAGATACTAAATAAACAGAGAGAAAAGTTCTTCAAACAAAATGGAGGATTACTGTTAAAACAAAGATTGTCTTCAGGTGAAGTTAATGTTGACAAGGTCAAACTTTTCAGCTTAAAGGATTTAGAGAAAGCCACTGACCATTTTAATATAAATAGAGTACTTGGCAAAGGAGGCCAAGGTACTGTTTACAAGGGCATGCTAGTAGATGGAAAAATTGTTGCAGTGAAAAAGTTTAGAGTCCAAGGAAAAGTTGAAGAATTCATCAATGAATTTGTCATTCTTTCACAAATTAACCATAGAAATGTGGTTAAGTTGTTAGGAAGTTGTTTGGAAACTGAAATTCCTTTGCTTGTTTATGAATTCATTCCAAATGGTAACCTTTTTGAATATTTACATGATCAACAAAATGAGCCAATGACATGGGATATGCGTTTAAGAATTGCCACTGAAGTTGCTGGAGCTCTATTTTATTTACATTCTGCTGCTTCTCAACCCATTTATCATAGAGACATCAAATCAACAAATATATTGTTGGATGAAAAGTATAAGGCAAAAGTTGCTGACTTTGGTACAGCAAGAATGATTTCTATTGAAGCTACCCACCTCACCACAGTAGTTCAAGGTACTTTTGGATACTTGGATCCTGAATATTTTCATACTAGTCAGTTTACAGAGAAAAGTGATGTTTATAGCTTTGGAGTAGTTCTTGTTGAACTTTTAACAAGGCAAAAACCAATATCATCCTCAGGACCTGAGGAAGCTAGAAGTTTAGCTTCATATTTCACTCTTTGTGTAGAAGAAAATCGTTTGTTTGATATTATTGATGAAAAAGTTAAGAAGGAAGGGGAGGAAGAACATATTATTGTAGTTGCCAATCTTGCAAGTAGATGCTTAAACTTGAATGGAAAAAAAAGGCCAACTATGAAAGAAGTTACACTGGAATTGGAAGGTATACAAAAATCAGAAAAGAAGTCTAATGCACAAGAACACTATGAAGAACTTGAGCTTGATGGTATTAAAGACTACTACCAATCTTGGACTGAGTATTCTATTACAAATTCAAGGCAAACTTTAGCTGATGAAACATCAACCTCAGAGGTTATGCCTATTGTTATAAAATAATTGGTGAATTTTCTTCATTCTGTTACCATGTGTATGTGTAAAATAAACCCATTTTGATCAGAAATATGGACGTATGTACCTTTCAAAAGTATAATTATGTCAAGTATAATCATGGCCATGGTATGATACAAACTTGTTTTAAAAAGCTACCGGTGCAGGTATCTTACAACCACTAAAAATAGTCAATATTGATTCTTGAAAAATAACTGAGGGTCACTCTTTTGATCATAACTTGAAAAATTGTCTTGAAGTTTTTTATTTTTAATTTGCTTCATATGAAAATAGGCCAACGAATGGTCATTTGCTTAAAACAGGAACAAATGAAGTTGTGATTGTTTGAAGTCAGCTTCTCAAAATCTAGTTGCTAATTTATTAGCCAAAAATGTTAATACACTCTTTTTAATAAATTATTAATCATTGAATAAATTTTATTAAAAACTAAAAAAGTACATAAAAAATATTAATTTAAGAGTGAAAAAGAATTAAACTTACATAATTTTTGTAATTTTTTATAAATTTTAACAAATAGTTAAGAATGTGTTAGAAAGAATGTTGCTAAGATTCTTCTTTATTAACACATATAACTGAGGGATTAATATAAAAGCAAAAACCTGCCAGCCAATTAAAATGACTTTCTGATCAATTAGAATGGTCTTGATTTGCAATTTGTATTTGAATGTTCCTAATTGATTTCGACCTTGATCAAATGAATTAGAAGTGGCCTGCAACAATTGTGAACTGTCATAAATTAATGACTAGGTATCATTTAAATTCATTTTAAACTTCTTCAATAGGCTTTAAAACTTGGCATGTTAAAGCATTTACAGCTCGTGATCATTTGATTTCATGGTCTAATGATTAAAATCATATTTAAAGCTCTCATTTGCAAAAATTTTCTATCCTTTTATTCTTCAACTTGTATTTTTCACTTTTTAAGAAATTAAATCTTTATTTTATCTTGTAATCCTTGTGAGGCTATGGTCTCTCTCAAGGCTAATAAACTAAGGGTGCAGTATCCCTTGTTGTAGAGTGAAAATTATAAGAGGATAAGGTAACCCCCCGAGATTGAGACTCAAGCACTTAAGTGAGGTATACCAAAACGTGAAAAATAATTTAATTTTGTGGAGGATTTTGGAAACCTACTGAAGCTTGGCATATATAATGCAAAAATTTTTAGGATATAACTTAAAAATTGTATCTAGGTCATAAATGATTGAAGACTGCGTTAAGATAAAACTTTGAGTTTATTCCCTTTTCTCTACACTTCCTAATTTCTATATTTGGTGCTTATATATATATATAGTCATACTCATTATAGGCTAAATTTTTTATATGATAATTAAAGATGACAATGGATAAACATATGTAGGATTTTGCAGGATTCGTCTTACATTAAAAAAAAACTCACGTGGATAATAGTTGTAATGGGCGTATTCATTGCATACTCATGCATTTCAATTAAATTGTGGTATCCCATTATGCATTACTATAATAGTCATACATGAATATGTTAAACGAATACGAGTAAAGTACTATGATTTCCATATCTACAAAATCTTGCAAGTAATTTACTCATTTCTTAGACCCTCACTTATTTGATGGGTAAAAATCTTATCAATTATAAGTATTTTAATGCATACTCATTCAATCCAAATCTGACAGCTATCTTTATAGTATATGCAGAGTTGAACACCCATTTCTGCTTCTTTATTTTTATTTTTTTTTGGGTTAACCATATCTGTCTGTTTAGCACATGCTCGTCCATAATGAACAGTTGGCTGCCATCAGTTTCACGTTAGTCGTTTTTTCAAAATTTAGATGAGCCCAAGATCATATTCTCTCAGCTTGTGGCACTCCACCATGGTTGCATGTTAGGTAAACCAATTGCTTAACAAACTTCCTCCTATCGCACTTCCGTCATTGTTTTTCCACAGGTATCCTTCCCTTCTTTTTTAATGGGTTCAGTTGAGTTCATCGCCTCTTCTTTTTTTCATTTTTTTCCCCTTTTAAATACACATTTCTTTTTGGATATACACATTCAGGGAGCCTAACTGAATTATTCCATTCACTCTTTTTGGCTAAGTTCTCTCTTAACACCTTAAAACTTATTGTTTGATAGCTACAACTTGCAGAGTGTAGTACAAAGAACAAATACGACACCACAACGAACTTTACAAATCGCGGTATTCTAAAAGATCCATAAAAATGTTCTCTTTCAATTAAATTAAACAATTTCTGGGGCTTCAGAGAGGAGGCCCACGTGAACAAGGCAAATTGCCCATCGACACAATATACGATCACGTTTTTTAAAAAAAAAAAATTTGAAAAAAAAAAAAACATCAAATTTATCCTCCAAGCCTCAGAGACCATGAAATGATGATCTACATGTAACTTCAATAATATAATCTCAACAAAACGCCCGTGACACTTGTGATGTTAAGTACTTGTATTGAATACGATTATCTACTTAACATTGTGTGTAGGGACACTCAGATAAAATTTGGTATTCTTGAAGTCATCCAAGAGTGGGTTGTATCCGTCCTTGGTTCTCGTTTTGGTGGGCAAACCAAACTCCTCCATGAAAGATGATGTTTCCAGCTACATCAAATATAAACTATTAAGCTAGAGTACATAAAATAGCTAAGAATTTGAAACAGAGCACATCTGGCAATTTCTCATCAAACATTCCAAAACAAATGTCGATGACTCTTATCTATAGTTTTTTAGTTATTTATATTATGGAAAACAATTTTTAAAGATTTTAATTTTTTATAAAAGACTATTATTTTTTATATGTTGTGTTTATATATAAACTTTGAAAACATTCAACAAGGAGATGAAAAATAGAATTTCATATGCTGTCATGGAACCTCCAACCTCTCATTTGCGGCCTTGGGTGCAGTGATATTAAAACAATCTTTGATAAAATAATCACTGAATTTACCGTAATTGTTCTCCTTTTCTTTCCTTTTTTTGATGAATGATCACTGAGAGGTTTCAGCCACCCAGAACAATAATGATCCATTTGTTCCAAAAGCCAAAAGTCCGTAGGAAAAAAGATATCGGCGTCACCCTGCAAAACATAAACACACAAGCTTTAGTACAACCGTGTGGTGTGGTTTTGGTTCTGGAAGAAATTATTTCATGACAGGATCATCACTTACATAAGACAGAATGCAAAATTAGTTTTGTACTCCCATGAAGTAACTAAAATAATGATTGAGCTTAAAAGTTTCTTGTTGCCAATGAATGCAACAAAGCTCCGGAAATAATTAATCAGGATGCTTAACAATTACAATTCTGAACTTCTGAATCACTTGTGATTAGTAAAAGGCAGGCCAATATTTCAATCATGAGGGCTATGTTAAAACAGCACTGCATCTTGCAGGATAATTATATGAAAACAATAAATCTAGTACTCTGAATAAAATTATTATTGGATTGCAATTTACATTATAGCAAGCCATGTTTACTCCCAAGGGACTCAACACCCTTTTAAGTTGATTAAGAAATATATTTTAGTAATTTAGATCGTTCTTACCACTTGTCATTTGATTTTTAGGTTGTGCTTGACAAAAGGCTGAGTTAACACCAATAAATTACTTTAGCATGCAAATTTTGACTAGAGAAAATTTATTCCCTCAGAGTAGAGTTATGCATTGAAGCAGTTCCTGGGTTGTTTGAACAGAATTTTTAGCACTGATAAATAAATGGATCAGGCATCTTAGTTGTTCTTCTAAGCCACTTTGGTTTGCTGTTATATAATTTCTTATCCTCCTGTACTTTTACCTCTAACGTCTTTTTAATGTTATTTTTTTTATCAAAAGCACCAAAACAAACAAAGATCCTGGGTCATACAGTCCATATTATCAAACAAATGTCACAAGAATTATGCCAGAAATATTTATTCAATAAAAAGTAATGAATTTAAAACTCCCAGTAAGTTCAAATTGCTAATGCTCAACAGCTTCTGTAGCCATTATGGTTTACTAATACTAAATCATTAATGTTTCAGCATAATTTATCACATTATTCTTCAAACATCATGTTAAATTTAAGCAAGATTGTTTCAAGCTACAAATACAGTATTTGCTAACCATGAGAAGCAGAGTGAAAACAAGGAAAATGAATTGAAAAGGAAAGAAGCTATTGCAAACCGAACCTTTGCCTGCATATAATTATCATAATCTGAACTGCTCCCATCTTTCTGCAATTCATAAGGAAAACCCAAGACTATGAATACAAATTAGAAACTTCAGTTTGATTTGTAAAGCGAAGAAACAAAAAGGATTTCTACAGATGATAACAAATTAGGATCTCTGTATACACATCTTTCAAATCGTTGACACAATCCATTAGGCAGAATATGCAGAAGCTGGGTTACCAATACATATTAAGTTTACAATATAAATATCCCTGCACAGGCTAATACATTATAGAAATAGCTTACCCATAACAAGGTACAGTATTGATATTAACAAGGGAAAAAATGGTTTTGGAAACTTAACAGTATCATGTACTCTCATTCTGATTACTACATTGTTATAGTGGTTAACATAATCAAATTACATTGATATAGCTGCTTTTACGCACTAAAGATTATATGAGCCACATAGAAAAGAATGATGACAAGATCATTAAAGTGGCAGATCCTCACAACTAGTGAACATTGCTTCTCATTTCTCAATCATATCACATGTACAGAGTATAAATAATGATCTTAATACACAAAGCAAATGGATAGAGACTCCATTCTTAGGACTACTGCATGAAAACTTCACGCTAAAGTTTGAGATGAGAAAGCAGACAACTGATGTATTGTTCAAGAAAAGTAATGAGAATATACTTTAGTTGAAACCAATGGAGCTCTTTCACCAGGTATCTTCACATCTGGTAGGTAGCTGAAATCAGAAGCAATCAAAGACATCTTTGGTAGCACCTCATGGAGAACCTCAAGTAATTTCTGGAAAAGTGAAGTTATTATAAATGCAAGAATCAAGTTATAAATCAGACTTAAGGAAGAATTAAGAGACTCTTACCAAGCAACCAGTTGGCAGCCAACATCTACGCGGTTTTGGATAAACCTTAGACCAAATGCTTTTCAGTGTAGATACTGCAGTGCTTTGAGGTGTTTTGGTTTTATCCAAGTCCATTATCTCAACACAACGTGTAATAAGTGAGTCTTGCAACGGCTTGTATAACTCGCTGACTGTTTCTCTATTAAAGGTAGGAAGTGGTTCGTGATTTGTAATTCTCATTTAGGTTGTATTAAAGAGGCCACAGAATTATGTTATGATTCAGCAATCACTTAAATGCAAACATCCTTTTGTGTGTGTTAACTACTACTTAATGAAGCACTAGAATACATGTCATGGCATATGCAGCAACAGTACGATCTGCATCCACACAAAGCAGAAACTAACCGGCCATGTTGCCTCTCAACCCAGACTTCCATCCATGGGGAAGTTTGATTCTCTGCATAGATAAGATCATGTGGAAGATTATCAAGTACCTACAAGAAATAGATAAATTGGTGTGAAATATCTATATTATTATTATTATTATTATTATTATCACAAAATATAACATTAACAAGAGGAAAAACAGGTAGAAGATCATTTCTAGTCTGCAACATTTAATACTTAGGTTCTTAACAAATTGCACACAATTGATCAACAATCTTTTATGATGCATCTGTAATGATGATGCCAGATGCCCAAATGCCATATCTTAGCTGGTAAGGGGGAACTGCCAACACACGTGTTTAGTGCCTGAAACTCTGTCAAAAGGAACCAGATTGACCTTTGAGAACCGGCTGGTCAGGTTCCTAATGGTGACCATTATCATACAAGTGCAAAGTGAAGCAGCTCTTGATCTTTGACCACACTTGATTGCCTGAATCCTTGTTGAAGACCATTTCACTACAGCAGTTCGGAGTGCAGCAATAGTAGCCAACAGCCACAACACTATCTTACAGGCAGTCCAATTCCCTAACCTCACACAATGTGAAGCACCAAATTAGGGGCCTTTAGGTTCATTGACACCTACAAACTAATTTAGGGATTTGAAATCACTATGAAAGTCAAGCATAGCATAAAGTTGTACACAGCAGCTCGCTCTGTTGAAACAAATTTAGGGCATACTCTAACTATGTTGCACCATTTTCATATTAATTTGACACTTCTAACCTTGCTTTGGCCTTTGACACTTTAATTAGTCCTGCATGTAGCTTTGTATTTCATAACTCCATTTCCCATACAGCTCAGTGACAAGTCCTCAAACAGTTTCACACAACGCTTCTTCTCCTTCAACCAATAAGGTTTAGTCCCAGTATATCTATAACAGTAGTTTCTGTACTTGACCTTTTTCATTCTGTGCTCTTCTTTCTGGGGGTGTTCATAGGTCACTTCTGTAGCATGACTTGGTAATAACTACTGCTTAATATGTTCTTACTGCTAGGCTCTAATAAATTAGTCAATCTTGATCTTTTTTTCCTCTAGTGCCATGTTATGTAATTTCTGACCGTGGTTACCTGCATTTTTTTTTTTGGGTACTGTTACATATACAGACCCAGTCCCTCTCACTATGGTATGGCCATGACAATCTTAAAGCAGTTCTTCCTCTTCAATGGTAAAGCCAACTGATGATATATTGATATAGGATGGCCATGGAATAGTTTGAAGAAATGACAGATAATAAAAACAATAAGTCTGTTACATGTCAAGTTTTTCCATTGCAGCTACTCAACAATCCACTATGCCACTACCATTAATTATTTTCTTGGTAGGTGAGTTCTCAGTACAAGATCCATGTCAAGGAATTTGTTTTCTTGGAATTTTAAATAAAAACAAGTTTAGGTCATATTTTTACTGGGAAAAATATTTGACCTGGAAGAAAAAACACTCTCATTTATCGAACACACCTCAAGCATTATTACCCAACATGGTTGTTGCTCCACATTCCCTGTAAAGATGGGAACAACGATATTAGCATTTCATTAACATATCTTTGACACACTACATAGAAGTTTCCATATATCACCAAAATAGGAGGTCTGAAGTTTACAAAATTTAACTTTTACAGGCAAAATAAGTATACAATTGAGCCTCATTTACCATAACAATATTATCAACCAATAAAAGGCAATTGGAGTGAACAGCGATATATCGAGCTTGTCTAGTATCTAAAACAGAAAGTGCATCATGACCCATTCAATTTACCAATACTCGCCATCTCTTTGCCTCCTCCACTACCCCAAGAAAAATCAGAAGTCAAGCCCCTTGTATACAAATTAAACATTGTAGAAAAAAAACAAGGAAGCACTGAACGTGAATGATTACAATTTAAGCATCCTCTGTCATATATAAGGGTATACAGTTATTATATATATGGGTCAAGAGCTTTATTCATATTCATAACTATTATATTGCATTTGAATAACATTTATTTTCTTTAAATAATATATTATCTTGCAAGCAAAATGGATAATTTATTAATCACCATACATTTACCGGTGACGCATGGGTCACATACTAGTAATAATAAAAATGGAGACCCAGTGCATGAGGTTGTCGCCTAGTACAGTTTGGGAAGGACAAACATGTCTCGCAAGGAAAGGAGCTACTTCTAATATTTTAACCTGTGACCTTTAGGTCACAAGGCAACAACAACCTTACCATTGCCCAAGGCTCACCTAAGTAATGACTAATGATAATAATGATACATATAAATATTACAATATTTAATACAACAATGAAGTGAAAAACAGAAAAGAAATAGAAAATGATGGAATGGTAAGTTAGATTACTTGACTGACACGTGAAAATGTCACCAAATTGCAAAGAAAAATTCCCATTATATTATATTTGACTTTTGCAAATACATCTAGATTATGACCCCTAAAATTCAAGACTAAGCAAATTAAGTACAGCTGTCCAAATGAAAGACTAGACCGTAGAGGGGCTTTCAACTTGCAAATAGGTTTGTCAAAAAGAATCTTAGATGGGTAGATGGCTTGGAGAGATTGCACATTATAAGCAAAAATTTATTGCCTTCCACCAAACCTTTCTTTGTAGTATTATTTTGTTTACAACCTATGTTAGTAGGTGACCAATGGCCCCACTAAATGAAAGCTCAACCTTTAGATTCTTGCTTACTTTCAGAAACCACAACAAAATTTATGTAACACCACTTAATTAATATAGCAGCCTACCCCATCCACTCCGGTCAGCAGCATCACGACATTCTACCCTGAACTTTGGTATATGGCTTCGCACTTCACCAACAGTTTCTCTTTGCACCTCAGCAAGTGAAGGACTAATCTCAACTGAGCTGTAGTTAAAAACAGGATATTAACTAGGATGTGAATCATAAAAAGGTAAGTACACAAGACAAATTTACTAAAGTAAATGTACTCCAATTTAATTTATCAAGAGTAATAAATAGGATACTCATAACACTGATGGACAACAACTTCAAAATTCAAACATTAATAAGATACAACACCATAATTTTAATCATATACACAAAACACTGAGGAGAGAGCAGTATGAGATCTACAATACATTTGTATTGTTAAGTACTGATGCCCAAATATATGATTTGACCATATACAGAAGTTTTCACTTTCAAATGGAAATGTCAGGATTCAAGAAGGAACCCTTAAGGTTTGGAGAGAGCATCAGAAATTGAAAAAAATAATTTACAAGAAAATTACCCCCAGAATCAGTCCAAACCCTTCTGTCTGAATTGGCTGAGAATGGAAAGGAATCAAGTAAAATCAAAAGGGACACAGATAGGTAGTTCACACTTTCTCTATTATTCATATTTCATAATTCATATCTCAATGAGTGTGAAAGTCCCAAATAATAGAAAGAGCCTATAAGTTACTAATGGAAGAATTATGCAATGCAAAAGATATCTTAACAAAAGAGTTAAAATCAGCTCTAACATTATAATCTGATTTTGTGATAATGTATATATGATATCAACTGTGAAGGCACGTACATGTAAGTCATACTGTTATAAACTTTTGCAGGAGCATTCAACATTATGTAATCCATTATACCCTTGGCACAAGTTCCTGATCCACCACCAATTTCATATATCTGATTGCAAATTAGAGGATAGTATCAACTACAGATCGAAGTAATAAAAAGTAACAGTCAGTGTAAACAAGATACATTTCTTATGCTTACTAAATTTATAACAAAACAAAAATATGGGGTTTACGACAGAAAAAATATTAAACAAACTGTAGATAGAAAACAGGCATGAAACGTACTTATATGGAACTGAAACAATATCTAATTAAGAGTTTATGTGCAGATTAGCAGCATAATGCAGGTCCCTCACAGTCCAGCTCCAGCTGCTGGAAAAGAAAGACATTTCTGTGGGCTCTTAATAGTAGATTGGCCAGAAATATAGGGAATAATGATCAGTGCAGTTTTGGTAAGGCTCCAAAGAGAAGTTGTGTGGATTGAAGAACAACTAGCACACCTTTATTGAATGTGTCTTAAACTATAAATTGTCCCTGGTTCTTAAGCAACGGTTTAGAGCATAGATATTTCAGCACTAACAATGAGCTAAAAGATTTATTCATCTCTTCTTTTAAAAATAACTCTTCCTTTTCCTTTCTGTCCGAAGATTTTATTCAAACCAAAGTTAACAAAAAGGCATAAACTCAAAAAACAAAATGCATCTGTGCAAAAACAAGTACATCAGACTCCTAATAACATCTGTCCCATGATCATATGCAAAAAGATTGCAATGCACTTACTTTTAGAGGAACAGAGAAGTTTGCAGTGCGCATGATGGCTTCAGCAATAGCATGAGCATACCAAGGCTACAAAAATAAAAAATAAAATAAACATAAAAGAGCTAAAACACTATATAGCATCAATATATATGACTGAAAAGTTCAGAATAAATATATTGTTTAAAATTCTACAACTATTTCAAGCACCAGAAATTCATTTCATTATATTTTGATATACCCAAGAAAATACATATAAAAATTCTGAAAAATTGCATACCAAAGTTCTCATGTCCAATATGTGCCTGACTTTGCATTTAGACTCCAATGATCAATTCCACCCTAGAAAAAGGATAAACTTGAATATCCCAAGGTATACTGTCCCACAAATTCTTTAAATCAAAAGAAAAATAAGATATTTTAATATTTCTGTTTCAATCAAAGAAAATCTTATCAATGTAGTTTTCTAATAAACAGAAAAAAAAAAATGCATTATATCGTATTTCAAAAGTCATAGTTATGCATTATATCAATTAAGACGCACTAGCAGTTTTTGGCCTAATGTGGGTTCCAGTCACCTAATCTTCTTAGCCAAAAGTCTTTTAAGAATAACTACACTATTCCCCACTAATATCTATTTTAAAAAATAGGGCAAGCAACAAACTCATAAGTGACCCAAGCTGAAGTTCATGAACCATAACAATGAGAATCAACAAGATAAAATTAGTGTCAAATGAATTTGAATAGAATTAGGTACATATCTTCTGTTGTTAATATCAATGCAATACACATGGCTGATGTTCCACATCAGTCCACATAGATGATGGCATTCTGAACACTGTAGTGATAAAGCATTTTTAGGTTCAAGAATACTTTTTATTATATTGAAACTCCCTTTCTACATGGTTCAAAATTCAATCTTTTAGGTCCTAATCAAAGTTATCAATTTCAAACAGTGGCAAGTGGCCAACATAAAAAAAATGCTATAGTGAGATAGTGCACAGCAGGATAACCACTACATAGAAATTTTATATACAAATTAAAAGATCTATACTATACATATAAATGCTCATTTTTAATAAAATAAAAATCCATGACATATTCATAATTAAAATTCAAAAGTCATAGCTCTTGAGCAAAACAAACAAGTAAATAACAATAAGAGTAAAAAATTCCTCAAAGCAATGCTTTTCTTTGGGGCAAAAATGTTTTTTTTATTCAACTTCACTCTAGCACCGCTGTATCATTGCTACAGCCACTATTGCAGCCGTTATTTAAAAGTGTTCCACTATTCAAATTTTGTAGTGGTTTATGGCCACTTTAATATCCCACTATTGATAACTATGGTCCTCATTATTCATTTATTGAAGAAAAGCACAAAGCATTGGGCTGCTTGTGCTTCAAGCATGTTATATGAGGAACAACTGATTGTATCAGGAATTGTATTAGGGGAAAAATTCACTAGTCCAACTTAATTGTGCTAAAACACCTGTGAGGCCTTTTTGTTTTCAGTAAAGGGTAGCTCAATATCAAATCTAAAATAAACTCAAATGTCATCTTAAATTTGGATGAAGATCTAATTTAACCTCAAAAGGTAACTCTTAAGGTGAGAATTGTTTTTAACTTTCACAAATTCTACTTTAGCTATATTTGTGGTCGTGAAACTTCAACACACTATCATACACTTATGATTGGGCATTTAGAGCATAAAGAATGTGTCAAAGTCCTATATCGACTACAAAATATAACTAATATAAAACTTATAAAGGCTAAAGTAATATTTACCTTATGAGCTAACTTTTTGGGTTGAGTTAAACTCAAGTCCAAATTTAATATGATATCAACACACTATCATACACTTATGATTGGACATTTAGAGCATAAAGAATGTGTCAAAGTCCTATATCGACTACAAAATATAATTAAAATAAAACTTATAAAGGCTAAAGTAATATTTACCTTATCAGCTAACTTTTTGGGTTGAGTTAAACTCAAGTTCAAATTTAATATGGTATCAACACACTAGCATCTAGAAAGCCTAATATTAAAGATCAAATTGTTGATAAGATGAGTCTTGCCTTATTTAAGATACTGCTGCAACGTTCCAAAAAATATTATAATTATTTAGTATTATTAAGATTCAGAAGTTATTAATTGAATTAATATGTTAGGTCAATTCCAGGGGAATTTAGTAATTTTATCACTCCTTGCTTGCAGGCTATGTATTCAAGCTTGAGATTCTGTTCTTTGGAGGCCATTGGATCTTATTTCAATGTTCAACTCTTCTTTGTGGGTTCATAATTATTGAGAGTCTAACTGAGACTTGCTCCTTCTTGTTTGTGTGACATGTAGGTTAATTATTCTTCTCAATTTCAACTTGGTTTTCATTAATGTTATGGTTATAACCTACAAATATCTCATTCTCTCCCCGGACAGGACAAAAAAAATACCATTCTCTTGACAGTCTAGTTGATCTATACCCAAACTGACACTAGATGCATCCATCTTAACCCCTAACCCACCCACCCCCCAAATTTGCAAGTATAGCTCACAGCCCTGAAACCAACACCAATTGATCCTCTTCAACCCAATTTCTATTTTTTGCAGCTCCCTCTAGACCAAAAAAGTTGAGCTTGACCACAATTATAGCTCTTGAAGATTGAACATTCATGTAAGTTAGAAATTCTAATTGATTAAATAAACTGTTTAAAAAATAACAATTTTCTCCTTAACAAACTGAGAACTGTTAAAATGACATTGAGTCATATTATTCTACATATTGGTGACTATAAAATCTTTATCCTATAGAGATTGTACCTTAAAAAGCTCCACTGGTGTAAACCATGATATGTCATTCTGCTTGTAAATAGTATCCAAGTATTTCATATAAGCTTTTCGGCCTGCAATGTGTCACCATCCTACTACATTAGAACAAACCATTAAAAATTTATAATTACAAGCAATGTTAAATTGAGTTTTTCAACTTCTTAGACAGACAAGTATTTAAACTGAATCGATAATAGTTTGGGAATTTTAAAAAGCTTCATGCTTTGCATTTAATCCAGAGAATTCATAAAAGGCTGGTTGAACTGAAATAATCCAGAAGCAGAATATTGAAAAGCCAATTTCCCAAAATTAATGATTTGTAAGTTGTAACCAACAGTCAATATCGTTTCTCAATATACATATGGTTATCGATTATTGATAAATAAAATAAGAAATGCAGAGAAGATGACCTTGAAGTTGATTGAATTTAATAGAATTGGGAAGAACTCCAACGGAGCGCGATCTTTGGGAGAAGTAGCCATGTAACGGATGGTAGAGTGCAGAATGAATAAAATCCCGAACCTGTTTGAGAATTGAATTGATGGAACATTAGAGACACATACATACATCGCTCAGAATTCCAAAGAGAATGGATCGCTTACCAGAACGGGCTTATCGCCGACAATGTTGGTGGAGTAGAGAGCTTCGTGTGGAGGAGCACACACTTGATTCGGAACGCCAAAGAGAAACGCAGTTAGATTGGTGAGAACACAAACACACACACACACACACACACACACACACAGAGTACCTTTGGAGGCGAGAGAAATGAGAGGAAGAGTGCGAGTGCGAGTGCAAGAAAACATGGTTCAGTTGAAGAAGGTTCAGAGCTCAACAGCACAAGGCACGTTTGCTCTTAAACCCTTTGCTCTGCTCCTCACTACCCAAGGGTTTTGTTTTGCCGTCGGGGATGGGTTAATACCCTCTTAAGTTGGCCTTCGGATATTCATTTTATCAATTTTGTTTCTAGTTTATATATGGTTTATGTCGAATATTATAAAATTCAGGATTTTGCTAGTTTAAATATTTAAAAATAATAATTTTTTTATGAAAAATATTTTTATTATATTAAAGTTACAAAGATATAATATATATATATATATTTATAATAGATTATACTCCTTAAAGATGTTTATTATGTGTTTTATCTTACTTTTAAAAAATATATTATTCTTCAGTGAAATTAAAATTATATTTTAATTTTTAATATAAATAAATTTCTTAACCAGGGTCAACAATTATTAACATAACTCTATAAAAATTTACCTTTTGTCATACCTTTTAGTATTACTAGAGATTTTAAAACATATCATTGATTTATTATAAAAAGTAGAGTAAATTTTTCAATATCTTTATTGTGAACTTTCAAATTTTATCTAAAATCACAATTCACCTTTTAAGATCACAAAATTAATCATAATATTTAAAATTAATTGTCAACTATCTAATATAACAAAAAGAAACCTTTAAAAAAACCCATTTACATAAAAATGGACTCGTATAATATATAGTTATCGTTTGAAAAAGAAAATGCTGTGCTTTAAAATAAAAGGGGGGATTTTAATTTAAACATCTTTAAAGGAGAAATATAATTTATTCAAATATTTTTTGTTTTTATTTTGGATGTTGTTTTAAAGTTTCGTGGATGAAATAAAAAAATTATGATCTGGTTAATTTCAGCCCCAAAGCATCTCTAACGGTAGATGATTAGTTCACTTTTTTATAAAAACAATCAAAATAAGTAAAAATACCATTGAAAGAGGTGAGCTAACATTTTAGATAGACAACCGTATCTTATGTAAGCAATTTTTGCTTAAACAAAAATTCAGCAAAAAGTAAGTCTATTCATACCTTTTTTTGAAATTAAAAAAAATTACACAAATTTGAGCCAGAAATAAAAAATAAAATTATGGGATAACTTATGAGACTCATTTTGTAAATTTTTAAGAGTTATATGATTGAAGATGAAAGATGTTTGAATGATAAAAAGTAAAAAGAAATGATGCGTAATTGTTGGACCCATATAAAATAAATTTAAGTAACTTGTATATATTAAGATACAAATTATAAATCTAATAATCAAATCATTGTTAGGACTCATGAAATATGGTTTCCATTTTTATATGAGATGTTCTTTGTGGGCTATCTCAAGAAAGTGTTAATTTTCAAATCATTTATGAACCATCAAATTTAATTAGCAGTGAGATTGGGGCAGCTGCACTCCAGGTGATATTTTTGGACTATAATGCTAATAGGACATTTTTTAAAATACTTATAACTACTAAAATACATTATTTTATGAGAAAAATTCACTTAATTTTTGTAATTTTTAATAAATTTTAGCCAATAATTAAGAGTGTAATAATTAAGAGTGTGTTAAGAAATGTGTCATTAATATTTCTCTTTTAAAGTAAGATATTCTGATTATCATTTTACTAGAAAAGAAATACAATCATGAGAGGATGCTCTTGTGGATATGATATGATCCCATAATGTTCAACGGATACTGCACTGCTAGCCTTCATTCAAGCATCTAAGGACAGAATGTGAAGAGTTTAGGATTCATGGAACCTCAAATAAAGGTAACTACCAAGTTGTTGGCATAAATTATTAGCAAACCACCTGTACTAGGAAATACTCACTCCAACTATTGATGGACAGATATTTCCATGCTTGAGCTTCACAGCCATGTTGACATTATTTCATACATTTGATACAAAATATGACATTTTTTACGATTGTTTGTGTTCTAGCTTGGGAAAATGCATGCCTAATAGTAACCTTGAACTCATCAATGCAACTATAAAGAAAGCACAGATTCTCGGGCAATTTGCTTTCTTAAAGTAACCTTAACTAGATTTTAATCTCCAGATTAAATTCCTTTCCAATAAGTAGTGATATTTTTGAAACTTCAACAATATCAAACTGAGAGGAGCTATCAAGTTGTGTCCTCACAGTTGCTTTCCCAATCGAATTCATCCCGTTTACAATGTTCAACTCCTTCCTTGACAAATCCATTCTATTAAATGTCTTATGCTTAGGTATCCCCAAGAGAGTTACCTTATCTATGATCCACCTTTGGTCTAGAGCGAATCTTCCATTAGTGACCTTAGATGCAACAAAAATGCTATTGTTGTCAAATGCAGCATCAAAGCTTACTAACGTCCATTGCTCATTCCCTCCTGCTATGTCAAGACCCTCCCCATCATCCAAATAGACTTTTCCATAACTATTTCCACTTCTACTAATAACCACCACAAGTTGAAATGAAGTGTTTCTAGCAGCTTCAGTTGTCATTGCTTCTCCTTGCAATGCCAAAATATTACCTTCCCCAACATGCACATTAATGTGATCAGATGGAGCATTAAGAGTCACATGCTGGCCTGATTTTGCATTCAATGAATTTGAGAAATTGAAGAGGTCAAACCAGTTTCCTGCAGGAAAGTATGCATCAACAGTGACTGCCCCAGATTGTAGTACAGGTGACACCAAAACCCCTTTACCCAACAGAAACTGTGAGTTGATTTCATATGTTGTGACATCCTCAGGGAATGAAAAGAAAAGGGGTCTTGCAATTGGCGTCCCTTTTGTATGTGCTTCATACATTAGTGTGTAGAAATAAGGAAGAAGACGATAACGAAGACCAAGCACTTTCCTAGCTGATGCAGCAACTGATTCCCAAAGGTAAAGCTCTTGCCTGATGGAATTCTTGTCTGAATGATCTCTCGCAAAGGGGTAAAAGGCCCCCAACTGCATTAACCAAAATAATGAGTTACATATGTATAATACTGTGTTTCATAGTTTATTCCTGCTACGCTAAGCACGCGAATATTTAATATAGTAACATTCACACTAGTGCAAAAATTATCCCATACTACAACTGCATTTGAGAATCAATTTACCTGGATCCAACGCCGGCAAAGTTCTTCAGTTGTATTCCCTGAGAAACCACATATATCTGCTCCAACCATCGGAATCCCAAAGATTCCAAAATTCAATATGGATGGAATTGAGTATGCCAAATCATTCCATGTTGCAGCATTGTCTCCTGTCCAATGGGCAGTGTACTTACCAGAGCTAATAAATGTTGATCTACTAAGAATGAATGGCCTTCTACCAGTTATATTCACTAATGCCTTGTTAGTTGCCTTGGCTTCTAAGAGTCCATACAAATTGTGGGCATTATACTCAGTGATGTTACCAAAGTGCAAAGACGTTGCAGGGACTGTTCTGTCATTAATGGATTGTTGAGATCCTTTATTGTTGATTTTGTAGGGAGGGTTATCAAGGTTAGAAGATGGAATTGGAAGAGAAGTAATGAAATTTGATAACTCATTCATGTCAATCCAAAGACCATCAAAAGGGAGAAGGTCTCTAAATAATTTGATCTCCCCACCCCAAAATTCTTGGCTGCGTGGGTTTAGAAAATCAGGGTAGTAAACTGGTCCAGGCCAAACTTTACCCAAGTAATTGACTCCATTTCTCTTTATGTATATATCAGCTTTCAAACCTCTAACATAGGTTGCATGTGTGTCATTTACATTGATACCTGTTTAAAAAAATTTGCCTCAGATCAATAAAAGATGCAGAGATGCTTCCTCAAACATTAACAAAAGAATATGAATTGTTTGAAAGAAATTTAATGATGTCAGAATTAGGTACCAGGATCCAAGATAAGCACATATTTCTGACCATTTTGGTGAAGAGTATCAACAAAACTTCTCATCTTATCCAATGGAAAGTTGATTGGATCAAGTGTGAAATCTTTATTTCCGTCCATGTAGTCAATATCTGTCCACATAACTTCAAGGGGTATATTTGCTTTTGAGTAGTTGGCAACCACACCCTGGAGATCACTTACACTCTCGTAGCCCCATCGACACTGATGAAAACCTCCCCAAAAGAGAAACAAGGATGTGAATCAACTGAAATTCATAAGTTAAATTTAAATGTGTATGTAGTAACTAATCCAAAGGAAGAGGGTGCATGTGACATACCAAAGGACCAATAAGGCATGGGAGCAGGCCTACCAATGAGTTCAGTGTACTGATCCAACACCAATTCTGGAGAGGAACCACCGAAAAAATACAAATCAAAAACCCCACCAATGACCTTATATGTAATACGATCACCACCATAAACTATGTCCATTCCATTGCTGTTCAACAGTAACACCCCATGTGTGCTTCCACCTTTCACTTTTCCATCTGGGGACTGTGATCTCACGTCCAAATAGAAAGGGTGAGACCCATAAAGGTTGACATCGAGGTTTGAACTTCCAACGTCTGCATTCCACAAAGTGAAATTCTGATTGGGTTGCAGCTTGAAGGAGCTCTTAGTGTGCTCCCCAAGCCCATAAAGAAAGGCCCTTTGTGATGGAAGGGAAGAAGATAGCTGCAAATACTGATCTTTGAAGATGAGAAAAGTTTCAGGATTGGAAGGATCAGGTCTAGCGTTGAAGAGAACATCATTGGAGGATTTGCGTGAGACAGTGAAGCCAAATGGGGTGGTGTTGTAGAGAGTGAAAATAAGGTCTGAGTTTGGATGTGTAACACTAAAAGAGTCCTTTGATTGCTGAGAAACTTGCTTGCTATTGAGGAAGCGTGGAGGGTAATAATATTGAGATGAGGAGGAACCTGTAGGAATCAATTCTTGTGGGATTTCCCATCTTTGATGATCGGAGTCGGTGATTCTTACCCTTAATCTATTCTTGTCCTCAAAACTGCAATTCAGAATAACCACATATTTATATACAGATACTAAAATATAGACTAGAGTACAATGATGTGTCAAAAAAATATCTAAGAACAAGACAATCTAATTTAATGGGATGAATTAATTAATGAATTAGATGTACTAGGAACTTAAATGTCGTCCCCTAATCATAATTAGAGTTTATTTTGACTGAGTGTTTGACTTTTAATTTTAGTAGGTTGATCTTAATACTAATCTGTATTATACAAATTATAAAAATAAACTCATAACAATATCACCAATAACTATGCTATTCTACCTAAACTTTGCCCATCCCTAAGAGACAACAATAACATAGTACAATTGGTTACTGTTACCGGGCAGCGAGGGAGAGGATTGGAAAGTCGGTTCCGAAAAAAGAGGAGGGTTTGATGAGGTTAAGGTTAGCTGTCAAAGACTTGGCCGTGTTGTTAACACTTGAGATGATGTAGCCATAACCAAGTGCAGTTGCTTCTGATGATGAATCTGGCGCAGCAACACAAATATAAAAGACAAGGGAAAGCAGAGTCATAGGGATTGTGGTTTCGGTGACCATTGTCTTTGCGTTGATGGAGGCGTAGATAAGGTTAAGAAATTATATCATATTATTTATTTACATTCCATGCAGGGTTGAGAGTTCACTGTCGATTACCTTTTGCAACCAACCACCAAATTTTTTCGCACGTTTCTTTACTTTAAGAGAATCATGTTGATTGCAAATGCAATTCGTGAATTAGTCCTTTTCATTAGACCCAATTCAATTTGATAATCAACCATTTTCAAGACTTTCCTTGTATGATAATATGTTTTCACCGCTCAGTTTGCTTTAGATTATAAATAAAGAAGGCTAAATATGTCAAGAGTCATGTAGAATTTAAATACTCTATATTAGAAATAAAAGAAATTCAATAACAAAAATATATAAATGATTTTGAAATCATTGAACTTATAATTTAAATATTAAAAATATAATTGTTATTTTTTTAAGTGTAAATTAATTGGTTCATTCAGGACTTTTTAAAAACTAAATTGACTAATTAAAAATTCTTTAAGAATCAAAATTACTTATTAGGAGGTTTTTGAAATTAAATTGACAAATTTTATGTCTAGAAATTAATTAGGAATCAAATGGATAGAGTTTGAACTAAGTAGACTTCAAGGCAAATCACTCCCTCCTATGTTTATTAAATGTTAAAATGATACATGTTATGTGTAATTGACACTTAATATGTGACTTATGTATTAGGACAACTAAAAACTATGTGACAACAAGGATTAAAATATCAATAATTGTATATGTTAAAAATTCTAATGATATTTTACTTAATTTAAATATTATTTTATTAATGGATCCAAAATCTGATAGGGAGAAAAAAATAATTGTTTAATGAACAAATAAGGATAAATTGCTTATAATAAAACAAATGAAAGTTTAATTAAGCGTTGGTTTATGTAAAAAACTTGCATAATTTAGATTTAGTACTTATTAAATATTTTGTTAGGATATAATCTTTACTCTTTTATAAATTATTATTTTTAATTTATCTAGTTAACATAATCTATTGAGATATCAACAAGTGTAAGTTTTTAGTTAAATTACATGAGACTAAAAACAATATTTCATAAAAAAAGTAGAGATCAAATTCTAATAAAATATTTTATAAAAATTAAACTTAAACTATACAAATTTTTTAAATATCAAATTAAGTATGAAATTACCTTAAAAATGTATGAAATTATAATTAAGTATACAAAATATCATGATCCAGGGTCATGCTATCATTAATATAATCAAATTCGGATTTGGCATCAATTTAGTTTTATAATTCTTTTTTAATGGGAAGGGATGCTTCCCTCGAGTGAATTACGCTTTTAAGATAATGTTGATAACATTTAGTTTTTGTGTGTATGCATTCAAAATATATTTTTTATTTGATCATCGTTTTTTTTATTTTATTTTCTATTTTTCATTTCTTCTTCTTCATTGAAACTTAATCAACCATGCTTATCTTACCTCATACCTGTTGGGTGTTTATATGGATGTAGCTAACCTAGAATGCGTCGTAAAATGCGTGACAAACATTACTCCTATAGATATACAATGCATGTTTTGGTCATAGCAGCTTCTACCTAAAAATTTTAATTTGATACAAACTTGATCAATACTTATAATTTTCACTTGTGATTAATAGAATGTTTATTTGGTTTAGACCTATTATAGATAATTATCTTTAAAATTTTGTAGATAAAGGTAATTTATAATATTCAACTTGTCCCAGATATATTTTAGGGACCAATATTAATGAAAAAATTATAGGGTTAATTTAAAAATTAAAAAAAAAACTTATTTAAGTCTAAAACATAAGAAACAATTCAACTTGAAACAAAGTACAAAAATACAAATATTATAATTTGTTGTTTTAATTAACCAGCTTATCCTCCATATTAATGCATAATTATATATTGAAAAGTTATAAGCATTATAAATTTATAATACTAAATTATATAATGCGAATACGAGGGGTTGATTATTAAAATACTTTTACCTGCATTTATTTTTATTATTTGCTTTTTCACATAAATATTTTAACGCAAATTTATATATATTCAACGGATTTATATTTTTATTATATATATTGAACATAAATTGATTTTAACTCATAAAAATAATTTTATTTGTTGCATTTTTTTCTTGTACAATTACTTTTACAAAAAATTTACCCAAATTATGGACTTAATTATTAAAGTTAAAACATGATAATTGGCCTAATAATAAAGTTTTTATTCGAAAACCAAAATTATTAAGATTCAGAATGCACCGAAGTAACCTACTAACACAAGAGGATAGTGCATAAGATAAAAAGATTCAGAAATTGTTATACCAAAAATCTGCTACAAGTTATTTGAGGTAGCGAATCCAATTTAATGCGCACAACCCAAGTAAAATAGAAAAGAAGGATTTTTCAGTGATCATCCTAACTCTTTCCTCAAGGCTGAGGATGGGGATGCTTTGTTCTGTCCTAAAGAAATTGGCAGGATCAACCTTGGTCTTTATTTGAACCAACCTGTTCAAGTTATCCATGAAATATTCCACACCATAAGCACTCCCTTCATAATTACTGTGAAAACCGTGGCGGTTGATGCCCAAATCCAAGTCCTTGTAACACAAGAAAGCTTGTCTTGGGTTCTTGGAGACAAAAGATGTCATGTACTTGTGAAGTTCTCTTACCAAGTCCATGTGGTGTTCTGCTACCTCTTCCCCTGCCTCATACCAATTTGCTTGGTATTGGATCTTCCATAGGTTCCCTGCTCTATGAGGAAAAGGAGTTGCTGTTGATGGAATCTCATCCATTCTTCCACCATAAGGATTGAAATACATCATTGTTTTCTCCAATTCAATCATCTTCTTCCAAATCCCTTCCCAACCCTCCTTGGAAATTGGTTTCTTTACATAGTCAGATTTTCTCTTCAAGTATTTGAGAGACTTAGGTTGTCTCTCAAGTAAAATCTCAACCGGGGTTGCAATGTCATTGTTGTCCCAAAACAACACAGATCGAAGCCAACTTGTTTCAATGCAATCAGATTGCTTCAAACCCAATTGAGGAAACCTCTCCTCCATGAGAGAAACAAGACTTTTGGAGTCACCAAGGAAGAGAGCTATGAAGGTAGCCCTCACAGTATTTTCTCCATTTTGTGTACCATTTACAACGTCCAATATGAGCCTAATGAAAAGGTCATTGCTAATTGTAGGTGCAATATGCTGCCAATTGTAAACTATTTCTGTGGCATTTTGCTCCAAGGTTTTTGGAACTCGGAAAACAGTCACTGTCTCAGGAACTCGAACTAGCTTTATTTTGTAGGCAATGACCACCCCAAAGTTTCCTCCACCACCACCTCTAATGGCCCAAAAGAGATCTTCGCCCATAGATCTTCTATTAAGTAATCTACCTTCAACACCAACCATTTGTGCATCAATAACATTATCCACTGAAGTACCATATTTTCTCATCAAATTGCCGTAGCCACCACCACTTATGTGGCCTCCTACACCAACAGTGGGACAAACACCAGCTGGGAAACCATGAGTTTTGCTCTTCTCAGCAATTCTATAGTAAACTTCACCAAGTGTTGCACCAGCTTGGACCCAAGCGGTTTCAGTGTCTATGTTAATTTCAATGGATCTAAGATTGAACATGTCAAGGAGAAAGAATGGCTCAGTAGCCACATAAGACACCCCTTCATAGTCATGGCCTCCACTACGGATTTTCATCAACAAGTTGTGCTTTTGAGCACAAATAATGGATGCCTGTACATGGGAAACATGGAATGCAGTGACTATAAGCGAAGGCTTTCGGGTTGTTGAGGTGTTGAAACGAAGGTTTCTGATGTAGGCCTGCAATACTGAAGAGAATGAGGAACTGCTAGGTGTGAAAATTGCTGAAGCTATATCGTGAGAAGGATCTGAATGGTTCACTAGACAATGAATAAAAGTGTTCTCAGCTGAATTTATAGCAGAAGCTGAGCAAAGAAGAGAATGCAACAATAGCAGTATTATAGAAGAAAGGTTTCTAATATTTTGTTTCTTCATTTTCTTTTCTTTTTTGGAGGTTGAGAAATGGATCAAAGCACTGGAAAATGGAAAATTAGAAATGACCAAATATAATATTAGAAACACCAATGTGATTCCTTACCCTAAGGCTACCAACCTTGGATGTTCGATTGCTCTAAGATCTGATACCTTGGAATATGTTGCAAGGTCTCGTTGGCTAAAATATTTTAACACTTCGATATTAACCAAACAATTCCACTTATCTAGCTTGCTCCTACCTTTAAGAATGGGAACCATTGAAACTTGTAAATTGTATTAGCAAACATAAGAACTTAGGGCTTGTCTTAAGTATGATTCTTTCAATAAAATTAAGATCATTAATATAAACATAATAATTTTTTTTTGTCGCCCTAAGTAGTTTGTGAAGCTTCGTCATTAAAACTTGTTTTTATGATAAAAAGGAATATTATGTATGTTTGCTTGGGAATTTGTACCGACAGCAACTAACTACACAATTAATAATTTAAAGGATTTAAAATGAAATGAAATTTAATATAACATATTATAGTTTATTCTATCTAATATTTTTCCTTTCCATAAATCAGTAGCTCGAGATAAAATAAATATACTTATTATTTGCAGATTATGTATTTATTTTTTATATTTATCAAATAACTAATGTAATAAGAATTTTATTTATCATATATAAATTTCTTAAACGATAATATAGTAATTAATTTTATTATATATGTCGAACCATAACTTTTATCATTAATTAGTAAGTACTGTTGGCTTTTTGGTGAATTCATGCATCACGTATTAGTTGATCGTGGAACAGCTTGTGATTCTAGTAGATGGTTGTTGCCATTCAATTTGGATTTGGTGCAATTGAAAAATGTGCAGTTCGTAATGCAAAGTATGCAAATTAATGATGTTCAAATGTTTTTTTATCATGAATCCTTATTTGAAACTAAAATCTATTTTTTCTTCATAGAAAGCTCATCAAATTGGAATTTTTTATTTTTTTCTGGTTGCTCTTTGAATTCTATAAGTTATGACAGTAACTTATACACGTACATGATAACCTCACCCCCCCCCCCCACTCACCCACACACAAAGGACTGATGAGAAGACCATTTTTTGTATAATTAATCATATTGATACCGTAATACCCCCTAGATGGTCATATATGATTGAAATTAAATAATAATGAAGTAATCTTTATTGGAATTGAAAATGTAATTTTAATATATTTCATTGTAATTTTTAATAAATTTTTATTATTAATTTTCTAATTAATATTTTAAAACATTAGGTAAGAAGACCTATTGAATAATTGTAAATTAAATTTTTCATATTGATAAATCAATTCATTTTGATTCGTTATGAAAAATATTTAAAAAAAGTATTCTATAAGACTATGATCTTTAATTAATAAAATTAAAATATTAATATCGAGGATCTATATTAATAATATAACGCAATATATTATTAAATAATTTTCTTTGGCATATAAAATGTTTAATAATATCATCAATTAGTGTGTGCGTATATAATATGTTAGTCAAATGTATATATTATTAAATCATTACTGTAATTTTGATAGTAATTATTTAATTTGTATTAGATAAAATTTATAATAATAATAAAGATAATTCAAAAACTTAAATTATTATCTACACAATACATAATAAGATGGTAATTTCTGAAAACTAAGACATACTACGTAATTGGGTATACAAAATTCGAATAATAAAGTAACTACATTATTAGATAAAAGATGAAAAGAAAATAAAAGATATGATAAATTACGTGAAATGATAATAAAAAAATTAAAAAAAATATATGTAAAAGAAAAGAGATAAAAGAGAAGTACAAATACTGTACTAAATACACGAATAGTAAACCAATAGCAGCTTCTTACATTCTAATAGTAAACCAAACAAATTAGCAGCAAAACTTAGTGTTTTGCATGGGGTGAATCGTACCCGTGGGCCGTGGCTCTTACAGCTGGCTTTAAACAACCAGGTTTATTTCCACAATCAAGATTCAAATTAATATATTTGCAACGACAAATTAATTAACCAACAAACGACACAAAGTAATTAATAATTTCTTAGTAATTAACCATTATTAATCTAACTCTTCCCATTTGGCAGTGTAGGGATGCTTTGTTCGTTCCTAAAGAAATTCCCTGGATCAACCTTAGTCTTTATTTGAACCAACCTGTTGAAGTTATCCTTGAAATACTCTACTCCATAAACTCTCCCTTCAAAGTAGCTGTTCTTTCCATTGTGGTTAATTCCCAAATCAAGGTCCTTGTAATTGAAGAAAGCCTCTCTTGGGTTCTTGGAGACAAAAGGAGTCATGTATTTATGAAGTTTTCTTGTCAAGTTTATGTAGTGATCTGCTACCTCTTTCCCTGGTTGGTTCCAATTTGCTTGGTATTGGACCTTCCATAGGTTCCCAGCTCTATGAGGAAAAGGAGTTGCTGTTGATGGAATCTCAGCCATTCTTCCACCATAAGGGTTGAAGTATAGTATTGCATCCACCAACTCAATCATCTTCTTCCAAATCCCTTCCAAACCCTCTTTGGAAATTGGTGTCTTCACATAGTCAGATTTTCTTTTCAAGTAGTTAAGTGATTGTGGTTGCCTATCAAGCAAAATCTCAACCGGTTCTGTGATGTTAATGTTTGTCCAAAACAGCACCGATCGAAGCCAACTTGTTTCGATGCAATCCGATTGTTTCAAACCCAATTGAGGGAAGCTCTCATTCAAGAGAGAAACAAGAGTTTTGGAGTCACCAAGGAAGAGAGCTATGAAGGTAGCCCTCACAGTCTTTGTTCCATTTTGTGTACCGTTTACGACGTCCAAAATGAGCCTAATGAAAAGGTCATTGTCAATAGTAGGTGCAACATGCTGCCAATTATACACTATATCTGTGCCATTTTGCTCCAAGGTCCTCTCAACTTGGAAAACAGTGACTGTCTCAGGAACTTGAACTAGCTTTATTTTGTAGGCAAGAACCACACCAAAGCTAGCTCCACCACCACCTCTAATGGCCCAAAAGAGATCTTCACCCATGGATTTTCTATCAAGCAACCTACCTTGAACATCAACCATTTGTGCATCAATAACATTATCCACTGAGAGACCATATTTTCTCATCATGTTCCCATAGCCGCCACCACTTATGTGGCCTCCTACACCAACAGTGGGACAAACCCCAGCTGGGAAGCCGTGAGTTTTACTCTTCTCAGCAATTCTATAGTAAACTTCACCAAGTGTTGCACCAGCTTGGACCCAAGCAGTTTCAGTGCTCATATCAACCTCAATGGATCTGAGATTGAACATGTCAAGGATGAAAAATGGGACCTCAGCCACGTAGGAAACACCCTCGTAGTCATGGCCTCCACTTCGGATTTTCATTTGCAAGTTGTGTTTTTGAGCACAAACAATGGCTGCTTGTACATGGGATACATGCAATGCAGTTATTATAAGGTATGGCTTTCGGGTTGTGGAGGTGTTGAAACGAAGGTTTCTAATGTAGGCTTGCAACACTGAAGAAAATGAGGCGTTGTTTGGGGTGAAAATTGCTGAAGTTATGGGGTGAGAGGGCTCTGAATGGTTTACAAGGCAATGAATGAAAGTGTTGTGTGCTGAATTATTTGCTGAAGCTGACCATGCAAGACAAAGCAACACAACAATGGGAAACAATGATAATTCTATTTTGTTATGAGAAAGGATTCCCATTTTTGGTTATCTTATTTTTATGATGGTGTTGCTAACATAGAAATGATAATTTTTAGTGAGTCTATTGGGCACGATCTGCATTTGAATTTATAAGGATCCTTTGGACGCACAAAATCTTAAAGAATGAATGAGAATATGATTTAGGTTACCTCCCAAATTGACCAAAGAATTTTCAAAGAAACAAATTACATAACGTAACTTAATGTTTCGTTGACCTTGCAAAATATGATTGTGAAGATTTTTATTTCTAAATTATCGTCCTCTCACACTGTCAAAGACGTGACAATTTAAACACATTAGTTATGCTTCACGTTGCTATCCCTTCGTGCAGTCGGCTTTTGGAGCAGAGATTTCTGGTGTAGTGAATCCATGTACAGTACATACGTTGACTCTAGAGTTTCATTTTCACATATTATATCTGTTATTTGCATTCCAAATAATTTTATTTTTTTTTACTTTTTTTTTTATATAAGGAGTCGTGATTTCTTCACAATATTTATTTTACACTCACTTTATATCTCTTTTTTTATTATTATTACATGCTGATCACATATCTCTCTCATGACCAAACTCATAATATGGATGTAAATGTAAAAATAAACACAATTACATGGATGTAAATGTGAATATAAAAATAATGAGTGTGAAACACTCATTTCTTTTTTACAATAAATAATATTAACAGTTGGGTATTTAAGACTATAAAAAAAAGCGACTTTAAATTTTGTAAAAAAAGATTTATTATTTAAAGATTTATTTGTAGAAGAAGAAAATGTAATTAATTATATATAAATAGTTCCTTTCAAAATACAAAAATGAAATTTTCATAAAAAAATAAATAAACAAATGATTTATTGATAATTTAGTTTATATTTATAGAATTTTAGCAAGCTAAAATGTTGATCATTCTTGGTTTAATATTTACATTAGTTTGATTTGAGTAAATATATAACTTGATCTTTGAAAATTATATCTTGTTAATTTACCATTTATGTCTAATGGTTTTGTTTGGTATAATCTAGTCTCTAATGTGTTAATTTATTCACAAAAATGTACAATTATCAATTCAAACTATCCAATTTTTAGTGTAATGCAGCTAATAAACTTATATATACAAGCCCACACACAATATAATAATAATAATAATAACAGATAAAAATTAAATTTTATGCTTTATAAATCTAAGATGACATCATTTAGAGGATTGAAGAGGAAAATAAATAAATAAATTATGCCGGCAGCCTAAACTCGAGTGAATCAACTCATGTTGAGCTTGCTTTTGATATGTTCTTGATCAGTTTGAGTTAAAAAATATATATAAAAATCTAATTTACTTGATTTAATGGCTTAAACTCTATATTTAGATATGTATATTTCAGTTAGTCGGATATATAATAGCAATATTAACATGTTCGGTAGCCAAATTATACTACCAATAACACTTTTAAAAACCAATTAACTCTAAAAAGATTAAGGTATGAGCAAATTAACACAATAAAATATTCGTTTACAAAACAAAAAGCTTTTAAAAGTTAAAGATAAATTAAGTATCACTTTTAAAGACCAATTTATATATTTACTTTTTTAATTATTTTTTATCCTTATACATGACTTCAATTAATTGAACTTTGTTTAATTTTTAAGTTACAACATTATTTTTTTATGCTGAAATTTCGATTTATAAAAGAAATAACCGTTATCATTTTAATTTTACCCAAATGATCGAATATATAAAAATGAAGTGCATTATAAATAATCATAATTTGTACAAATAATGTAATTCATTTTAAATACCTCTTTATATATTTTATTTTTTCTCTTTTGAATAAAGGCTTCTTAAGAATTTTATTCAAATTAAGTCTTAATTCCACAATTTGATTAAACAAATATTATGTTCCACATCATAAGAACGGGGGCAAATATTGTATTATAGTCATTCAACAACGTAGTGCCGTATAAGTGTTGGCAATAATAATGCATGGGAAGTGATGGCCCAATACATTGCCAACAATGAAGATTGATACGACGATAATAAAATAAACAACAGTAAACAATCGTACAAACCAATTAAATAAATTAAACAAAATTTTTCAGATTTAACTTATATTTTAATTCAATTTAGTTCTCTTAATTATATTTTTGTATCAAAATTTTTTTTTAATATTATTTCATCTTAACATTTTTTTATTGATTTAGAAAATATTTTAGTGTTTGATGTAAATATAAGTTTATAATAAAAAATATATAATGTCAAGGATATAATATTTAGTTAATAATAGTATCTTTAGTGGTAGACTCATTTACTACATCTAGGTACAAGATTTTGTATATACAAAAATTTTTAGTGTTATACTCATTCACTATATCTAGATATGCAATTTAAATTAAATTTAAATTAAATCAAATAAAATAATAATAATAATAATAACTTCACAATGATAGCGATCATTATATATTTTTTTTAAAAAAGGTAAGAATAAGTTATTAGTTAAAAATGATTTGAAGAAATTTATTTCAATAATTTTAGATAATTGACAGTGAAATACAAAGAAATTATAAATTATTAAAAAAATTCAAAACATTATTATTTTAAAAAAATTCTTTCAATTAAGTTAAGAGATGTAACAAATTTAGAGGATGACTTTAACACACACACAAAATTATTTAAAAGATTAAATTCAATTAAAAAATTTAAAAGACTAAATTGAAACCTAAATTAGGTTTAAAATAATTAATTACATCAAAATTAAATTAAATTTAAAGAATAAAAATATAATTTTTTATTCTTAAGTTTTTGTTTAAGAACTTGGAAGGTGAGAAAAGAAAAAGAAGAGGAAGGAGATTAAACCTTTCTCGTCGTTGAGAAGGGAAGATGATGAAGGATTTAATTATATAAATAATATTTTTGTATTTTATATTTTTTAATATTTTTATTTTTTATAAATTTTTAAAAAAATTAACATTTAACAAAAAGTTAGAATCCTAGTTGCAAAAGAATACGAGAAAGTGGGAGAGAGAAAACTTTGAAATAAAAAAATTCAAAAAACGAGAGTTTTGAGAATTTTAGAGAGTTTAGAAAAGCTTTCAAATTTTTTTTTCCTAATTAAATAACTTTCAAACAATAGTTAATTCTTCATAACTCTTCCTTTTTCTTTCTCTCTTAAACACAACTCTCAAATATAACCTAACGTTATTATGCATTTTAAGAAGATTGACTTGTGACTACTCAAATTTGAAGTGTTTATTTACTTCCAATAGGTAAAATAGAATGGATAAAGTAACAATAAAATGAGATGAAATTTAAAAAAAAAAGTACAGTATTGTTTGCATGTTTAAGGGAAAAAAATATCATTTGATGATGTAATAGGTGAATAAAACTATAAAAATTTAAATAAGATATTTATTTGTTTCTTACGTCAAAAGTAAAAGAGAAAAAAATGAAATTAATAAAATAATTTTTATTTTTTTAATAAATAAATAATCAATTTAGCAAAATCAATAAAAAAAAAAAGTTATATGCCAATAGATTATTGGGTGTAATTGAAGAAGGCTTAAATTGATAAGTAGCCAGATTAAAGCATGCATATCATCTATTCTTTAACTGAGTTGTACTTATTATTTGATACACATAATTATGCCTTAGTCTGCCAACATACATATGAAATGAAATATCATTGTTATTATATTATACTTCACTGATCAAATTTCTTTTAAATATTCAATATTTTTAAAGTGTCTGTCACACCCAACTTATATGATCTCATGGGGACGATTATTTTTTACTGTAATTTATCCTTTAAAAATATTTTATATAAACTATGGCTTAAAAAAACAATAGATATTGATAAGAATTGAAAATTTGTCAAACACAATTACTTGAACGCAATCCATGAAACTCCGTTTTGATCTAATACGGAATCATCTCCACGTATCTCCTTTTGTTATGCAATCATTATCCACTGCGGTATAAAAAATATGGAATATTTTTTTGAAGTTAAATAAAATTAACCACTAAACATTTAAATAAATACAAAGTTTTAAATCTTACTTTTAATTTTTTTTAAAGAAAAAAAATTGTATGGTCAATAATTATGGTGATTTCAACCAATAAACAAGTAATATATGTGCATTTTTAACATATGTTCAAATTTAAGTGGTAGAACAACATGATCCTAGATAGACAATAATTTCTCTTTCCAAAGACTGGACTTCCAAGCCACGTGCTCAAATTATCTAAGTTATATATAATTGAACAAATTTTATATTAATAATTATTTTTATTCATTTTTCAGTTCTATATTTTAACCACTTATTTTTTGAAAAATTTGATTCTTTCAGTATGTTAAAATTGTATGTATGTGTCCCTTTGACTAATTTTTATCAAATTTATCTAACGTGTTAAATGTGATAAATTAAGTGTTAATGTAATACTCACATCGTCACACAATTATATTTTATGGCAAAATAATAATGAAAGAGGTAACTTTCACCTTCAACTTATAAAATTTATTTGTACACGAGTCTATTGCTTTCTTATTTATTAAAAAAATTTATTTCATGATTTTAACATCTACATTAATTATTATGTATAATTTTAATGACTAAATTGAATTGTGCCCTAGAATTTTGAAGACTAAATTAAAATGTGGTGTGTATCAAATATTCATCAGCATGACGACGTTGTGACGACAACTTCCTCAGAACCTCCTTCCTCAATGCTTTGCCAATGGCGAGCATCATATGAATCATATTCACATTTCAGCACTCAACATTGACCCACGCCTTAAACTCTTCTTCTGCTCTTTCGGACAAATTCACAATTTTTTCCTACAAGTTAACGAAAGAAGAATGATTTTGCTAACTAGCTACGTAAGAATCAAAATTCTTATTACTATTTTGGCTTTTGTCAAAGTTTAATATGTAAGAGTAACAGATTTTTATTTAAAACAAATACAATCGTTATGTTAAAGTTATAAAAACATTATAAATGCTTATTTTCAATAAAATATTATTATTAGGAGTCAAATTTCCTTCAAATTAAGGTTAATATCTTCTTATTATTTTCAAATTCAACTTTGTTATTCAAATCAGCTGGTGGAATTTCATTTCTGAAAATGCTTAAATTTTCGTGGTCAAATCATTTGTATTAGCCGTTATCCATTGATTAACTTTGAACAATTGAATCTTTATATGTATATGTGTGTTGAAAATGTTTGAGTACGCAAACTTTATGGTATATATTAGAATTGGTCAGAGATTAGTGAAACGCTATTTTTATACGGCTTTTTGCGGTGGAGATCGTTGTGAATTAGGAAATTGACTTAATGAAACAATTAACGGTGTTATCTCATTCAAGATATTTGACATTCCATGTATTAAAGTCATCATACCTGCACTTTGAAGTTTTCTCTTAAATATTCAACACTTTTTATTTTAAATGATTCATGTTATATCTTCCTATCAAAGTTTTGTATATTTTACTTAAATTACTAAATATTTTATTGATCACGTTTTAACTAAATTATATGAATCAATGAAAATAGTTAATATTTAGTAGTTTTCTTGATTCCTTTAAAGAAAAAACACTGTAACATGTTAATTTTATTCTCATTTAATATTAATAAACTTAATCTTATATTTAATGTTTAAATTTTAAATTGAAATCGTAAAATGTCTTATAAATAAAAGGCTGCAAAAACCTTGTATATAATATCTTTAGAAAAATTAAAGAGAGTATTTGATACATACATACATACATAATCTTTTTCATAACTAAAATATTTGTCAAGAAAATATACTCTTCAATATGGAGAGAGCAAAGTGAAACCAATCTAAATGAAAATCAAAGAATTTGAATCCTTTTATTTTATAGGGTCACGTTAGACACGAAGAAAATTATTAAATAAAGAATCATCTTAATTAGCTGTCGGTTTTATTAATTAAAATTGATAAAATTTGCGTTTATTTTCAGGAAAGTGTATTATATTACTTAAAATTGTAGTTCACTGTGCTGCACACATTCTAGGGCCATTGAACCTATTCTTTCTCCTCCTTCGACATAAACTTTGAATCTAATCAACACATTGCTGTTGACCAAAAATAAAAATTAAAGTATACATATTCATTGTGCAAAACATCATATGTCATTATCCCATATTGATTGAGCAATTATTATACTTTTGCTTGTTTTTGCATTTGAGCCATCATATTTCTCTGGCTTCATTTTGAATCTGTTTGGATACATGATTTAATAAGCATTTATATAATATTTTTTTATATAATGATTTATGTGATTAATTCAATTATAAATTTTTTTAAGATAAATTAAAAATTAAATTTTAAATAAATTATACAAAAAAAATTACTAAATAAGACCAAAAAACAGTCATGAAAGTCATAAATTATTTGTAAGCTCTTTTAAAGAAACTTATTTGCAACCATTGTATTTAATAGTCATGTCTCCAAGTCCCAAGTTTTAACACACCCAAGTTACTAAATAGGATGGGTTAGATTCTTAAAATTTAAGCCCAATCTTAATTTGCTAAAAATTAAGTAGTTAATGAAATTAATGGAACTTGCCAATTTTTTCAACAAATAAATAAGTAAGTACTTGTGTAGCTTTAAAAATGATAGTTTTATCATTCAATGCTTATGATTTTATACCATTTTTGTGTACTAATTAAGAGCTTTGGTCTTTGATCAATTGTCCTCAACAAAGTTATGGGACTAGTCCTTACTCCTTAGGTCAAAATTAGAGTTGTGATTATGAGTTAAAGCTCAGATCTTATCTCTTTTGACCATTTATACAACCCATTATTTTTAAAGTGTCTCGTGATTGGGCTAATTTCATGCTCATGTATGGATTAGGATCAAGGTCAGCATGGCTCGGCCCATCACATTCAATTTGTCTTTTTGGTTCAAGAGGATCTCTCTCGCAAGTAAACATTAATTTAGAGAACAAGTTATCTTTCTTTTTAATATTTATAAATAAAAAAATTAACGAGGCTTTTGTTGCCTTCAACCTAAAGACTGTTGCATGGTAATAAAATTTGCAATTTATTTTTAGAGAACTAATAGATTATTTTTGTTTTGTAAAATTATTGAAACTTTAAAAGATGTTTCTTAATTTAGAGAGTGAATTATAAATTATTGCATTTTTTATGAAAATTTCACAAGATTTTGTAAATTTATTTATTTTTATTTCTCGCTCAAATTTATCTACGATTTATGAATTCTATTTCTTTTTTATTTTATTTTGGAGGTGTCAAATTTAATGAAATGTAAAGAGTGACTGTGTGTAACAAAAGTTGACATATGAAAACAACTTAAACTTTTGGAAAATAATGTATAATTTACCCCTTCATGCTCCTGTAAATTAAATGTTATTTGAAATTAAATAAGGGGATTAAATATGCACAGAATAAAATAGAAATAAATAAGGAGATTAGATACATAATTGGCACAGACAAGTCAACCTTGGAAACCCAGAAGAAAATTATTTACACAAAAACTAAGGAGATTAGATTCATTATTGGCACAGAAAAAAGGAACGGACTTTCAATCACATTTCATTTCAGGAAAAAAAAAATTGATACAAACCAATCAATAACAAATAAAGAATGCCTCTGGTTTTTTAATCTTCACATCAAAATCTATATTGCAAAAATACAATTTAACAAAAATGAACTTCTGAATTGCATTTTAGAAAGAGCTCTTGTAACGGTATTGTACCCTCTTCTTCTTATTTGATGTGTTCTCTATAGTAAGGACAACTTTCCCTGATTCATTGTTCCTAAAAGTGTTCCTAATAGGCCCTTCTTGTGAACCCATCTTCTTCCCATTTTGAACAATGACTGTGTATGAACCCTCATCAGTTGGAACAAATTCCTCCTTGTAACTTACCTCCCAACCCAGAACAGTCAAATCCCAGCACAAAGCCTTTCCAACCTGTTGAGATGCAATGCAACTATCTTTTAGTCCAATACTCTTGTTTCTAACTTTTTGTGTAATGTGCAATATTGCATGTGATAGTTTATTTTTATTGAAAATTGAAAACATTTATGAGCATCAATGCATTGAATTATATAATTTTTAATAAAAAATTACCATATATAAATTCTTATTATGTATTATGAGTATACATGCATTGAATTATATATGTTTTAATAAAAACTCACCATATATAAATTTATCCATGTTAAAAATAGTAATCTACAAAAGTATTAATACACTAGTTGGTACCTCCAATGCAGGAATCTCAATTGTCGCTGTTGATCCAGCCTTGAGAATGAGTTCTGAAACAGCACCGTCTTGGGCAGAAAAGTCAGAATCATTTTCCCTCTTGAAACCCCCATAGTGAACTGGGATCTCCTCAATTGGAATGTACCTAATTGATACAAAGAAATTCAGATCAATCATGGGGTGCTATTGAAATAGCCAATGCACAGAAATGGTTGCATTGCATGGATGGGATTAGAGAACATACTTGTTTAGTGTTTCAGTGACCTTATTAGGACGAGCAACCACAATTTTGCTCTTTGTTCTTTGGGTTAAGAAAGGAGACAAAAGAGCATTGAGAGCATAATACCAGAAAGGAACATTGATGAAAATCTACAATGAAAACACAAACACATTAGTCAAATACTTTGGATATCAACACAACAGCTCATTATTACGTAGCAAATTGAGTTTAAAGGAACAGGGCAAGGAACTTACATTTTTCGCCACCATTTCTGGGTAATTGTCTTGCAACATTGCAACAGTTTGTTTTGTAGCAATTCGAAGCTCCTTCTTAGAGGGACCAGGAGAGTTCTTAAGGTCATTGATTTGAAGCAAGGAAGACACACCACCTGGCTTCAAATTAAGCTTCTGAATACCCTTCTCCATCAACTGGCACCTCCATCTCAAAAACTCGCTTCGCTTCTCCTCATTCCCAAAAGTTTTCTGATAAAGCTCTTCACTCTCAAAGGCACCAAATATGTTATAGCACACAGGGTGGCCTTCATGATCAACACCACTCATGTAAGCTGCAGAAGCCAAATCAGATCCAAAATCCTCATCCAAAACAGAATCAATCTTTGATTCCTTCCTCCAGTTAAGGGTCTTCTTCAGCATCTCAAATGCATCATTGATTTTAAACTCCCTAGCCCTCAAAAACTTCAACAGAACCACATCATTACCTTCTGCTCCTTTACTTGGCAAAAGGGGCACTCCCCAAAGAGACACATCCTTCTCTACTTCAACCTTTTTCTCCTCATCTTCCTTCACTTCCACATTCTCACTCTCCTCAACTTCCTTCTTCTTTGGCTCTTCTTTCTCAAACAGGTTATTCCCGAAGATAGCTTCCTCAATCTTTGACTTGAACTCATTCAAAGCCTTCCTTTCGAACTCTTTCAGATCAGAAAGGAAGTTACTTTCTTCCTTGTAGGAAGAGCTTTTCTCAACAGTTTTGGGTTTGGGTTCTTCCACTGATTCCTTTGGTGCCACATCTTCAACAACCTTCTCCACTTTGTGGGGCTCAGAAGCAGCAACAACCTCAGCTGTTTGGGTTTCCTCTTGAGCCATAACCTCAGCAGTCATGGTTACAGACTGAAAAGTGAAAACAAAACAAAACAAAATGAAAACTTGAGACAAACCCAGAAATTTTTAAAAGTGGGAAAAGGATATGAAGAATGAAAGAGCAATTTTACCTCAGTGAAGAACCAAACAAAGTGTAGAACAACTGTGTCGTGTACTAAGTTTAGAAGGATGTTGTGCAATGTGTTGTGAGAGTTATATTATATATATAATTTGAAAAGTGGGGAAAAGGGGTAGGCCCACCAACGGTCACATAACTGGATCCACCGCAGAGGAGCCGTTGGGGGATTCTTTTTCCCGAGAGTTTTGCTGTCTGGAGGCCACCAAATTTGGTCCCACTATAACTGCTTTCAGGGACACCAATACAATGTTAAGAATTAAGAATCATATGTATTCTTTTCTTTTTTCTTTCTCCTATTTTTATCTTTTGTTTCTTTTGGAATAATAGATTTTGTAGGATTTAATGTTTATGTTGCGTGTGTTGTTTGAATGGAAGAGCTTAATAGTGGGAGAGAAAAAAAAGGGATTGTTTTTTTATTTCAAGTAAAGTGTTTTCTTGTTTCAAGTTTAAAATTATTTATTATCATTTAACGTTTTAAATTTTTTAGACAATTTTTTTCTTACTTTCAAATATGAGTTCATTTCTCTTTTAGGGATGTTTAGTTAGGAATTGCATAGATGCCGACACCAAGATATAACTGTGGATAATTTTGATTTTCAAATGCTGAGATAATTTTTTTATGCATTTTTGTCAATGATCTTGTTAATAAGTGTTTTAAGAGTTCTTATTAAGAAACTAAAAGTTAAATGTTTAATTAAAATTTATTTCAGGATGCATTAAAAATATAAAAAAAAATACATTAATAACATTTTATGATAAAAACTTTTTACTTTAATATTTTAACTAATATCTTTCGGATACCGATTAATATTTATCTTTTAGCAATGATAAACACGGGTGTAGCAAAGAAAAGTTATAGTAAATACGTAATATCAATGATTTATTACTTTTTAATTTTAGTATTGTTATGTTAAAGAATCTATTGTGATTAGTTATAGAATTCATAAATTAAATTGAATAAATATTGTATTTTTTTTTCTAATATAAAATTAGTCCCTCTCTTGTCTAGGACTATTTCCACGCCTACCTAGAGTTTGCTTCCGTTGAATAATCTTGGAACGTGGCACCTTATGATTATAGCAAAATATTGTTCATTTGTTTGACTTGGTCTTTAGGCACCTTGCTTAGTTGGCTAACGACAAACTATGACATGTGGTAGATTTGTCCATGAATGCCACAGATATGATGGAATCGGTTTATTTTATGAGAGTAATATTTTACTATTTCCAGACAAAAACATTTTAAATAGCATTTCACTGTGAATTATTTGCACCCCATTTATCAAATTCCAGGGTGAAATCATTCATTCATGTGGCAATAGACACAACTTTAGGGAAACAGTCAACCATCGAAGCTGGAAGGACCTGTGTTTTCTATTTTATTTTTATATGCAAGCTATCAGATTATGTTAGGACTTCTGTAGAATCTTTGCAAAAATATGGCAAATATGAATATCAATTAGTTGTTTTCTATGAGATTGGACGGTTGGAAATGTTATATACGCTTCAATAAATACATAAAGGATGATCTTCTGATACATATAACATGTCTATGGTCCACCATATTATATAAGATCAGATTATTTCTCCTTTCTCTTATTTTTTAAGTGCATAACTATTAACCTTTTTCCTAAGTTTAAATGGGCCGAAGTTTAAAGGATGAGTTGTCTAATATTTTATCATGTTTCCATATGAAATGATAAGAAAAAAAAAATACCGACTTTACCATTTCGTTCTTAATCCCCATTTCCTTATTTTTGTTCAAGCTATAATTTCTAATTTATATTTCAATTTGATTTTGATTCGGTGGATCATGCTTCTAAATTTCAGCGGAGTATTGGATGTATCATATGTACCAACAAACACATGAAACGATATAGGATGCTCCATGTGATCCTCAATCGAGATCGCAAAACAAGATCCTTTTTTTTTCCAAAATTAATTAGTTTGAACTCCTTTGGAATATCAACATAGTAATCACATTACATAATATCAGGTACATATTGCGGAATAATATTCGTGGTTCTTATAGTTTTCCAGACTTAGTTTTGAATAATTTTCGCTGTTAATGTCTAGTGTGGTAAATTTTGCTAATGTATTATCGTAAGAAAAATTATACTCATGTATATGTTGAGTTTTCGTGCTTGCATTCCTTAACATGCTACACTTGAAACATGTATTAAATATTATCTTTTCACTAATCTGCAGTATTATTATCTGTGGAATATATGTTCAAACAAATGATCAAGGGTGATGATGATCATGTGGCTGCATGTGTTGCAAAATGAAGGTAAGCCAATCAATTAATAATCCATTTACCGAATATTACAAACAGGCAATTAGTAGAAACAGTAAATTCTACGACAGAAGACCATTGAAATCCGTTCTAAATTTTGATATTCAGAATTGTCAACAGTCTTGAGGAAAAAACTAGAGCTCATCCACTTGAGATCAATGGGGTTGTAACAAGGAAATCTTTCTATATACAAGGATTAAGATGCTGTGCTGAAAAATTAAATTTAGATATAACGCTAACTCCTATAAAAGGCCACCTATAGGATACAAAGACCTTCAAACAGTAAGGCCAAAATAATAGTATAGACTCAATTTTCACAAGCCATGTTAAGATGTTATCCAGCATTCTTGCTCTTGATCTGGCACCCAAAGTGAAATCATCATAGCCTTGTTATGTTGCAAACCGAGTATCAGATGGAAGCTTTGATTTCAAGACGTATGCTGACCATTACACAAGCCTACTAAAATTTCTCACTTCTATTTCTTTTTATTGTCATCGGTTGCCGTGTACTCACCAGTTACCCTGACAAAGAAAATCAGTTAACATGGATTACTTTACAAGTCACTACGGGATAGCTCCTTAATCCCACTATAACTTTTTTTAAAATGACTCATAATTCTGTAATCTGTCTGTTACAATGCAAGTCATGATGATTTACTAGAGAAACTAGAAAGCATGAACATACAATGACAGATCAGAAAAGCTGACTTTAGCCATGAGATTAAGATAAGCCTCATCATAGTCCTTGAAACGCATTATGTATGATCAAACTTTGTTTTACTAAATAGGTGAAAACATATTGGCAAGATAATCATGGGCAAAAATCTAATTACCTATTATACAACAAAAAGGCATCACCAATTGTCCCAGCAACTTTATTCCGAACCTTCCGAACACAGACCTGAAGCAAGTCCAATAAGTAAAAGCATATATTTATTTAGTATGACAAACGATCACCCAAATAAGTACAATTATGCTACAAACACTCACCTGTACTTGATCAACAGGCCCAGCTTCAGGGTCCCGATTTCGGTGAATAACAATTCCATTGTCACACTTATTTATGAAGTGTGCACTTCCACTGATATCATAGAGATTGGGAGGGCTTCCAACCCAATTATGCAGCTATTAAATTGAGAGGAAGAATATCAGAAAAAGTAAAATGACGAAAGATAAAACCAGAGCTGTTTGTCACCAACCTGCCTAGGATGTGCTACAAACCAAACATGGCATCCATGATGCTGGGCAAAACGTTTGATTAAGGTAAGCATCTGACTTACATATTCTGTTTCATGCCTGCATGTTTATGCAACAAATAAATTAACATCGATTAAAGGCAAGAAATGAGGGTAACATGGCAAGTGGTTGAAAAGAAACTGATTTTAGTACAAGTGCTACACATGAAACAATGTTTTTAATAGAATTTTATACACCACCCCCCCCCCCCAACCCCTATTTCTATTTGCCAAGAATATAGCAAATGCACGATGAAATCCAATACAAAAATAACTGTTAGCTATATCCTAAATAAAATATGATCAGGCAGGTGCAAATAATTCTCTGTCCAATATTAAGTTGCAGAGTCAAAAACATGAAACAAAATTTCTCAGTTCACAAGGAGCAATGCTCAATTCTTAAAGGACACTGATCTGAATGTCCCTCCCCTTACATCTTCCTCCTATTATTTTCCTCATAAACGCCCTTAACCAACTAATTAACTAACCATTATAACCATCCCAACTCCTAATAGATTTAAATTTTAATCCTTTAATATAAATTCACAGAGGATGAAAGGAGTTCTCTCGGGCAATTCCAAGAAGGAAAGTTCAAGTACAATATAAACAAAAGCACAACAAAATCCAAGTTTAGAACAATCATTTTCAAGAGAATTACTGGTTTGGAGGTCGCTGATGATCAAGCTCATTGTAAGGATCAATTACAAGTCCACGCACCCCATGCCTTAATACAGCAGATTTTGCAAGGTCAAGGACCCAATTTATATTTGGAAGGGAGTCATCTTCACACCTAGTATAAACAACATGAGTTAAATTACTATTTTAAACAAATGTAGTTAGGTATTTGACTGACTATCCAATAAGCACTGCTAAAAGCAAGCAATTTTGACATATTTCAAATATTTAGTCAAGATCAAAAGATCAGTAGTATCCGGTATCCCTAATCATTCATTTGTATGCAACCATTTCAAAGGCTAAGAAGAATAAATCAAGGAGACCTGAAAATATCAGCATCACCATTGGCACCCAACAAGTATTAAAATGTCAGTCTCATCACTTTATGTTGTTCAAGTAAATTGGCCCAAAACACAACCACAACTATAACTGCAATTCAATTCCTCAACACCAAATACTAAGGCAACAAATATAAATCTAACAAATGAGACAAATGCACTGACAATTTTCTTGCTACTGCCTGCATAACTTCTACCTTAATTGAGAAAGATTTTAACTTCACTATTTTAAATTTGAAAAAAAAAAATCAACTATACCATTAACAGCATGCATCAATTTTCAATTAGACCAGCTATAAAGAAAACCAAAAGCTAGATCAAGTCTACAAATGTATAGAAGATAATACAAGTCAAGCTCAAAAATGCATGGAAGAAGCACCAAATGATCAAATATGATATACCACAAATTACAAATACAAGTACTAGCTGAATTCCTTGTAATGGATTTACCTTATGAGAAAAAATGTATCACTTAACCAGAGCTTGCCCTGTTCAAATTCCTCAATACTCATCCGTTCAACATGTTCGCCATAACTATCATTACATAAACAAGTCAGCTCAGATAATCAAATGAATATGCATAACATGATAAAACTAATGCTATTAAAGAACATTATCAAATACTCCCTGATAAAAGGTTCTCCTTATAATGAAAGTGAAGTTGTGGTATTATGAATAAGAATGCAGAGAATAGAGACATTCGTTCTACAAATTATTAGTATTTCACCATACATAATAACTAAAGCACATAATAACCCTAAATGAGAACGATAATAATGATTCTGCTAGTATTTCTAGTCACAATAACAAAGTAAGTTTGGCACTAATTTACTAAAAACTAAAAAAAACTCTCAAGTTATTATTGAATACTACTACCATAGTAAGCACCAACCCATATGCATAGGGTATCATATCATCATAATCCTAACAATTATACATAGTTTAAATGTTTCGAGTCCATACCCCACCCAAGGACCACGCCCTTATCATGTATGACATTTACAAGAAAATTAATGCACTAATTAATATGCTAACTGCTTTGACGTAATGCAAGCCATGATATTTCAAACTGAGAAAGGAATAATAATGAACAGTATGTAGCATATAATGTGAAGCAAATGAGAAAAAAATTGAAAATTATTAAAACTTGAGCATAGAACACTGCAGAGTATGTGGAAAAATAATAACCTTAGTTCTTATTTGGTGCAAAATAAAATTAATGGTTCCATGTTTGAAGATTTAAAAGTGGCAACGTAAATGGCCTGAAAGAATGTACTGTTCAAATCAACGACACATTTGTATTTTAACCATATTAATATAGAGGATTACAAATTTAGGTCCTTGTGTACACGGATTAATATAGAGGATTAAAAATTCCATGAACAATAGTAAATAAATATATAAACAAGGCCAGACACAACACTACCAATAGTATATATCATAATTATAATATGCAAACCTCACCGTTCATTAAAGAAAGGCTTCTTCAGGTGTTTCTCCAAAAGTTTTCGAGCATGTTCTCTAACCTATAGGGTAGTAAAAAAAAAAAAGAATCAGAAAAAATGCACAAAATCCAACTGGAATGTGAGAGACAATGATTGAAAAACAGTGACGATTTTTCACTTAACAAATATGTTATAACCAGACACAGTAGATAGAATAAGAAGAAAACATCACACATAATTAAACAAAGTTCAACCTATGAAGGAACTATAAGTGAACTCAATGAAGATTACAAGGAGCAGCCACTCAACACTGAAATTGTAATCCCAAAACACCCCAACACTCACTTTTGAAAATATTTTGGGATGACCAGAATACAGAATTAACAAGACATATATAGGTACTTACGACAGGACATCACCCAAAAATAAAAAAAAGTTCTTTTAAAGTAAGAAAAAATCAGCTGTAAGAGATTTGAGCTTTCCAGCCATTTGAACTTGAAGTGTGAAAAGAGCATTAGCCCAAGTTACCATGTACTGATTTATTTTAAGGTCAAAGAATGGGGGTGGCATTTAAAATGCTCTTGACCACTTGACAAAGGAGGCGTTAGAGGAACCATTTCACACAAAAGACACTTTATTAAAACATAAATTTTATGGGGCATATGTACATGGAAGATGATCATGGACTTGCACCCAACCATTCTGATGTAGGTTATACTTTCTACTCTTAAGGGTTGTTTTCCCAAACATGTAACAATTATGAAGCTGTTTTATGATGAAACACAATGCTGATGTTTATGGAATAATGAGCATCCTCTGAGTAATCGACAGTTTCTATAACTCATTCAATCAACCAACTGTCTACAAAAAGCCATCGTAACATGCAATTATTTAAAGTACAAAAACAAAATCTTATTTCATTAGATGAAGTTGCCTACTTAAATCACACAATGTCATTGAGTTTGGTTAAAAATCAAGTTCTCTAAAATATTATTTACCATGATATCTTTTTTAATAATTTTCTCCAAAATTCTTCTAGGTCTCTCGTTACCCCTCTTCACAGAACTAAAAGTCATGCCATCCGGTCTCCTCGCCGATGCCTCCGCTGGCCTTCTTTGTATGTGTCTAAACCATCTTAAATGATGTTCTGTCATCTTTTTCTCAATAGGTGTTATTTCAATATTATCTCATATACAGTCATTTTTTATCATTTATCGTGAAATTAGGAGAAAGATAAATTGTGCAATTTCTTTCTCTCAAATGAGAAAAAGATCTCTGAATAACAGAAAGAAATCATAGAATCATAACGAAAATACATGAGTAAGCACAGGTATTATCATATTATTCCTGCAAATATGAAATATCTAAAAATATCCACTATTTCAGAATCGCCTAAAAAAATGTCTGATAAATATATTGCTAAGTCAGAAAGCTGGAAGTTGCAGTAGCAAACTTTCTTGGTGAATAATAACATAATTTTGGAAGTTTCCAATGTACTATCTAACCTTGTTCTCCATAGAACAAAGTGCAAATTTCCAGCCAGCAATTTGATTAAGATTGCAAAGAAGAGCATCAATCCACTCACTCTTCCCTGAATTAGGAACCCCAGTTACTATGGTCAGTTCTCCTGGTACAACCTGATAAAGGTAATCAATTAGGACAATTTTAGAATATAAAATTCCAGACTCAGAAAACAGTTGTATTCTTACTGTGTGCCAAGTAACGGTACTTTTGTTCACAAAATATTTGAAGAATAGATCAAATCACATGTCCCCACCTAGTGGGATATTCCTTGTTCATTTTGTTTGCAGATCAAATCACTAACATGAAGCAGACAAAACGTAAATCTAAAACTATTGAAGATATTGTGTCAAAAACAAGCATGGAATGGAAAATATGCATTTACAATTAAATGCACAATATATTAACCAATATCCCACTGAATACAAACTCAACACCTTTTCACAATTCATTACAAATTACACCTTCCCTCGCATGCCTAACATTTCAAGATTAATCAAGTAAAAAATCTACCTACCAGCCAGAATACAATACCAAGTAAAACTTAAATATAAAACAATAGTGTTAACACCCGAATTATTTGGCAAACATATGTTAAACAATATAGTGAACCAGTTGTAAATCTAAAATAATTGGAATTGAAATTAAAATCCAGAATTCCAATTCCAACATCCAACCAGACCCTAATATCTTTTCTTATGGAGATAGTTCATCGTTCTCTTATTAGATAATTCAAAATTTCAATTGTTTTTCTTTATACATGTGTTGATCTAGTCATAGAAATAGGACAACCTGCATTCATAGTGGCCCTGAATGTTGTTTGGTATATTTTTATACATTAAAAAATCAGCAATAAAAAATGAATAAATTCACAACAAAATGCTTATCATATTAGGATATAACATCGTATAGACTCCCCTTACATTGTACAACTCATTCAGATTATTCCACCCAGTTGGGATACCAATTTCATATCCTAAGGTTCGATGGTAATATGCATCAATCTCGTCAAAGTAATCTCTGAAGTTAAACAATCCACGTATTGGATATAGTTCTGCATTCTCAATCACTTCCTTCAGTACATCAGGGCCCAAATACATGAGAACCTGTAAAAATGTTATAAAGGTTGCCACAGTTATTAAACAGCAAAATAACAAACTAAAAACTTTAAATAACTCTGCATAATAAGTGCCATACAGAAACCAGGAAAAGAAGGGGGTCTGAAGTTGTGTGGAAACAACTTTTTTCTTAGGAAATAATCCATCTTAGAAAGCTGACCGAAAATAAAAATAATTCTCTAAAATAACCTAACCCAAACATGCATGTCAATAAAACCATACACACTAGACCAACATGAATGGCCTGACCTGAGTCCACAGCCTCAATTATCCATCTAGCCTACAGATATAAACCTTAACAATAACAAGCAATACATTGATGCATAATAATTCACAGATCATGCATGTAAACGTGAAGTTGATTCAGAGTAAACAGCACAGTTCTGTCTTTTACATGCATCTTCATTGTCAATTGACATTGTTTGGAGAATTCAAATAAGAGTTGTATAGAGAAAAGTTACAAATGCATCATTTTCATTTTATACTTATGGACTAGTTTTTGGGGGAGGGAGGAAAGTTGCAGGAGAAGGTGGACTTATGCATGCATACTGATATCTGACCTCGTTTGCATCTTTGCAATGATCAAGCCTCCCTTTTTTAGGCCATCTCACTCGCCAGCATCTGCAACCACACAAGAAATAAATATTAAAGAAAATGTCACCCAAGCATGAAAAGTGAAAAACAAACCCGCCAATTATTTTCTAAAAACAGGGAAAAACAATTAAATGAATAAACTACACACAGAGAACAGTGAAAATTTTGTCTTGTTTAACCATGAAGATTTGGAAACAATATAAAGAGAATCAAAATACAGCCAAAAATAAACAACCACATCACACAAGATTTACAGGGACACCCTTCATCTTAACAAGCAATTATTTTGAACTAAACACATGACGGTACTCAAAAATAGTTAATCTTTAGAATGTTTTAGTCACTTGCTTGCCTTAAAAATTACACACCCAATCTACACAGCACCTAAAATCTAAAATGAAACTCTATCAGAAAACTAGCATTATCTACTAATTGAATGCAAAACTGCACAAATTTTTATCCCATAGATCAATGATTATAAGAATTTATATACGTAGTAAAATCAAGACAAAAATTCTAACCTTTCTTTCCCAATGCGGCGTGCAAGCTCCTCAGCCAAGGCTTGACCAGGTGGATCCCCATCAGTGGCAAGTATTATCCGGGTTGCCTATATAATCATTGAGAAGACAAATTAGGGAAGTTTATAATAAAAGCTGCTTCTTTCTGCACTTCCAAAAGAGTTGAATAATAACAATTAACAGACCTGCATTAGTACATCTTTGCAGTTCCACAGATACTGATACTTTGTGTCCTAGCTTTACAGAATTAGAATTATGACAAGAGCATCAGATTCTAGCATTACATGTGCAACACAGTAAATGAGTGATAATGACAGATTCATCATGTTAAGCATGAAAAAAGACCTTATCAGGAGGTGGCAACTCCTTTGAGGAGACTGAAGGAGGTGCACCATCAGGAACACTGACACAATTGAAGAAGCCAGCTTCTTCCATTGCCAGCTTGTCCATTTCACCTTCAACCTACAGTGTGAAGTCAATATACAAGCATAGAGCAAAACTTAAAACTTCACATAATGTCTACAGATGGCAGAATACATACAATTATTATATCACTTTGCCCCACTATGTCATCCAATCCATAAAAGATCTTTTCAGTATTTGCTTCCTGAAATAAAAAGGTATCAGGGGAAAGACATAATGGTCATAAACTCAGAAAAATATGATAGTAGCATAAAACCAAAAAATTTAACAACTGACAAAAAAGATACAATAAGATCTAAAACAATATGAAAAAACATCTGACTCCGTTCAGTGACTTCAGTCCTCTCTGACCCTGTTTAGTGGTTCTCACTTTTCTGTTTGCTCTGCAGTTTGTTCATTGTACTTTATGTATATTAATTATTATTTATTATAATAATCACCATCCTTTTACAACAGTCTGCAACCACCATTCATCATTCATAATATCAATCCATAAAGCTACAGAAGACTATTGGGAAAACTGAACTATTTGACTGTTTCTCGGCTGAAAATTGCTTTCCCATTGAGTGTTGTGAATATGTCTTTGCCAATTACCACTAACTGTGAAGTGCTTATGCCAAAAAAGAAGAGATAGACAGAGAAAGAATAAAAACATTGGGAGACATTAACCATATTATTAGAATCTCTGGTTTCTGAACTTATTTACGTAAACAGAGGTCACTAAAGCTTAAGGGTAGGAGCTCAGCCAACATGCCAATAACTAAAAGGTACCAACACCAATAATCTTAAAAGACAATTGCCAGGTTCACATCATTAGTAGAAGAGATGTTTGTCATTTAATTATGCTCACCAAAATATGTAGAGATGTCTTCCATCCCTGTTGTTTAGTACTAATTACTAATTAATTCTCTGCATATCAATCTTAACACACAATCTAAATATGTACAGCATCAGTAATTGCTTATACCTGCCAAAAGACCTTGTTGATGTCTCGATACTTGCAACTAATAAGTGCTCCATTATGACGATATCCAAATGCAATAACAATCTACCAAACATAAATGAGTTACAGAAACAATTAGTAACATAGGTCATTCACATGTAAGGTGAAAGAGTGGGGATGGAACACTGGCTACAATAAGAAAGTAAACATTTATATAATACTCTTGGATATAGATGAACTTTCACACTATCATCTTCATTAAATACAATCAATGGCAATCCAAACCAAACTAATGAATAAGTAGAACACGTTTTCAAATGAATATTAAAAGTAAAATTAGTCATTTTTAACACTACCCCTAAAAATAAGCTGGCAAAAGGTGTAGATATCAGTTATATCACAACATTCAAAGCCATTACATATACACCATGGGGCATTTTCTAGTAAATAAAACCAAAACCAACCACAAACGTTTGCTCTTTGATCTCTATTTCAACCAAGGAAACCAAAATAATCAAAAGAAGGAATGCATAGGAACTATCAATACATGGAAGATACATATTCACATACAGAATACTATATCCCTAATTCTTTCACCATTTGAAAAAGTACGTTAAATGTGTTTAGTCTTGATAACAGTACTATCAAACTTACATTGTTTACTAACCAGATCATCGTTAGCTTAAAATGTAATTTTGTGTTATTCAAATTAAGGGCTCATAATGTAGTGGTTAGGTGCACCTGATCGTCATATTTTCTCTGCTTGACAGCATTTCTCTGCAGAGTTTCCTTTGAAATCAAGCGCTCCGCAAAATATGATTGCAACTGAAACAGGGCAAGCAGGGGCATTTACGATGTTGCTTGGAAATTTTAAAAAAAAATAAAAAATACTACAAACACAATTAAAATCTATACAATAAGCATAAAACATATCAATAAAAAGATGATATTATAATAAAGAACCAATAATAAAATCCAGGGAAAATAACAATCTCTCTGTTGCAAACATATCAATAAAAAAAGTTCAACCGTTCAGAAAATCAAACATTTCTAAATCATCATGGAAAAAGCAGAAAGGGGCAATGACTACTGAGCTAGCCTTTCAAACTCTTTATTTCTTATGAAAGAAATCATGCATTTAGTAGTTGAAAAAATTACATTAATTGTTTGTTTGCATTGGAAGTTCCTGAACACCCGTTTGAAGCTTCTCATCATAATTTTGTGATTTTCACATATGTTTGGTTACTATTTCAAATTTTGTTGTAGCTTTGAATTTGAGTTGAGAATTTATACTAATTACATGATTAGATTCATGATGGAAACGGTATAATGCATGTCCAGCACATAAATGCTACTCTTTGTTGTGTTACTGGACCCACGTTTAAGTAGAACAAATGTCAGTCCAAACACGCACTAAGTTTCACAAACTTTTGAATAAAAGCTTCCAAACATTTCACTTCAGTTCAAACTCAATTTTAACCAAAATCAATTTTTCAAATCAAGATCATATAAAATCAATTTTGCAAACACTCACCCAAACATACACTATGCTATGTAGGACAGATTTCTGTGATGAGCAATATCTGCCTAACAGATCAATATTTTAGCACATCCAAAGTTCAAAAAGTGCGGACAAAATTAGGGAAATAAAATTTAATAACCTCATTACAAAGTGGTTCTAGTTGCAATTCCTCTTCTGTAAGTTCTCTCTTCTTTTTAACAGGGAATGCTTTATATGTAGAATTTGAACTGCTGCCAGCAAAGGCCTGAAAAAGTAGGAAGAAAAATGAACTGGATAGCACATCTACTAGTGATAATCAGGCTGACATGCTTTAAAATGAAAAATATCAAACCTGTGAGCTGCCTTTCCACCCACACTTTCCACGAAAACACATCCACACAGCAGACCCCCTAAAACTCAAAAATTGTCAAAATTAAAACAAAGTAAATGTATAATCAAATAAGAAATAGAATCAGATTTTATGAAAAATACTATAAGTATCATACCCATCTGATGCAATGTAAAGAGATAAGCTCCTTTCTCCTGTGTCACCACCTTGGCACTAACCAAAAAAAAAAAACAAGTTTTTAGCAGAAACATGTTCAAATTCCATGCATGAAATGGAATCTATGCAAGGAGAATGAACATTACTAGTCCAAAGTAAAACACAGGTTAAAAAATACAGACAATATACAGAAACTCATGAATCAATAGAACATGGATGTTAAATGAATTGATTTGAAATACATACGTATTACACACTCTTCAATTTGGGGATTTTCATTTTTACCAGTACAATCTACTACCTCGACTCACATTAAATTTGCCCTTCAAATAATTACCGTAAGTCAAACTTTCTAAGTCATACCAAAAAGAAAGGGAAAATAATTTGTTTCTTAATTAATATCAATCTTCTTACTTCTAGAGCAAAAATTTCAAACCTCTCCAAGCCCGAAACATGATCACTAACAGAGACAATTTGTATATCTATACTCTTTACAAGCACAGAGTATACTACAGTTCAAACATGCCAATGGGAGGGTAAGTCAAAATTTTCAGACCAAATCCCAAAACTTGCAGCCAAAGTAACTGAACTTAGTTATGATTTAGCTGAAACAGTGCTTTAGGAAAAAAGTCTAATATAATTGCAACCTTCCAATGCATAAAAACACTGAAGTTGATAGTTTCTAATGTTCAAAAAACATTCAAATCTGAAGAAAAACTACAAAAGAAAGAAAGGGGATTGGTAAAAAAGTTACCTCAGGACAAAGTAAGTGGTTGTATTGCCCTGGTACACATATTCCTGTTTCCATTCCAACAGCCTCCAACTTCTTTTTCAAAATATTGAACTGCATATCCACACTCTTCTCCGCAGCGTTCTCCAAATGAACTTGAGAAAACAAAACGACAAACACAAAAAGTTAGCAATATGACACGTGTTTAAGGCTGTCCTGTCCCCGACAGAAAAGTAAACTTTACCTGGCCTAGGTATGCTGGCATGAGAGGCCCCAAGATACCCGTTGGTTCTGAGCGGTGATGGAGGGTTTCTAGAAATGGGTTTGGAACAAAACACGGTGAAGAAGGGTCTGTGAGGGTAAAAACGGTGCCTTTGAGGTGAAAGGGTGGTTTTGACGTGTGAAAATGGAGACGGGTGGAAGAGGGTTTGGGTGGTCATAGTGGTGAGTTTTGAGGAGGAGAATAAGGGAAGTAGAGTGTGAGGATAACGAAGACGCATGCTTCTTCTTGTTGATAGTAGAGAGAGTGATAGTAGAGAGAGTGAGTGTTTTGTGTGTTTTGTCTAAGAGGGTTCCATGGTGTGAGTGTGAAGTGTGAAGGCGGCAAAGAGGGTTTAAGGCTTTCAAGAGTCCGTAGCCAGCGACGGATTAACAAATCATCTGCCCGATTCAGTGTTCAGGGCAACAATAACCTAGTTTTATTAAATTGAAAATGGACAAAATTTAGTGCTATTTTTTCAAAGAATTTTTAGATATATTTTTTAATTAAAATTAAAGTTTTGTTTAAATAATTTTTATTATAATATTAAATTTTTATTGAGATAAAATTTTAATTTTAATTATAAAATTTAAAAATATCTAAGCAACTAAATTTAAATTTTATTCTTTGAATAATTTTGTTTGATTGATTCTTACAATTAAAGAAGTGCAATTAATTCATATTTTAATTTTTTTTATTAGAGGTGGGCAACATTTTGTCAACTTAACGCAATTCATATTATCAATAACCAATACTAATAGACTAACTTGTGTAAGTTAAGAATCTATGTTCAAGCTATGTTCATGAGACTCTTCCTCCCATTTTTTTTCACTTCCCACTTTAAGGTTATGGAGACTTAGTAGTAGATGGTGTAGTAATTGGAAATATTGTTGTTTAAGGACTCAGTGATCCTGATCACTCATATTTGCACGATATGTTAATTTATTTTTTTTATGATTATAAATGCATATGTGTTGTGATGTGAGTGGTTTGAACCATGAAAAAAATTCAACAATAGAGGAGAGTAGTTGGATTATATGGGGTAAGAATCAAATGGTAACTTAGGTATAAGGGACAATAGTGGTCACAATGGTTGTGTAGTAGTGGTTTGGAATTAATTAAGTTCTCTCTATTATTACCATACCAACGACAATTTGTTAATAATGAAGGTGATTAGTGATACTGTTAAAAAGGAGGGCTTAAGTGAAAAACGTATTGTGGTTGATAGTGATTATTTGAAGCTTAAGATTAAATTATAATCTCACTCTCTTAGTTTTTCTCTCTCAATATCAAAAGAGGGTTAGAGTTTTTTTTTTTCCATCCTCCATATCTTTCTCTCATTGTTAGAGTAAAAATTTATAAACTCTATTGTCTAATTTAATTAAACTCAAATTATTAACTTAAAGAACTTACTGACTCGTTATTTAAAAAATTTGGGTTCATACCAAAAAGAATTAACTAAAAATTTTTTACTAAAAGTTTTGAACGAGTTGTGTAGCTTCGAAATTAACTGTAACGAATCAATGTCCACTTATATATTTTATTATTTAAAACGCAAACAAATATTTACTTTATAATAATATTTCAATAAATTTATAAAGAAAAGTTTGATAATTGTGAGGTAGAATGATTTAACATTTTTTCTTTTACTTATTGATTTAACATTTTTAAAGACCAAAGTTTTACTAACTAGATCTTAAGGTATTAGTCACAAGTCAATATATTAAAAAATTTATTAAAATGCATTGAGAATTATTATAGGTATGAATTAAATATAATTTAAAAAAAACCTTTTAATTTCTATATTAATGTCTTAGGGACACTGATTAATATTTTTCTTAAAAATTATTATAATATATGAGGATTATTATGTTATTAGCAGAGGTTACAAAATTTCTCTTTTATTTAAAAAATTATTATTCCATCCAAGCTGAGTCAAAGTTTTTTTAAATAAAATTTTCAAAATTTATTATCTGCAGTGGCATTGTGAGTAAGTCAAGAAATTTGACAATGAAGTAGAAAATTCCGTGTAATACTAAATATTGGTAAGAAAATATTGTGAGAAAGATAAAAATAACTTTGTCAAAATTCTAGCTGCATAGCAATTAATGACAACTTAACAAGAAATCCTAACACCTCTAATTTTGGTGACCATGATTCTTATGAAGATTGTATTATAGGATTCTATGGACATATTGGCATTTCAAATATTTTTTTTTTTTTCTGAGCTGCAAGGCTATTTTTCATGGTTTAACCCTCGCTTCAAAGAGTGTATTTTCAGTTGTAGAAACACCAACTTTGGTGAAAATTCAGGTCTCTAACTTTCATAAATACACCCTCATCATTCATAATATTCAGGAAATGGCCTCCAGAAGGTGGAAGGTTACTTTATGAGTTGAAATTTATGCATGAAATTTGTTGTCTAAACTGCAGTAGAAAATATGAATAAATTATTTTAAATTATTTTTATATAAATCAGCCTCAATAAAATAACAGTGAGATTAGCTGATCAACTATTTTCGTCAGAAGATTTTGAATAAAGGCTGTTCCAAACTAAAGGCTGCTGATACATAATTTAATTACCTAAAAAGTGGAATCTGATACAAACTTACATCAAAGATGCTTAATAGAAGAACTAAGAACGAGCCTATTTTTCTTCACAAAGCTCATACATAATTTACATAAAAGCCACCATATAATCTCCTAAATAGGCTAAAAAGTTAACAGAAAGAAGTCATCTGTCATCTGACCCTTAAAGAGGGCTTCAGTTTTGGAACCTTGAAACTGGAAGAGAATAGCTTTGGAGTCTCAGAGGTGGGAATCACTGCTCGAACCTCTCTGTTCAGATTTTTTGTCCCCTGGACGTTAACATTAAGAAAAGGAAAAACAAATTAAACAATATGGAATACATTCTTTTTTCCAATTATAAAATAAAGAGGGCTTCAGTTTTGGAACCTTGAAGCTGGAAGAGAATAGCTTTGGAGTCTCAGAGGTGGGAATCAGTGCTCGAACCTCTCTGTTCAGATTTTTTGTCCCCTGGACGTTAACATTAAGAAAAGGAAAAACAAATTAAACAATATGGAATACATTCTTTTTTCCAATTATAAAATAAAGAGGGCTTCAGTTTTGGAACCTTGAAGCTGGAAGAGAATAGCTTTGAAGTCTCAGAGGTGGGAATCTCTGCTGGGACTTCTTTCCTCTTCAAGCTTTTTGTCCCCTGGATGTTAACATTCAAGAAAAGGAAAATAAATTAAACAATTTGGAAGACATTCTTTTTCTCAATTATAAAATCAAATCAAATTCATGGTCATAAAATCTAAAGGCAATCACTCTCCCACCCACCCCATGGGAGTGGGAGCTATGCTCAACATGATATACACATAGGAAGCTGTGGATATAATGCAGCTCCATAAGCAATGAATATGCTAAACTGCCCATATCAGGTTAGCAAGTGACTGTGGAATGCATGAAGATGATGTTACAAATGGACGGCAAACTTAGCCTAAGTCATTGTTTGCCGACAATTCAAAAGCAAATCATAGATGATTCAATTTTTTTTATCAAAATGAATATATTCTGTTATTATCCCAGACTGAAAATGCCAGCCTTCACACTATTTCTTAGCAGATAATTCAAAATGAAATCATGGATGGTACAATTCATATACTCCTTTTATCGAAATGAATATATTCCTTTTATTATCCAAGATTGAAAGTGCCATACAAGAATCACACTAACCAGACAGCCAGTGTTCATCATTCTAACATGTTTTATGGTTTAAGATAGAACTACAGTAGCATTTTTTTTCAGTTAAACTTCATCTTGAATTTTATTTGTGTTTTGGAAGCAGGCATCTTGAGCTAGACTAAATCATGGCTCAAAAACAAGAAAACAAACATTAACCAGACGGACAAAGGGGTATGACTGACACAAGGCACACAAAAACCAGACAATTTAGGAAGATAAGCAATTAGTAAAAGAGCAGGCCACACCTTTTCAGAGGATTTTGCAGGGGCAGGTGCATCAGGAGTACATATTTCTTTGTTCAAGTTCATATTTCTTCTAGTCCTGATGCTCTTAGTGTTTCCCAAATCAGATGTTTTAGCTTTTTCTGTGCAATGATTCAAAACAGGTGTAACTTGATCGTTCCTGAGCCTTCTTAAAGATTCCAACTCTGCCGAGAGTCCTGATATTTCTTTGTTTAATCTTGTTGTCTCAGCTTCCATATCAGCCACTTTACTTTCTAACTCTGAAATTTTACTATCTTTTTCGTTTTTTTCAGACTGTAGTTGTTCCATACTGGAAACAAGTACCTTTATCTTTTCATTTGCCTTTTCTAAATCAGCTTGTTTTGTCCTTAATTTGTTAGAGTAATCACTATCCATCATATTATATTGATTCCACACAAATTTCTTTTCTGCCAAAAGTGCTGATACCTCAGAACATTTTTCTAAAGCAAGCTTCTCATATTCACCTTTTAACCTCCTCAACTCATCCTTAATTTCACTGGAACACTTATTTTTATCTGCACTGTTCCAACTGGACTTCCTACCACTATCCGCAGTTCCTTCCTTCTTCAAGTCAGTATCCTTAGACACTGTTCCTTGATCCTGTTATAAAGTGAATGTTCAGTATTATCAAACACATAAAAATATTTGAGAACACAATAAATATGCAAGGCTGACAGCTAATATACTTCTCCATTAGAGGATTTTTGGGAAAGATATTCAAACCAAGCTTTAAAATCAGCCAACTCATCCTCTGTATGCTCTGCAATCAAAACATACATGAATATTAAATCAATAAATGCAGTTAGAATAATTTCAAATTAATAAGAAAAATCAAAACCCCTATATTTCAACAACCAACAAAATTTTCAGCTTGTGTTGAAAAAATGAAGATGCAATTATTGATAATTTAAAGCAGCTTAAAAAATACTCCATAGAGTGCTAGGAGTAATCTCAATTCAGGAGCTTTCAAAAATGGGTCAGCCGGTCAGGTATTCAACCACCTAAGCTAAGTCATGTATCACGAAAAGTTATTCACATTCAGGAATGGCAAATAATCTCAATCCAGAAGTTTGTTTCTGGAGACGGGTATCTTTCAACTTAAAAAAAGTCCATCTACCGAAGATAACAATAAGGACCTTCCATTCTCCATGTTTAATAGAAACAAAAATAAAAAATAAAAAATTATGAATCTAACACCAAGAACATGAACCAAAATCAAACATCAAAACACTAACTTTTTTTTTTCTTTCTCCTAAAAGAAATTCTTATAAGAAATCAATCAAAAACACGAAAGAAAAATCACTGACCCAAAATCAATTTTAACATAGAAGCCTCTCTCTGCTTGAAACCCAACGTCAAATCCGCCTTCGCCGCCTCGAGCAACTGTTTCTTCTCCTCAAATATCAAAATCCCCTTCATCTACACAAACAATTGCAAAGAATTTGTTTTACAAGTAAAAAAAAAAAACGTTTTTTTTTTTTTACGGAAACCCTAAAAGAGGAAAACGAATAATTACTTGGGAAATTTGATCCTTGTGAATGCGAACATCAGAGGTCCACCCTAGGTGCTGCATTCGCATGCGATCTTCGAGAAACTTGTGGCTTTTGGCAAATGATTGAAGCTGGTTCTGCTGGTTACGTACCATCTGAACCAACGAGTTGAAGATGTTACCCCAGTTTCGGCGTTCCGAAGAAGCGGCGTTGGACGATTCTGCTTTTTTCGCCTTACGCATCGCAAAATTCAGAGAAAGAGAGTGACAGAGTAATGTGAATTCAGAAGAACTGAAGAGAAGAAGCAACAAGAGGATAACGAGATTGCAACGGTCAAATTTTGCGTCGTTAGAGAGAGCCAAAGACAAGCTTTCAAAAATATGAATGTGTCTATTTTTTTTCAACAAAAATATAAATGTGAATCAGAACTTGGATGCAAAATTAAATAAAAATAGAAGTTGGTGGGCCTCTGTACTTTATTGGCCCGGTAACTACTATCTTTCTTAAAGGTGGGTGGGGCCCAAGTTTGAGACACTGAAGAGTGAAGATGAAGTAAACAGCTCCATATTTTTTTATGCTTCAAAAAAAAAAAACACGTCCATTATGTACTTGGGTAATTGCAGGTTTAATTTTTAACAAATTTAAAATTTTAAAGTTAAGTATAAAATTTAATCCAAGTACAAGTTAATGCGTAGAAACTATTAAGTAGGAAAAAAAATATAGAGAAATAAAATTTTATGTTTTTAAATGTTTTGTCTTGTATAAATAAAATAATCATGTGAGGCTTCTATTATTCTGGTTCCATATTAGTTGTGATATATTTATAAATAAAAGCTAATTTATGAAATTCTATTAGTTTTAATATTAAGGGATAAAATAAGATAAAATATATTTAACATGGATATTTAGGCTTGTTGGGTGAACAGGATAGAATAAAAAATAACAAAATACTACAAGAGTTGGATACAAATAAGATCAAAGTATAATAAGTTTTTATTTTTATTTTATAATTAATGCATATTAAAATAAAAAAAATAGATACATTATACAATCATTTATGTCTATTTACACTAGGGTGTGTAACTTTTGAAGTGCTTACCAAGATTGGCCTAATCAAAGCCTAAAAATTGTCTGTTTGGTAGGCTAGTTTAAGTGCTAGCTTATTTTGGTTCATTTTTCAATTAAGAGTGGGTTTTATTCAGTCTAATGGAGGTTAATTAATTAAATATACATAACTCAACTAAATTAATTAAATATTGATAACTAAATGTATCTCACCCGACTGAATAAATAACATACGATCTTATGTATATAAATTAACAAAACCTAATTTCTCTTAGGCCCAAATTTATATACTTCAACCCATTATTTAATATCCAATGAAGTATAAAAAAGAAAGAAAGAAAATCCTAATGGCTAACCTTGCATTGCATCATTTCTTATGTTGTTGGTCCTCTTTACTGTTGATAATGTTGGTCCTCTTTTCCCTTTTCTCATAACTCTGAAATATTGTTTAATCCACCTTTGTCTTGTACAACGATTGCATCTCCTTCATCTTTCCTTGTGTTGCAACATCTCTCTAGTCCTTCCTTGCACTACTGGGCCTTACTATCAGTCTCTACAAACATGCTACTTGTAAATGTGCACTATTGCTACTACTCTTTGCTAGCTCTAGTTTGTGTTTTCTATTCTTTGTTTCCTTTTTTTACTTCTTTCAAATTTGTCCTTCTTCTAACATCTTCTTCTTTCTCACTTTGTCACGTTTGTACATAAAACTTTCCCACGAAAATCGCCCAAAAATAACTTAGCAACAAAATAAAACGTTAGCACAACATTGAGTCCAAACTACATTAATCCACTTAAGAAAATTCAGAACCACCAAAATCAAAATCTGAATCAACCAATGGGCTCATAGTCAAAATTAGCCCATTTGTTATTTGTGTTAGTTAACAACGGTTGTGTTCCAAGATCCAAACTCAATTAAAGCTCATCCCTATATTATGTTAGAGAATATGATATGACAAGCTTATGAGATAGATTTATCGTATTCTATTAGTTAAACAATCACAAAAAATTAAGATAAGAAAAATTATCCTATCTAGTTTTTAATCATTTTAAAGACACTCTTTTTCTTGTATAAATATAAATTTAATAACTAAAATTGATTTTAATATATTACTATTGTTAAAAAAATTACATTTATATCTAAAACTAGCATCTCTTGTATAGAAATGTAGTTTTTTTTTTCTACATGTATACTTTACATGTTAATGCATTAACATGTCATTTTATTAAAGTTTTTTCATTTTTTATTGAGGGTAAAAAGTTTGCCCCCAAAAAAGGTCTATTTAGCAAAGAATCATTTATTTTAGTAAAGTATGATTCATTATTTCTAACTAGAGTAGTTCCTTTAGTCCCCATCAATTATAATATCATAATTATATTAATTAAAATAAACATCAATATAATATTTTATTGGCAAAATTAATATATAAGTTCTCTAACTTTGACTTTTTATTTTACTTTAATCTTTATTTATTTATTTTTCATTTTAGTACTCTATTTTTCAAAACTTCTTTTTCTCCACCTTAAAATTTAAATTTCAAACCCTTTATTATAGCAAGAGCTTAATCATATTAACTCATTTTTACCAACTCTAATATTTTGGAATAAAATTGCATAAAAAAATTAATAAATTCTTACGGATATTACTTCTAATATAAAACAAGAACACTGACTCTTTTTATTTACTAACTAAATATCAATGATAAGTGTATATTTAACAATTGTAACTAACCGCCTTTTGTTTACATGAGATTAATAATTTTCACTAATCATATTAATGTAATATTACACTTTTTTTTTTCAAAATTATTAAAGAATAAATTGTCTTGATCCTCTTTTAACCAAAAAGTGAATTACAAATCGTTCAAAGGTATATTGTTATTTTACTATTTTTACTTACTCTTCGAACATGGAAGTTGTGTTAAATATTAAATTAATAAACTTGAAAATCTTTTAAAAAATAAAGAAAAAACAATAAGTCAATCCCAAACTTCACCTTTTAATTAATCAAGTTCAAACTTTAAATTTAATTCATTTAAATAAAAATACTCATATTTCCTCTCATATTAAGGCAAATCTCTATCCATTCTATTTAAAACAGTTTACGCTCTTAAGCTAAGGTATAATTCAAGTGCAATTAAAAGAGTATTAGATTGCTTTTATGACATTTTCTGAGTTAAATTAATTTCCAAAACCGTACATTCCTTTTCATGGGAAGCTTCATAAAACATTGTACTGGTCATTGTATTATATTATCACGTATCCCAATAATTATCTAAAAATTCTAGAGTCTATTTTCTCTTTCTGAACGTGATCATTTAATTATTTCATAAGAGGCAAAAACTTGTGGTAAATAAGAAGTCATTCTGAAAACAATACTTGAATGATTTGCGTTTCTGAGCCTTAAAGAACCCAAATAAATGATGACACTAAACAACTAAAATTTAGATACCATATAAATGAGATATCTCGATACACTATTTGATTAAAAATAATATGAATATGTTCACACTACATTATTTCCATTTTCATATACATAAATGGAATTACCTAGTTGGCATTCGCATATGGCTCTGCATTTGCAACTATTCTCTTCAAAGCATCAGCTCCCAAGTATTTGAGAACCTAGTTTCATAAACCACAATTGAATAATTATATCATTAAGGCATATATCGCATTTGGAAGGTGAAACGTATAAAAATAACATGTCATTATAATTGAGCCCTGAAAAGTTCATTTTCTTAGAGGCTCCATAAGCCATGGACGAACTGAATTTTCACTAACCCAACAAAGGGAAGAAAATACAGATAATATAGAAAATCCAGAGTTATACCTCATTTGCATCTTTGAAAGAGCTGAATTCATCTTTCTTTGGCCAATGTATTTGCCAACACCTGATGTCAACCAAAAGAAAGAAAGAAAATGAGTTGGTAAATACAAAGTACGCAACACAATTTAAAAGTAAAGCAAAAAGGAGCACTTCTCAAGTCCAGGGAATAAAACATAATGCATAACATAACCACAGATCCAAGAAAATCTTAGTAGAGCCAATACACGAGTGATAGATTCTGGAAGCATTTTTATTTATTTAGCGGGATATGGACATCTTTGCAGGCATGCAATTTAAACCTAATGCATTAAGTAGTTGAGGTGTCATTAATACGTGTCTTGAATCTTTATTACTAAGCAGTAGGTTTTACATGCAGGCTACACATGCAACACGCTATGTGTGCATCCAAGTCTCCAAGTTCTACGCTTACATTCAGTAATTCTTCATTATGAAATGAAAAATAAAAGATGGTATATATTACCTTTCTCGCCCAAGGCGCCGTGCCAGCTCTTCAGCTAAAGCTTGACCTGGGGGATCATTATCAGTTGCCAGGATAATTCGATCTGCCTAAAAGAACAGAGAGAGGAAACCAAACTACTAAGCTGTTAACTCCTGTTCTACAAGGATTTAACTGAACAGAAGATACAGAATACATGTACCTTATCCAAGTACTCTTTGCAGTTCCACAGGTATTGGTATGCTGAGTCCTGACTTGATTAAGACAAGCATGCATAAATTAATGAATTAAAGAGATAATTTAAATAATTGAAACGTGTAATTTATGAGGATGTAGAAAGACAAATAGGAATCAGATCATAGGTCAAGAAAAGAATAGCAGGATGAAAATTTTATTTTCTGCTGTCAAGCTAATCAGACAAAAATTATGTGTGATTATAATCCATTTTTAAAAAACAATACCGTAAAAGGTCAACATAAATAGAATTTATACATAAAAGCAGTATCAAAGATTCGCCAAGGATATGCACTCTATATTTGGAGAATTATTTAATAAAATGCAATTTGCTATGATTAGTGGCTAATTGAAAAGAACAGAAGTCTTTTAGATAGATTCTTCTTTTCAAAATTAAGAGTTATAACTAACAATAATTCTGAGAATGACAATGGTCTCACAACACAAAGATCTCCTTTGAAACGGTTAGTATCTATATTGTCCTTGATCCCATGTTCAGAAGAATATAAAAAAATTTAGAAAAGCAAATTGGTCTCGGTATTTCAAATACTACATCAAAATTTTACACATAAGATATAGCTATGTTCAGATCCGGAAGAATTGAAAAAGGGTAATTCACATGACTTATTTCAGGCAATTCATAAATCATAATGAATGCACTGACAAAACTGCAGAGGGGCCAATTGGATTTCATTAGGAACTAAGATCACATCTAATCCAAAATAGATAGAAAGATAGATAGATTTCATTAAGGCATTACACTAAATAACCACTCAGCCTTAAAAGAGCACAAACCTTTTCTATTGGTGGCAAATCTTTTGAAGAAACCTTTCCTGGTGCACCCCCTGGAACACTAACACAATTTCGAAAGCCAGCTTCCTCAAGTGAAAGCTTATCAATTTCCCCCTCAACCTATTATCACCATTAGACAGTAAGAATATATTTAATTTTCTCTATTGAGTTTTCACTTAGTAACTGATGACAAAAGTAGATAGGGATGGGAAAAATAAGCAAACAAAATTTACAATGATGATTTCATCTGCTTGACGAATGTCATCAATGCCATATAGTATCTTGTCTGTGCCTTTCCCCTGAAAACAAATTTAGTATTTGAATGAACAACAGGTTACCCTAATCTTTGGAGGACCAAATAGAAAGTTTACTGTAAAAATTAATTCATAAACAAGTTGCAAAGCATTAGAATGTTCCAGAAGAGAATTAAAGGTTCTAATGTTTATGCATTTACCTCTAAAACAACTACCCCTGGAAGATCTACTGATATGGCTGCAATTGCTAAATTAGGGTTGACTGGAGGACAATAAAATCAGGAAGCAATTATTGGTTGTTAACATAACTTTCTGATAATAATTTGTATAACTCTTGCCTAAACTTTTCTACAAATTGAAGTGCAGGCCAGGAGAAAAATTAAGCTTCCTAACTGCAATCTATCTTTCTCTGTCTCTTACACCATAGTCACCTTTTCTTCATTAAATGTGCATGAAATGCTTGTTGTCATCTCATAATACATAATTGTAATAAATACTTTTTATAACTATAATTGTTTTCATAAACTAATCAATGTTTGACTTCTGAAATCCATTATTTTGATTAGGTAAACAAGCATATCGATGTCATTAGCCTTAGCCACACCTATAAAGGAATCCATTGCTTAACTGGGTATAAACTTATATATGATTGTTTCAATGAAAATTATTTTCAATGAAAATTATATTATATAAGGCAACTCACATTTAAAGCACAAGATTAATATCCCAACATGGTTCAAACTGAAAACATTACCTGCCAAAATCTTTTCTCCATTGTTCTGTACTTGCAACCAACAAGCAATCCATTTTGTTTGTAAGTAAAAGCAATGACACTCTGCATAAATTTTCCAATAAACAATGAAGCTAAAACCTTCTAACTAGTTAAGTTCTGAAGAACTAAATCAGGTATAGAAAGGTTTGCACAAACACCAAGTAAAAAACAACAAAGACAGCAAAGAGAAGAAACAACAATAGTTATGATCATTGGCAAGCTCCACTTCATGATTTTGAACCCATGAAAACTAAAGATAAGTTTACTTCTAAGCGGGAAAAAAATGCACTAGCTCTCTGGTTCAAATAAAAGGATTTATAATTTCCTCCACCTATTGCACCTCAAAGGTTACTTTCTGGTAACGGAGATTAGTCGGAAGCAGAGAGACAACCAACGCATACCAAAAAGTTTAAAAAAAAAATACACACAAATTGTATGTCTAACAACTTAATTCCTCAATGTTATTTCTTTAAATCACTGGTCTGCATTACTATAACACTGAATGCGTACACATCTTTATTACATTTGTTAATGCAAATCTGTATGCAGTAATACATACATAAGCAGAATGTCTCTTTCTGTATCATTAATTCATGGCAGTATTCAGTTCAATTGCAAATAATTAATTTTCCCAACAGAACACCAACTTCAAAGCTTAAGTAATTAATCAAATATCAATGTAGTCATTAATATATTGCCATCAAGGCTTCAACTATCCAAATTCATGTCTTTAGGATAAATATCCAAAATCACATTTCATGTCCATTTTCACACACTTCACATTAGTATTTTACTTAAGCTTTCAAGACCATGCGCATGATATCTAGATCACCAAAGAAATTATATTTCTATATGAAATGCTATATAACCAATCACAGAAGCAGGTGTGTGAGTACCATAGAGTACAGTACAGCTACATCAAATAGAGATCTGGATTCTTTTTTTTTTCTATCAATTTTACAATCATAAACCAAGAAATTGGAGGTTTTATAACAGAAATGTGGAAATTACCTTATTGTCAGACAATTGCCTTACAGCATTTCTGATTAGGGTTTTCTCTGATATCAGTCTCTCCTTAAAGTAAGCAACAAGCTAAAATAGGGAAAAAGAAACTCCATACATAAGCAAATAATCTGACCATCAGTTGAAAGTACAATATATTGATGTAACATGGACATGTACATAGAAAAACTGGGTTTGATACCATATATTTATACTCATTCAAGACAGTAGCTTTACCTTCCTTGCCCCCACTTGAGCATACCAAAGTTATTAACCGGCTTCACTTGACTGCATGATTGCATATTGGAGCTTCTAAGATCACACTATCAATCTTAACATACTCTTTTCCAGACCTCTATTGAATCTTTAATATTGAGATATTAACTAACACTGACACATCACAAGTTATGAAATTGGCAGAGAGACTTTTTATATTAGGTGCTTATGGGTCATATAGGGAATTACAAAAACAAAGTAAGTCATTGAAATCAATTTGACCTTTGAATATAAGTAGAGGCATATAATGCTGAACCATATTTCAAAGTTTCAAGTTAATCCTCTGTTGTCAAGATCATCCCATTAAGCATTAGGAGAATAATGTCAAAAGCATAAGACAGTCAAGCCACTCTCAATACTTTTAAGAGTGCTTACTCAGTCCATAGAGAAGAATCAGCAGATCAGTACATTTATTCAGATAACCAGTTTTCAGAACTTCATTAGAATAAGAGACCTTCGAAAGATGTCTAGTATATTAACAACAAAAAACGGAGATAGCTCATTCTAAGAAATTGGCAATTATTCTACTACTATTAGCCACCGGAAATGCAAAAAGTAATATGAGTACCTTAGGACCAAGTGGTTTCAACCCTAAGCTCTCCTCAGCTATTTGTCCAAAAGACTTCGCATTATCACAAACCTCACTGTACAATTCCTTGTCATCTGCAAAAACCTATAACCAAAAAATCATGCAGAAGCAGCATGTCTTTGTTACCCCATTACAAGTTTTTTGTTACAGAGGAGACATAAATTTGTATAAACATGTCATGTTTTATGTTACCTGACCCGCCCAACCACATGCAGTTCGAAAACACCTCCACATTGCAAATTCACTACAACACCCATTTGCCAAAACATGTCATTCCAAAACATACATAATTATCACAACATCCAAAAGCAAGTAGATGAAGCATACCCATCAGAGATAATATGAAAAGACAAACTCCTCTCTTTTAACTGCCCACCTTTGCACTAGGATATCAAAACAAACAAGAATCAGAATCCTACTAAAAACCAAATACATACAAAGAAGACTTGGTGCAGAAAATGGATTACAGTTTTAGAAAAATAAAATAAACATACTTTTGAACAAAACAGGTTATGGTACTGCCCAGGCAAACAAGAGTTATCCAAGCTGATGCCAAGAAGTTCCAATTTCTGCTTCAATATTTTCACTTTAGGTGACACAAAGGTATTGTCCCCAACCTGTTCTAAACCATCTTCAAAAACAATCCAAACAATCATGTATTAATGTTAAAGAACGATTTTATTAATCTCAATTCTGAGTTCAAGCATGTAACAATAGTAAGGTTTTATTTAAAAATAAAACATTTATTACAATTTTTTTATATCTAATATAATAAATATTTTATTTTTCAATAAAAAATTACTATTTTTGAACGTTTAAGATTAGCAAAACGTTTAAAAAAACAAAAATTCTAACCAATAACACTTGAAATGATAACTGGAGAAAATGGGTATCATGGAAAGAAAAAAACAGTGAAAATTGGAAGAAAAGGTACCTGGAGAGAAGTGCACGTTAGTGGCATGAACTAGAGAATGGCACCAAATGGTTCCTAGTCTTTGGGGTAAAACTGCTGAATAGGTTCTGGGAAGCAACTTGGAGAAAAAGGATTTAGCGAGAGGAAGACATAGCCATTGATTCTGAAAATGAAAAACTGACATGTCTTGTCCCTTCAGTTTTAATTTGAAATTTATTTCATTGGATTTTCATCTCTGTTTTGCAAGCTCTCTGTGCTTATCGTTATCTGCAGCAGTTCTACAGCACCCAACAGATATTTTATTCCCTTTAAGAAAGTGGCAGTCTGGTTTAAATTTAACTAGACTTAATTTTTATTTTATTTTAAAATTTTTAAGTATAATTAAAATATGTATATATAATTTAATTTGATGAGCTATGATATTTTTATAATACCATATTTTTAAACATTTTTCTATCACAACATCTATCTTTTTTTTTCTTTTTTTTATAAGTTGTAACAAAATTTATACTAAATTATTATACAAAAAACAAACCTTTAATTTTATTTAAATTATGCAGTTTTATTAGAACACGAATGAATTATTAATATTTGGATTTCATAAATATTTGGGTTCCTACAATTTTTAGTCAGGGTCTCTGGTTGTTGTGTGCTTTTAAGCCCGTTTAATAAAAAAGAAAATCGAATGAATTTTTTTATTAAAAATTAAAAATAATCTTACCTCTGATTTTTTTAAATAAATAAAAAAAGCATGAGAAGTTTTTTGTCATGATTTTTAAACTTCAAACCTTTCCAAGTTTTTTATTTTTATTAATAATTTTGTAATAATAAATTTAGACACAGTTTTATAGGTGTTATCGATATTATTTTTAAATTTAAATTTTATTTTAATAACTTAATAATAAAAAATCATATTAAAGAATAATACTAATACTGTAAATCATACAATCCAATACATCAATAACATTAATATTATAATTTTTAATAAAAAAGATTAATCATTAATTTTTGTTGTAATCATATTGTTTCTTGTGTGGTATATTTTTGTTTACTTTTACTTATTATAATTATTTGATAAATATTTTAATTTAACTTATATTAAAAAGTTTCTCTTTATACTCTTTGAATTATTTAACTAGTATAGATTTTTAATATTAATTTTCATTTTTATATGAATAAATTAAAATAATTTTGTCTTTATATAAATAAATAAAACAAAAATAATAATAAATCTAGAAATTAATAAAATAATTAAAAAAACTACAAAACTACAACCAAAACCATTGCTTTTTCTCTTGAAAATAATCAATTTCTTATTTATATTCGAGATTTCATCGTCCTTTTTCTTTGTTAATTAAAATATTACCTTTTTATTAAATTAAATAAATGTTTAGTCTTTACAAAAATTATGATTGAAATTAGTTCTTAATTTTATTAAAGTTTGATATTTAACAAATTAAATGAATAAAAAATTAATATTTATCATTATCTTCTATCTACTTTGAGTTAATTAATAATATTTCAACTTATAATTGTGATAAGAGTATTGTCACTCATTGACAAATAATAAATATTTTTTATATTTTTATATTATATTGTTTGTATTGGTTAGAATAAGATTATTTTCACTAATTTAATATTTGATTAAAAAATATTTATTGCATATTATATCTTTAATATAATAAATATTTTTAGTAATTTTTTTTTACTTTTAATGCTTAACCTAAGCTTAACATAATTGTAATATGTAGGCTCTTTTTGTTTTAATTTTATTTTTTTGTGAATAAAATAAATTTCTGAAAACTAATCCAATTATAACAAAATATAAAGTACACATTTTACAAAACAATTTGGACAATAGATTTTTCTTTTATTCTATACTTGCATAAGTAAAACTGTGAATTACACTATTAATAATTATATATAAAATATAGTTTTCTAATAAATTTAATAATTAAATTACAATTAAATGTTACTTAATCATTTATAACAAATTTTGCTAAATGATTATAAGAATCTAATTAACTAATTTTTGTTTTTTATATTTTTAAATATATATATATATATATATATATATTCCATTAAATATAATTAACATCAATAATGTATCAAATAATTTTAAGTTGATATAAAATTTCACAAACGTAATTTATAAGATAGAAACTTTTAATTCAATGCCAAATTGTAGAATATAATTTTTTAATAAAAATAATTAAATTATGTAATTGTTAGTATAACTTACATTTTTTATATTTTTAAATATATATATACATATGCGTATATGCACGTGTGTATTTATATGAAAAATTATATATATATATATATATATATATATATATATAAAGTATATGAAAAATCAAATCAACTCTTATTTTAATTAATTAGTGAAATTAATTCTTAAAAAGTGTCATTCATTTTTTTCGCTACAGGTTAAAAACATTTGATTCTTATGTAACACACGATTCTTTTGAGATAGAAAATAATAATAATAATATTATTATTATATATACTGCATATGCTTTCAGAAGAAGTGTAAATGAACCGTCAGTGGATGAAAGTTTTGATTAGAAATTAGCTAATTAAATATGTAAATGATCACATTATTATTATCACAACTACCGAATTTCTTATTTTGGAGAAATTGGAAGAGGCATCTCAGGATAATAAAGCAAGTAGGCAACTAATCCTGGTGCAACCTGTCATTTACATTCTTGTGTTTTCTTGTTGCAAAGGTCCGATCAGCTCGTGAATAGATTGAGAGCGTGCTGCCACAACCAGATGGAGAAAGCTTTTTTGGGTGGTTTTGAAAACTTGAAAAAGATAGAAGAGAAAAAGAATGAAGAAGAAAAGATAAAAAGGAAGATAATGATGACTACTACGAAGACGACGATGATGATGAAGGGAAAGGAGGGGGAAGTAAAAGAGAGGGAGACGAGGAAGAGAAAGGAAAAGATGGTTTCACAAAAGATCCTCTTGATAGGTCTATTTCTGTGACGCTCTCCGACCAAGCTTGCTTGATTGCTGCATTTGCATGCTTATGGATCAGTGCAACAATAATAAGTGAAACGAATTTAGAATCATAACATAAAAAAGATCTTGGCAACTTATTAATATATATATATAACTTGATAATTTTAACTGTGATTTTTTTGGCAATTCAGTGTGATAATGAGCACATCGCTTGCTTTACTTGTTCTAATATTAGGGGGAAGTGTGCAAAGTGCCAAATGCCAATTGTCTTCAAAAGTTGCAAGGCCGTAGAGAATGTGTTGGACTTTATTAAAATATCATGCCCTAATGCAAATTATGGTTGCAAAGAGACGTTAAGTTACAATGAGAAGAAAGACCACGGAAAGAATTGCATATATGTACCGTGTTTTAGCCCAATTTCAGTTTGTGATTTTGTTGCCATCCAAAGAGTTATCTCTCCACTTAAGCAATAAACATATTGATTCTAGAATCCATTTTTCATACCAAAACTCTTCCTTTGTCTGCCTGATGACTGGTGATGAAGCTATTATTCTTCAAGAGAAAACTGATAAAACTATCTATTATGAGCAACAAGGTTGAGTCATGGTAACTCAACCTTCTACGAATTATTTTGTTAAATTTAAAATCAAATTAAACCTAATCTCATTCACTCAAGAACAATCAACCTAATATGATTCAATAAACAAAACTTATACCTATACGCAAATAAGGAATAAAAAGTAATTAAAAATCAAATCAACTCATACGTTTAAATTTTAACGTTTTAGCCAAAACTAAACAGGATTACAAGGAAATTTGTCCTATTCCTAATAGATTTATACTATATAACATATCCAAGTTATAAAACAGCCCACAAGTCACTATCGAAAAATTTAATTTTTTTTATTTATAAATAAATTACGAATATATTCCTAAATAACATATCTAAATTATAAAATAGCCCACAGGCCACTATTGAAGAATTTAAATTTTTTAATTTTTTAGTTGTAAATAAATTACGAATATAGTTGAAGTAATAAATTTCCTTTTATCCCAATTCATGTCTCGTTAACCTATGTTGCGAATACCTATCGTTAACCTAGACTAGTACGGTAGCCAACGACCCAATTGTTGAATGATAAATTAATTATTTAAATACAACAATTTAAGAGAATATGAAGCAACTGTTCTCAAGAGTTAGCGTGAGAGAGAAATTGATAGGAAAGGTTCTTTATTTTCCTTTCTCTTTAAAGAAAAGATGCATCACAAAAGAAAAGCGACGCAATATTACTATTCGCGACCATCCACCAGGATTCTTATACGTAACGTAGATGACGTAGTACGTAAAGGAAAGACTCTACGTGAAGACGGAGAAGGCATGGAAGAAGAAGGAGAAGGAGAAGATTCTCAGATCGAGTCGGAAGACTATTATGATGAGGACGGCATGGAGAGTTCAAAACATGATGATTATTATTATGATTATGGTGATGATGATCATGATCATGATAAAGAAGAGGAGGAAAATGAAGAGGAAGAGAATGAGGAAGAAGATGGTTATACGAGTGATGTTAAAGGTGAAGATGACCCCCTTAGTAGTTCTGCAACAGATGCTTTTTCCCGTAGGTTTAATTCTGTCATAATTTCCGACCCTAATGTCTTTAATTGCTGCGTTTGCTCGCAAATCTTGACTGTTCCTGTCTACGAGGTACTTCTCCTTTCTCCCTTGCCATACAAATTTAGAAGTTTTTATGTTTTATACAGTAATAATTTATTTCAAAGAATCAATTGTTTTTAAAAATAATTTTAAAATATGTTAAGATGCTACTTGTTTGGATGAGCTAGATTTTAAAAGTGAGTTAAACTTAATTTTTTGATATAAAATAAAAAAGTATCTAGTTTGAATATTAGGTTATTCATGTCTATTAACTTCACACATTCAGTCTTGAACATAAAAAAGTGTTTTAAAATATTCTACATCAATTAAGAATAGATTCAAGAATACTCTCTTTCTAGTATATATTTTTTGTTGACTGATTTGAATTTTGATGATACTATTTATCATGTAAAATCTAAAATATATGGTAACTTCATTTGTTATTTTGTGGCAATTCAGTGCGCTAATGGGCATGCTGCTTGCTCTACCTGCGCTGCTGATCATTTAAAGCAATGCCGCTTGTGCTTATTGCCTATTGGTTACAAACGTTGCATAACTATTGAGAGAGTATTGGAATCTATTCACATACCATGCCTGAATGTGAAATACGGTTGCAAAGAGACATTGAGTTTAACTGAGAGTAATAACCATGACCAAAAATGCATCTATGTTCCATGTTTATGCCCATATTCAGATTGCCACTTCACTGCCCCATCCAAGGACTTGTTCCTTCACTTCATAAACAAACATAGGGATTCCATAATCACATTTTCATATGATGATTATTTCTCTGTCTCATTGAGGCGCAATGATGAAACCGTGGTTCTTCGAGAGGAATATGATAACAAACTGTTTGTTCTCAACAACTATGTTGAGAGTTTGGGAAGTGTTGTTTCTATTAGTTGCTTTGGTAACTCTTTTCAGCCAGGTTATGATTATTCTGTGGGTGCTACTTACAAGGGACGCAGCCTAATATTGCATTCTATTACCAACAATATTCAATCCAACACAGTTAATGCTCCTTCATCAGGGTTCTTTGTGGTTCCTTTTAATTATTTTGATTCTTCTGGATCTCTCAAACTAGAAATTCGCATCAGGGATAAATAAAATGCTACACATTCTGCACAGTGCAAACTTTGATAGGTCTTAGTGGTTTTACATTTCGAATAATTAGATTTGGAAATGTATTCTGTTGTTAGTTTTGTTATGTAACATTTTTCTTAGAATGGAGTTAATTAAAGCCTATTCCCTTTATGCAGATTGAGCTCTATGTGAACCCCAAATTATTACACATCTCATACAGATTTACGTGCTTATTAGAGTTTTTGTGATCACAAATGAGTTGAAGTAATGAACATACACTATTTGATATCCAATTGGTTTGAGATTTTGGTACAAGCTTCTGATCTTTAAATTCATAAGTAGTCATGATCTACCATATCCAAATAGACTCAGTAATGGAAAATCAAATCAATTGCAAATTGAACGTTGAAAGAAAGCGTACCTCGTAAATAATATAATAAAAAACCCACCTCAAATATCCAAAAAATGTTCCTCCACATTAAATGAGACATGCTCCAAGAGGGAGGAGAGCAATATCTTGTAAGAACGTATTGTGCAAAGAAGGCAAAATGGATGATAAGAGAGAGATCCATTATTCCACACCTTAATTTGCAAATTAAATATCGTGAGTATCCTGTTTATGATTAGTTTCTAGAGAAAATGCAAGTATTAAGTTGATTAAAAAAGAAGAAGAAAGAATCAGTTGTCTTTTGCCTGATCAATTTGACCTCAATAACTTGTAATGACTTTTTAAATCTTATGTTTGAAGGGACTAATATTTATGAATGAAAAAATTTGTAAAAAAGTGTTAAGTTTTATATTTATTATTTAAAAATAAATATTATTAATTTATGCAAAATAATATTAAGAATAAATATTGTATATATAAAAAATAAATTCATTATTTTATTGTGACATATTTTTTAAAATTAGTAACTATATTATTTATTTTATTATTTGACTATTTTTTATTAGTTTTAATTAAAAGACATATATTTTATATATTATTTAGTATTGTAAGTATTGAAATAAATTAAACCTACCAACATAGATTGTCGTGAATCATAATTATATATATATATATATATATATATATATATATATATATGTATGTATATATAATACTTATAAAACATTGTCAATAATTTATATTATTTAAGCATGAATAAATTTTTAAACCTAAAATAAACAAAATATTGCTTAACGTTGATAGTGTCTTAATAAATATGAAATAGATTGACTTTAATATCAATTAAAAAGCATTTAATAAAAATAATTATAATAATTTAGTAAGAGAATTTGTATCTTAGAAATGATTAAGAAAATTTCAAATTAAATAATTATAATAGTGTGTCATTTTAATTTTTGTTTTAATAAAGTTCTTTCCTTCTTATTTCCTTTTTTAATAATAAATGCTATAGACTCATTATATCCTAGGTTTGTAACTTAGGAGTTTGTTGTTTTTCAAGCTTTTAAGTCCTCTTTATAAAAAAAAATAATATAAACATTTTATTAACAAGTATCCTTCAAATTATAAAAATAATAAAATATATATAAATATTTTTTATTAAAATTTTGTTTTTTTAATATTTTAAAATTTTTCAAAAAAATTTGTTAAATTTTAATACTTTTAATAAATAAAAAGTGCTTTATAAATAAATATTATATGCTTTATTTTCTTGCTCAATGCTAAGAACAATTTTACTAAAAGAAAGTTATTAAATAATATGAGACTATTTAATATTCATAATTTTGGCCAAATAATATATTATATGTGATTAACTTATTTTTTTCAGTCAAAGAACTTAATCATGTATTATATAAGGCACTGATTAAGAAAGTAATAAATAATAATTTTTTATTAAAAATATGTTAAAATACATTAAAAATTATAAAATTAAGTATATTTTATATCTTTAATAAAATATTATTTTATTTCTTAATTAATGCCTTACAATATTAATTAGCATTTTTCATTAAATTGCCCAAGACTATTTTGGTCTCAAATTATAAAAAAATAATAATATTTTTTTAAAAGACTTGTTAACTTAGATTAAAAAATTAATAGATAATATATTTTAATTAAAAATTATGTTGAAATATATTAAGATAAAAGTATATTTGCATCTTCTAACAATATATTTCTTTTTAAAATTATTAATTAATATGCTAATTTTTCTTTTCTTTGTTAGCTATTATCATTTGCGAACTCCAATGTGCTTTATTAACGTTTGTCAGACATGAAAAACCACGTCCCGTATCGCCATCCACTGCATGAAAAGGTTTGCAGCTACTCACATTTTTTCATAACTTTATTGAGTAATGAGTGAGGAGTTAAGAATATTTAGTTTATTCTCTTAAGTAATACAAACGTTTTACTGTGTTAAACTTTGTTTGTTTCTGCGAAAACATGGAAATCGGTTAACTGCACATTCTTCCATCGTCACACTCTATGATCTCACTTTATAAATATTTAGAATGTAAATTTATATTTTCAAATTTACAGAGTTTAACCATTTTTATTTTTATTTATTAATGTATTTTTTAAAATAATATAATATCTTTAATAAAGATTCATCCATTTTATTTGGATGGTTTGGTTTCAAATTTTAAATGTGAATAATTATTTTTATAAATTTTTTATCATAATTATAAAATTCTAAAAGAGAAAATGTCCAATATAAGATAAAAACAATAAAATTATGGACTAAAAAGTAAAATATTAAATAAAAAAATAAAACATCACATTACCTTTATTACTTTCCAACACTTAATTATAAACAGAAATGTATATATATTATAAATATTGGTAATTATTACAATACATTGATATAATTCTTTATAAGTCAAAATTTATTCAAACTCAATATTTTCAAACTATCAAGATTAATTACAATATATTTATTGAAAAACCTTAGGAAAAAAAATGTGAATATTTTTTTTACTAACAGATGTTTGTGAATATATAATAGAAACTAAAAGAGATTTTTAGATTTACTCTGATATCTGTTTGCTCAATAGCCATACCACATTGCATTCATGCAATATCCCTTTCTAAATCATAGAATTACACAAGCTCAACTTTATAAAATATTTTTTAAATATGTTCAACAACACACAATAAAAATTTATAATTATAAAATATAATAAAATTTAATGTATAAATAATATAATGTTAATAAAAATTTATTATATATCGACTTTAAATTATTCATTCTTAGACAGACATTAAGAAACTGTTAAATTATTATTTTATTACTATCCTTTTATTTATTTTGTATATAAGTATGAGGTATGAAGTGAGGAATGCATTCAGTTCCAAATTCTAGAGTAACCCGTGTTCTGAGCTTGAGTTTTGAGAGAAAAATGGAGAATAATTTGAATGGCAGTCACAGTCACAGCAACGGTGAAAGAGGCATCAGTAGATACCCAGTTGGACGTCGTCCTCGAAACCCCATTGATGAAATAGCGATGAGACGTGAATTAAGCAATTCACAGCAGGAACGAGACGACGTGATTGAGGAAGAAGGAGAAGGAGTGACTGTAAGTGAAGAGGATTCCATAGACAATGAAGAAGATATGGACTACGATGATGAGCCCAATGCTCCTTTACCAGGTGTTAATAGAGCGGTTGTGGCTGCTATCCCTGCTGTTCAAACTGCACCTACACTAAACGACATTCATACTAATGGCGTTTATATGGAGCTTTCTGATCCTGACGTGCTTGACTGTTACATATGCTATGAACCTTTGTATATTCCAGTCTACCAGGTTCCTCAATTCCCCTTTTTACACTTTTTTAATTAAGTTTTTCATCTCTTTCTTCTTGTACAAAATTTGTGCTAATTTGCATGTAATTTGTTTTAACTAAGTTTTGATTTTCATTACTCGTCATTGAATTGGATCATCCATTTAATTTAGAATTTTTTTTTTTTGCCTAATTTATGGCTAATCATGAAATTAAGAAGTGTCCAACTTGTGGCGCTACAGTGATTGTAGCCTACTATGAGTGCTGGAATTGGTAGGGTTTCAATTCTTGTGGATAAGATCTTCAAACAGGGGGGAAAGTTTCCTTTATTTCTTTTTTTTTTTTTTAAATATATTATTGGTGTGATTATGACTAATTAATTGACTCAATACTTGAAAAGAAAAAAACAAAAGAGAAGCTACCAAAAATTGATAATTTTCTTGACTAAATTTTTTATAAACTGTTTTTAATTTTTAAATATTTTTTTAGGTAATTGTTTTTTACTTATACGTTTTGAATTTCAAAAAATAAGATTGTTAAAACAAGAAATAAATAAAGTGTAAATTTTTTTTGCAATATTTTAAAACTAATGGTATTTTTGTAATAAATAATATATATATATATATATATATATATAATTTTGTATAATGTGTAACTGATTAATGTCAACATCTTAAATGTATAGTCATTTTAAAAATAAATTTTTTGAAATGTTTAAAAAATAAAATTTTATTTTCAAAATAATACAAATTGGAACCACGTTCAATATTTAGTAACGCTTCAAGGTAATCTTGGGAAGTGGATGATGACTTAGGGAAGTTTATAGCAAATTTAATTCTACAAATTTCTTATGTTTTAATATTCACCTGTTATTGACCCTTTCTAGCACCATGTTATTCTATTCTAGTGTCTGTATTTTTTTTTAAAAAGAAAATAGTTATATTATTTTAAAATAAATTTTTGTGATAATAATTTTTTTCTACCATATCATTTATCTAATCACTTTTTTTTGTCTATTTCTCTTTCATTTACCATACGGCTAATTCTTGCGGTTCTTATTTTTCATACATTTTATTAAACACACTCTATCAATTTATTTGTATTTAGTTAATTTTTCAATATTATGTTGTGCAATATAGTACAAATTAAAAAATTATTTTAAAATTATGTTGATTGTTTTAAAAAAAATAATTAATTATAAAAATTAATGTATTGAAGAGTGTGTTAAAAAAATATATTATTAATTTTTCACTTTAGTATATATATAACTTGTTATCAGATATATAATCAATGTAAACTCTAACATGATTATTTATTTCTATCTGATTACTTCTTAAATTCAGTGCATCAATGGACATGTTGTGTGCGTTTCTTGCTTTTGCAAAATTCAGCACAAGTGTCCCTTTTGCTCAATGTACATTGGCAACAACCGGTGCCGAGCAATGGAGAATGTTCTAGAAGCAGTGAAAATTACGTGCCCAAATGCAAAATATGGTTGCAACCAGATGATAAGGTACAGTGAGAAACGTGAACATGAGAAAACATGCGACTTTGTCCCATGTTCATGTCTGCAGCCATTTTGTGACTTTGTGGGCAGTTCCAAGGTTTTAGCAAAGCACTTGGGCGATGACCATTTTTTCAATCGAACAAAATTCAACTATGGTGAATTTTTCAATGTCTCCATAAGTGTTCATAGGAAATTCTCTGTGCTTCAATCGCGAAGTGATGACAAACTCTTTGCTATTTGCAATAAGGCTGATGTTAGGGAGCATGAAATTTTTGTTTGTTTCATTGGTCCTATTTTTATGGTCCCTCAATTTAGTTATGAAATTAAGGTTGTGTCTGATAATGATGGAGAGAGCTATGAATTGCCTCAAACTTCTGTGGAGAAAAATATTCAAGGTGGCAGAACTGGATTTCCTTCAGTAACCATGTTCCTTAATGTTCCATTAGAGGTATTTCGTCCTCGTTATTATAGCAGAATGGAGGTTGAACTGCAACTTCGAATTACAAGGGTAATTGGTGCTGCTACAAATTCTGAAGCTGGTCCCTCCGGGCTTAATTAGTGAAAGACTTATCCTTAGTTTGTTTGTTTATGTTATTAATTAGAGTTGAGTCATGTTAAGCCATCCAACTATTGTGTTGTTGTGAGAAGACACAATTTATTGGACTTTTTTTAAGTATGTTGTATTCGTTAAGTGGGATGTTTTATATTAACTTTATAAGTATATCTTATTTTTCTTTCACAGTGTTATTTGTTTATTTATTTGTTATTAGATATTTTTATTCTGCTGCTTGCTTTGTCTTTGCTGAGTAATTAGTTTTTGTGAAATATAAATAAGTGGTAAAATATCTCACTTATGAAATATTTATCGCTTAAAATGATTTATTTTCTCTCATTTTGTATATTCATTCTTCTCTCCATGTTTTTACTTAAAAGTCATCATTTGTAAAATTTTCACTTGAAGTCATTTTTATTGTCAAAACATGTCCTTTTCTACATGTACTTGCCCTTTTAAATAATCCAGCAGTTTACATTATTGTGAGGACAATATCTCTTATTTGCATATTTATTTTTGTGTTACTCAACTCTGAAAGTGCAAAATTTTAAAGCTATTGAGAGTGGCTTTTGGATTTGAAAAGCACATATATCATAATCTTTGTTTGTGTACTTTTCAGGGTAATTATTTAAGGGGGAACTTGTCCAGTCAAGACACTTTTGTTTTATAGAAGCCATTTTTCCTAGAAACGCAAAGTAATCGGGGTACCTACTAATTACAAAATAATTTATAGATACTTTCAACTTTTTTTTAATGAAAAAGGATCCCAAAAGGCCCAATGCATAAAACAGATAGACCCATAAAATTAAAGAATATCACCTATAATCTAGCTGGGTCTTCTTCTATGAGGGGATCCCATAGAAAAGAATGTACTTAAGAAGAGTTTGATTCCCAAAATATAAGGCCTAACCATGTTAAGGGAATAAATAGGCAAAAAAATTTCCCACACTCTGATTAAACCTGTGCGAATGCAATTATAGCCAGGATACAAATCTCATGCAAGAGGGTACGTAAGTAGCACAAAGGATGCTGAGATCCCAAGGGTGCTTTGCCATCGTGATTTTGTGAAACTTCATTTTAATTATTGAAAACAGAAGTTTTAATTATTTTAGTTCTGATTATAAAATCCTTACTTTGAAAGTGTAAGTTTCTAATTTTATAAAATATAATTTATTCAAGTCCTTTTTGTATAGTAAGTTCATATGTATAGTAGTTTATTAAAACTTGTTTTTAGAATAAAAGATTTAAAAAAAGTTTGTTTGATAAAACTATTTTGAAAACAGTTTCAAAGGTAATATTTACATGCACACAAATTAACATAATAAATTTCTGTTTAAGAATATATTTTTAAAGTAAAAAATGCTCATTATATTTATATTTTAGCTTTATTTAATAATTTATTTAATCATGTAGATGAAATTATACATTTTTATGAGACAATATGAATAAGACCAAACACATCGATTGTATTAAAAGCCACTTGTATGATTACAATTCCAGACCCTGGAAGCTAGACAATGATTTCAACCCAATTGATGATTTAGTTGAGACAGTAAATACTAAATAGTTAGGAATTTACCATGTGATTAAAGATAAAAGTCCTTAGACTAATGCTATTTCTGCAACTATTTTTTACAATATTGTTTACATTAAAAAAGAGAGTTAAAAAAGAGAAAACTATAAAATAAGATGAATGATGTGAAAGAGAAAAAATATATATTATACAAACTGTTATACAAATAATATTTCTAAATCAAATAGGATGAACAAAATTGTAAAATCATTACGATTTACTACATCAATTTGTTCCTTTTAGTGCGATATGTAATATGTTTCATTCATAATCTCTATATACGTGGGATTTATATCTATCCATATTTTAGTAAATATTCACATAAATTAATTTCACATGTGTATATCATTATGAATAGTAGATAACGTGATATTCCTGAGTCACAATCTAGAAGATACATGCGAAGATATATTAACTTAAAAAAAATAATTTACTCTTCAAAACTCTAAATCAACTCTCAATTTTCATTCTTAAAGATGAACATTAAAATTCTGCAGATTTTTTTATAATATAATTATCTTGATTTCCATATTATATTGTGCATAATATCTTTGAGTGACCTCTACGTAAGGATGAAGGAGAAATATACACCTGATACAAAGAATTGTCAAAATTCACAAAATAGAACAAATTAACATACACACATAAATTGAATGTGAATTATTCATTTTCCAATGTATTAATGCACTTTCAATAATATGATATTAACATCTAGATAGCCATGGAAATTCTAATTTGAATTGCAAGTACATATCCAAGAAAACTTTTGCATTACATTTCCTTCTTACCTAAACATACATATATAAACATCACATTGAAATAAAAACAATATAACTCTACATGACAATAGTTTTGTTTTTTTGCCACTGCTGGTCTTACTGACCTCGACAACATTATTGCCAATACGATCAAGTGTAAGTTTTGTTTTCATAAACTAGAAACTTACACTTGTTTAATTTGTCACTATTTCTTTTTTATTCAAGTATCATATGGTATTATTTTTAACACACTTTTTTTTAATATAATATTAATTATTGGTTAAAATTTATTAAAAATTATAAAAATATATAAGACTCATTAAATTAGAAGTGAAACTTACATTTTTTGGTAATCTTTAATAAATTTCAACCAATAATAAAAGTATATTTGAAAGAATGCACTACTAATATTTTTCATTACAAAATTAATTGTTTCACCACCATTTTCAAGTTCAAAAATTAGCTAGAGGAAATTGGAAGAAACAATTTAATAATGATAATGCTGTCATTTATAGTCCTTATGAATTTTTACATATGAGGATTTTGCCTTTTTGAAAGTGATAGATTAGATTTAGGTCAGTTTTTGTTATACTAGTGTATTAATCTTTCAGTGAGTTTTGTTAACAGGGGGCATATATATTTTCAGAATTCTGTTCTAATTCTTTGTGACCCTTAATTGGTGCTATGTGTTATGTGTAAGGTTAGAGCGCTTCTTATGCTCTAATATTTTTATTATTAAAAAGATGGTGCTTGTTGCTCAATAGGACTATATATACACGCATGTACCATATATTGCACCTAAAAAGCTTTATAACAATAAAATAAAATAAAATAAAATAACTAGATAAAAATAAGAGGGATCATAAAAATAGATCGAAAATAGTTACATGTATGTATGTATCCTAATTATTAAAGATAATATATATGTTGGGTTAATTTTAATTCCATCAAATAATTCTGTGAACTTCTGCCTTACTAACTTCCTTCCCAGTAGATGTTCCGCTCTCTTCAGCAAGATAATAAGTCATCCTAACTTTACTAACAAAACTGTAATAAGAAAAAAAAAAGTTAAGAATGCAATTCCAAGGATATATATTAATCTCTAGATATCATATATATATCCTTGATTTCTCATTTTTACTGCAATAAACAAATACACAAAGTATGCAATCATAATATATGAATTTGACTTCTCAGATCGAGCAAGCATGAAAAGAAAAAAGGTAAATTGGAGCTGAGACTAATGGTCTGTCTGAATTCATTGCAATGGGATAGTATAAACAGCAGTTTTTTATTATTACTATTATTATTCATGTCGATGTTGTATTATGGATTTGGTTAGAATATTATGTCTTGATTTTGATTATCTTCGAACCCTTGAAAGAAGTTGGCATTGGGTTTCAATTTTGAAATTGACATTTTGATTATATGTAGATTGTATAAACTATTAAGGATATTATAATTTATTAATAATATTTTTACCTATACATAAGATCATAAAAACACACGTCGGAGCTGTATTCAACATAAACTATTTAAGTACATGAGAAGAATTTAAACCATAAACTACAAATTTTGGAACTTAAATTACTTATTTTAGCCACAAAAACCAATAATACTTATTTGTAAACAAAGGTTACGTGTTTTTTAACATAAAAAACCTCCGTTGAAACCCAATGTTTTCAAAAGAAGAAATTACTTTTAACGAATTTCGTTGCAGAAAGGGATGCAAACAGGCTTAAAGTAAATCAATAACTCGTCGCAGCACTGTTTACACTGTTTTGATTCAACTAATTAATTCAACACCATATCATTAATTCAAAATTTAAAACAGCCCATGATTTCTTGCTCCTCATTATAATCCCCCGCCCCAGTTTCTAATTAAGCATCCTTCAATCAGAAGTGTGAAGTCTGAAACTAAGAAAAATTGCATGGAGCCGAAAATCTAGCTTTAAAAGAAAATATTTAAATTGGTATCTAGTCTTAAAGATTACCCTCCACAAAAAGCAGTCTTATCGAGATAAATGAGGATGAAGGTTTTGCCAATCTCTTAACACAGATGATATTGGGTCTGCTGCCAACAGAACTCGAACTCAAACTCAATCTAGCATTAAGGAGAGGAACACCATTCAGGTTTAGCCGCTTCTATCATGTCCCTCATCTAATAATTTTTATGTTGAAATCAGCTATTCATTTTTTCTCAACTTATATATATGATTTTTTTATTTGGTCCCATTATTATGCTTTTGCCTGGGTTTGGATATGTTCTTCTTGCAGCATAGTGCATGTAAAGATCATTTTGTACAATATCACAGGTTTAGCAATAGGGGAAAAAAATAAAGTGGTCCCTTGGTTTGCCACAATTTTTGTATGGATTCACAAAATGGTATCACTTTCAAGCAAGAGAATATTGATATTCTTTTGGACAGTAAAATTTACTGAATTTATATCTTGATTATGAATTATTTCTAAAATAATATTTTTCTCCTCGGTGTATCAAGTAATCTTATGGATACATAGATATTTACACTTGTTACATTATGGTATGATTTTCGATCTCTAATTAACTTCTTACTTTTTATTTGCTTCTTAAACTATTATTGTTTAGTACTTGAGGACTTGAGGTGGCCTCAACACAGTATCTATTATAGTGGAGCTTGTATAATAGCTTGTTT